TGGCTGATGCCTTCCCGCAGCCCGCACCCTGGGGGGCCAGAGAGCACTGAGCTCGTGATGGGGAGCTCAGGTCCAATGAGCGCTAGATGTCCCAGGGACCAGGTCGGCCTCCACCAGGGCCCAGCAGCTGAACCAGAGCTGCCGCTGCAAAGAACAGGTACCTAATGCAAAACCCCGACGTCTGTTCCTGCTCAGGTGATTGCTGTGGGGAGTCCCGACACTGGCGCCCAGTGATGCCCACCTCCGGCTGTCCACGCCCTTGAATAATCCCCCTCCCTTGGGTCGGAGCTGGACCCCTGCCTTGCTTCTGATGAACAGAATATGGCCAACATGATGGGATGTCACTGCTGAAATTAGGTTATAAAAAGACCACGGCTTCCATTCGGGGGGTGCTCTCTGTCTGCTTCCTCGCCCCGAGGGAACCAAAGCTGGTCGCGTGCCGTGAGAAGCCCTTAGACCAGAGGTGGCGAACACAGGGCCCACGGGCCGAGTCCAACCCTCCACCTGGTTTTATCCGGCCCGGCACCTTGCTTCTACCCAGTGGCAGCACCGAGCTCCTTGCCCCTTGTTAAGGAGCGGTTACATGTACACAGTCCTAACGTTACATTCGGACCTTTGAAGGCAATCGAGAGGCTGATGTGGCCCCCGGTGAACATGAGTTTGACACCCCTGTGCATGGGGAAGCCCCCAGTTTATCAGCCTGGGAGGAATGGCCTGCCAACAACCAAAGGTGGGACTGGAGGTGGAGCCTTCAACCTTTTTCAGGTGGGGAGACGATTGTGGCCCCGCCCAGTCGCTTGGCCGGACTGCAGCCTCCTGGGATGGCGAGCCGGAACCACCCAGCTCAGCCGGTCCCACATTCCTGCCCGCCAGAAGGTGTTTCATGATACGTGTGTGTTGTCTTAAGCTGCCGAGGTTTGAAGCCATCTGTTACGCAGCAGCAGAGCCCACGACGACTCTCCCTGGGCTCACAGCTTCCCACACGAGGCTGCGTCTGCTCAAGGCGCCCGTTTCTCGGCTGAGGACGTGACCCAGGGAGTCCGCGCAGTCAGTCCGCGCCCACGCTTCACTGGTCTCGCCAGGTGTGCCATCCCTCGGGAGCCCGGAGCTGACAAACGGCCTCCCGGAGATTCGGTGACAGCGCCTTTGGGGAGCAACACGCTGACAGGTCAGGGCGCTGTTGTTTTATGGGATGTGGGCGGTTCTTGGGACCAGAGACGACCGGGGCCCTCTCCTTCCGCAGCCGGAATGCACCGGTCAGGGCGAGGCGGGGGCAGCTCCTCCACGCCGCAGTTCATTACCATCCCCCCCACCCCGCCCCCACTCATTCTGCGTCCCATCCCTGCAACTTTGAGCTGATTCCCTGAGAGGGAGAAGGCTTCCACTGGAGGGCGCAACAGAGGCCCCCATGATGGAGGACGAGGCCGGCACTGGCCACGCCGAGTCCTCACGCCCTTCTGTTTCTGCCGTGGCAATTGCCCCGGATGACGAGGGGTGGCCTGGTGGTGCCGCAGCAAGGGCACCGGGAGGGCTGTGTGCAGAGCCCAAGGCGTGCCGAGGGGCCAAGGGGTAGACGTGAGGGCGGAACCACAGCCGCACAGCAAAGACAGCCCACGAGGATGGGGGCCCCCGTGCGAGTGAGCACTGGGGCGGGTAGAGGGGCCAGAGCACACAGGAGTGGGCAGCTGGGCAAACTGCTTCCTCGAGCTGTGATGCGCACGCTGGTGTTTACATAACTGTCCCCACCCCCACCCCCGCCCCCACCCCCGCCCCATCAGCCCTCTTTAATGTGTAAAAGGACTGTTCTCCGTGGATCACTTTACAATTTAGTGCATGTACTACAGAGTTCTCGGTGGGGACTGAGCAGGAGAGACGGGGAAATCACCCAGAGGTGGCAACGGTGACCGCGGGGACTGCGGCCTGTCCTGTGAGGAAGAGGGTGCAGGTGTCTTTGTGAAAAGGACGCTGTGTCCCATCCGGGGAGAGCACAGAGGTGGGAGTCACCGTCGTGGTTAGACACGTGCACTGAACGCTGGAGGGCCGGCGGCGACCAGTCCACAGGGTGCTCGCTGCCTCAGCTCCGGGCACCCCTTTCCCAACCTGCTCCGTGAAGCCCGGGCGTGTAAACTGCGATTTCCAGACTCCCGTGGCCTCGGGTTCGGCTCCGCCAGGGGAAGCCCTGGGTGGCCTGGAAAGAGGAAGGAGACAGGGCTCTTCCTGCTTCCAGTTCCCATTGGGGCTGCTCCAGGGGCGGTGGTGTCTGTCACCTGGCCCTGCCACACATCCCGCTCTGCTTCCCCCACCCCCAGAGCCTCCCCCCGAAGTAGGAAAGTGAGCCCCACTGTGCTCATCGGCTGGGCTGCGATGCTTGAAACATCCAAGTACCTGCCAGGCTGCATCCGCACCCTTAAGAGCCCGAGTACCAGCTGCACCGGCCCTGTGGTCTGCTCACCAGATAAAGACCCTTGTTGAGGGGCTGGACCGTGCGTCCCCAAGAAGCCCTCCTTCAACTCTGATTCCAGTGACGTCACTTGCATCAGTCAGGGCTCCCCAGGGAAACAGGACCAATAGGACATCCACGTGTATATTGAGGAGCCCAATGTCTGTACCGAGAGAGACTGACCTGTTGCCATTATCACCTCCCGTGACTGCGGGGCTGAGAAGTCCCACGACCGGCCCTCTGCAGGCTGGGCCCCGGGGAGGCCAGCGGTGTGGTTTGCAGGCCCGAGCCTGAGAGCCGATGGTGCAGGCTCCAGATGGGGTCCCAGGGCCTGGAGGTCAGGGGCACCGAGGGCCAGCGGAAGATGGGGGTCCCGGGACAGCAGTTGGGCACCCAACCTTCCTCCCGTTGGCTCTGCCCAGACCCTCCGCGGACCGGGGGAGGCCCACGCCCCTGGGGAGGCCGGCTGCTGGACCCGGTCTGCCAGCTCGAAGGCTCCCCTCTCCCCAAACACCCTTGGGGGCCACAGAGAAGGGCCATCCAGCCAGGTGTGTGGGCCACAACATGTTTCATCACTCATTTCAACAGCTACAGCGAAGGACCCCCTTCCAACGGTGGGGAGGCAGGCGGACCTCACGGGCATCGCGGGTCGGTTCCACCACCGCAATACGGCGAGTCCCACACGTTTCCGGTTTTCCCGGTGCCCGTGAAAGGTATGTTCGGACTCCCCTGTAGTCTGTCGAGTGCGCAATAACATCATGTCTAAAACAGTGTGTCTGCCTTCATTTGAAAGGACTCCCTTGCTAAAAAGTGCTAACGTTCATCCCAGCCTTCAGCGAGTCCTAATGTTTTTGCTGGTGGAGGGTCTCGCCTTCAATTTGTGAAACAAATTGATGAAAGTGTTTCTCCCAATATCTAGGAAAATAAGCTTTATTTGAAGGTGTGACGTTGATCTGTGGAGAGGAAACCTGTGCGCTTTCGCCTCCTGCTTAAATCACGCCCGCACGTGGGACGCAGGCTCGTGCCCGGGTCGGGCGGGAGACTGATGTTTCGGGTTGTCCCTTTATCGGGTGCCTTGGAGGCTGTATTCTTCTTCAGGGGAAGGGGCCCTTGTGAAAATGAAACGGGTGAAAACTGAACTTCTCTTCGGTAAAGAGGAAGCGTGGTGATGGTGAAAGAGAAGTTCAAAAGCAGGACAACCTGCAAAGCCCTGCCTGTACCTCAGGCAGCTCGGTGTGAGGAGGAAGGACCTGTCTGGGGGGGAGGGGACGTCAGGAACGCGTTCTCTGAGTGCCGCTGGCGTCTGCGGACTGGAAACTCTGGGGGGGGGGGGGTTGGGGGCTGTGGGAGGCGGGGTGGGGGGGGCGAAGACCCCTGTTGGGAGGCCTCTCGGGTCAAGGGAGACTCTCAAAGGCAAGACAGTGTTGAATCAACAGTGTTAGACGGTCTTACATGAGAAGAAACACGTTGAAATAAAATTTTAGATATAGAAGTAGAATTTTGCTTAGAGAAAAGAGAAATTCGAACATTTCTGGGACTTCACAAGAAGTTCTTCACCGTAGTCCCACCATCCCTTTTGTCTAAACTGAGACTGAGTAAGAGGACGAGCCCCAGCCGAGATCAACCATGAACTCCTCCTGTACGCCGCTGACCTTGACCCTCTCACTCCCGAGTCCCCAGCCTCCGCATCCGAGTGACCTCCTCCGCCTGTGGGCCCCTGGTCGGAAGCTGCCTGGATCACATGAGCCTGAGAACCCCAAATTTATCATGACCCCTCCAAACAACCATCCTCAAAGTGCAGTTTTGCTCTAACATAGAAATACATTTCACATCTCATTTGTTAGAAACAGAACATATAAAATTTATCTAGTGGGAAAATGTAAGTGGCAAGTCATACTGTCACCCTCATCTTCAAAGCAAACGGAGCCCAACTGTCCAGGGCCACAGAGATCACGGACTGGAGTCGCGGGCCTGTGCACGGAGCAATCTTTTTTGGTTCTGCCGCCCCACAGGGACTCGCCGGGCACCTTCTGAGTGTACGAGGACCCGAAGACCCCGCCCTCTGGGTCTACGTCGTGGGCTGCGCCAGTCATCAGGGGGTGCCGTGCCAGGCAGAGCCGAGTGTTGACAAGCCCTCAGACCCTACAGCTCAGCACTGCTCGCTCACACACCACACCAGCTCCGTGGGGGTCGAAGCTCACTGCCCCGGGGCGGCGGGGGGGAGGAATCTCGGGGTGGAGGGGCCAGGGGCGAGACAGCACAGGCCCCGGAGGGCACACTCTGCTCCAAGGCGCTGGGTGACTTCACAGCACAAGCCAAACAGGACAAACACAGCTGGGGCGGGCGTCGTGCCCTTCTCCTGGCTTGGCTTTCCCAGAACAGTCCCCGTATTTGAAATCAGTATCACCCAGGGCCCAGTGAGAAGGAAGGAGCGTGGAGTCAGAAGGAGAAACTGCTCGCTAACTCATGGACACGCGAGGGCGCCGTGCAGGGAGTCCTCTCGGTAACCTTCACGCGAGACCTCGGCGCAGTGATCCACCGAACGGCGCACACCCCGCAGTCGCCGCGCCAGCCCGGGCTTTATTGCATACAAAAGGAAAGCACACTTCGGGGGAAAGGACATTTTATACCAACACTCTGACGCTGAGGTCAGCTGTCCGCAGACACGCCCGCCGACTCCTCCACGTCCTGTCCGCCACGTCCCGGGAGACATTCGAAGGGAGGCGAACCCGATGGGGCGTCCGTGGCAGACTGAGGACACCCGGTGTCCCGTCTCCCAGCGGAAGTCGGTGCGTGAATAGGTCGCTTCCTGCTGGACCCACTGAAATGAGTGAGCGCCGTCAGTCACCGAGGTGTCGTTTAACAGGCACGACACGCCCTATAGGTTTGGATTCGTCATCCCGATTCCTTGGCACTCGATAATGTAGGCGTCTCTAGAAGCATCTTCTTCATCTTCCGATTTCTTCACAGTGAACTTCGCCTGAAACCAGAAGAGTATTTGGGATATAACACAGTGGGAATAAGCCCACACTTCCAGCTTACAGAAGCAGGTGGTTAACATCAAACTCTTTCCACGGAGGAAGCCAGAGGAGAAAGGTCCAATGAGTCGGGAGAAGTTCGGCAGGCGGGATACAACATACTGTGCTCCAGCACCAGGGTCTCCCTCAGGCACAGCAGCCTGTGGGGCGCGCAGAAAGCAAGCGGCCTGGGCCCACTCCGTACCCCCTGAATCCGAGCCCCCGGGAATGCAGTGTAAGCAAATGATCGATTTTTCCCTCTCAACTGTCCATGACGATGCCCCCCACCACCTACTTCCTAAAGTTTTCTAAGACATGGCGGCACCGAAGCGTTTATGCTGCTTTTTATCTTGTCGAGTATCAAGTTAACTAGTGCGCATTACTTTGATAATTTTTAAAAATGCTTAAGGTCAGCACCTTTCTTCATAAAATTCAGTTATACATTTTATCTTACAAAATTACATTATAAAGACTATACTAAAATGGAAATATGCTATGTTACTGAAAAAGGCAAGAAATGAAGCTGTGTGCATTAACTGTCAAAAACGCAGAGAAACAGTTTTAAGAGAAGAGAAAAAAACGTAAACGTCAACAGTGGTTTTACTAGCAAAAAAAAAATTATGGGCAAGTAGTTTTTTCTCTCTTTTCCAAATTTTCTATAAAGAAATCATTGATTTCAGATGAAGTTAAGAGGACTGGTAAATGTTAAAATATCAGCAAATATTCTATTCTACCAATAAAATCACAAGAAAGTAAAATACCATATTTTGCCTTGTATAATGTATACTTTTTTCCCCCAATTTTTAAGGGGAAAATAAGGAAGCGCATTATGCGTGGGTAGGGCCTGAGATACCTTGTATCTGTCCTTGTGTTTTGTAATTATTTGTTACATAAAATTTCCTGTACCATGTTATGTTAAAAAATAAACATTAAAATTCCTTTATAATACAAAATACAAGTATAATACAAAATATAAATATAAATAAATAAAAGGTTGAATTAAATAACTAAAATGAAAGATTTTTTCCCCTGAAAGTATGGGCCAAAAGCACAGGTGTGCATTATACATGGCAAAATACAGTGTTTATAGAGTTTTATACAAATATTTAAGTTTACAGCCAAGGACAAAGCCTTGCAATTTGATTCCCCGGTTCCCATGGAAACGCCTTTGCTTCCTGGGCAGGGCAGCGCCACAGGTGGGCTATGACGTGTGCTTCCCTGGGTTTTCTCCAAGCCCAGCTCCGCCCCCAAGAAACTGTGAGGTCTTAGCAATTGCTCTCCCTCCTCTGCCTCACCTCACCTGTGTGTGAAATGGGAGTGACAGCAGGCAGGCGCCTACAGCGGTCAGAACTCGGTGACACGGCCGAGGTAGCTCGGTGTCTGCCACACTCGCTGACTGTCAGCGAGGGACAGCAATTACGACTGCCACCAGGTTTCTGTTTATTCAGACCGGACCCCAAACAGGCTATGATGAAAATCAATTACTCCTTTCGGGAGGAATACTCACCTTTGCCAGCTGTTCAGCAAAATGAATGGCCGTCTTTGTGTGGAGCGTGACGGGTCCTGTTTTTATTCTGGAAACGCCACTGGCTAACGCCATGAAAATGATCAGCTATCGGGAAAAAAGAAGAAAGAAGAGACATCTCACAGAGTCACTGAGACTTGGAGTTAAAATTCTATCACTTTCCATTTAAAAACACTAGAAATCAAAGTAGCTAAAGAATTTCTATTTCTTTCGGTTTCCAGAAGTCCTAAGATTTCATAAAATCTGTGTCACCCAAAGGACAGAGTGTCACACAGAGACGCTGAACAGTCCTCAATAGAGTTTTTAAAATTAATGTTGAAGAATAAAGTAGAGAGTTAGAGTTAACATATTCCAGCAGACGGACTACCTGTCCAGGCTGGCATGTACCATATGACAAGCTTCCCCCACTCTCTACAGTTACAGCCATTTAACGGGTGAATCAATGCGCTAATACAGAAATATGATGAGTGTAGAGTAGACCTGGGCAAGAAGGAAGAGGCTAGGAATAAGGGAAACTGTCTTAAGAAACTGGCTAAGAAATCTTAAAGAACCCATTTGTACATGTAGACCACGGACTTGAGATCAAGGAGAGCAAAGTGCAGCAGAAAGAAAAATCTATGAGGCAGAGGGCCACATAGAGGGGTCATTTGGAAATATTCCTAGCGTTTCTCGATGTGGGTAGATGCGTTAGGGTTGAGAGTGAAGAGGCTGGCAGACACACGACGTGAGGAGGAGGAGGGTCTGGACAGGCGGATCTGGGAGCTGTCAGCGTCCAGACAGAGCCCAGACAGAGCCCAGGAGCCGGGACAGACAACGGAGGGGCGGCGTGCAGACACAGGGAAGAGGGGTGCGCCTGCGCGAGGGGCGCTCTGACGTTCAGAAGCGGGGCAGATGCAGGTGACAACAATGACAGACTAGCAAAGAGGCCAGAGCAGACGGCCAGTGAGACAGAAAGGTAAGTGTACCAGACACCACGGGAGGAAAGCATTTCTGGAAGGAGGGGGATCCGCTGAAGTACGACACGCCACTCAGTGCACGAAAGTCAATGATTAAAAGGTACATTCAATCCAACTGCCACATACTGAAATCTAGCAGGCTCAGAGGTTTCACCTGGAAGTGCCCTTACCTGGTCCTGCAGATACTCATCCACGGCGCCACCGTGTCTAAGGTTGGCTAAGAGCATTTCGGCAGCTTCGATCCCAACCTTGTCCGCGTTTACACCTACGACAGGCACAGTGTAGAAAAGCTCACTGAGAGGCAAAAACTAGAATTAATATGTCCCTGTTAGCACTGACTCAACCGTTTTTAAGGCTCTCAACTCAACTGAGGCAACTTTTAGGATACGAGTTTTACATAATCTTCTAAGTACTTAGCATATGCAAATATTCTATCTGATCATGAAACAATCAAGCAAACCCAAACTGTGGGAAATCTTAGGAGCCAATGGCGTGGACATTTCAAAATGCCAATATCATTAGAGTAAACAAAGGTGACGAGTCTATTCTGTAGTAAAAAAGAAGCTTAAACAGACACGACAACCAAATGCTGGGTGTGCTCAAACACAAAAACCCCACATTGCTTTATCTCGAGAGTATTTTGGAGGCAACTGGCTATGTCTGAAGGCGACAGACACATTCTTTGGGTGTAAAAATGGCACTGTGACCACGCAGGTGCTGCCTCTGGGTACACACACTGCAGTCTCCAGTGTTCCGGCACCTTCCACTGAAGCGCTTAGAAACCCACGCGCCCTGCTGCTGCTCGGTGTCCACCGTGGGTGGATCAGGGAGGGCAGTGCGTGGACGTTCACTGGTCATTCCACCTTTCTATGGGGTTGACATCTCTCAGAGCACGAAGTTAGGAGAAAGCCTGAAAATTTCATTGACCCTGACACAGAATCGGGTAACCACATCCTCCTCCACCGGTCGCCCATCGCTGGGAAGAGCGGACCCCCTTCATGTGTCTGTACCTCGTTTACCGAGCGACGACCCGGCCAGCAGACAGCCCGAGGACGTCTCCGCGGTGATGCTGCACAGGAAGAAGCAAGTGTTACCACCTCGGCCATAGACAGTCTAAAATTACGTGCAAATACGACACAGGAGAACATATCTGGCTAGAACATTGCAAACGCGAAACTGTTCACACAGAGGGCAGCCTGCTGAGCACTGTCCATCTTCTTCGAGGCCCTGGTGTCCCTCAGCCCTTCAGGCGGGAAATCACCCCACATTCTAGTCCACTCACAGGTTAAGGGGCAGCGCTCCCCGAAATGTGGTCCCGTGCTAAGGGGTACCATTTCACAACCAGGCTGTACTATAAACTATCCTATGATTACCTTAAAGTGAAAGGTCTTTCTGGAGAGATGTTTGGTTTTGTTTGATAGTTTTTAGATAGTATTATTATACGTAGAGCACGCATTAACTATAACCCTTTACCAGAAACTCTAAACAAGAGACTTTAAAATTTAAATATCCACAAAGGATACTTGCATACTTCAAAAGCATCAATTAAAGCATTTTTCTAGCACTTAAATCAATAACTCCTAATTGGATTAATATAATAGTTATACTTCTTTTCCTAAAGAGTGTTGCCATCTCTAATATTTGCTTAAAAGCTGGAAACATTTGCTTGTAAACTGGAAACATGTCTCTGAGGATCAGCTTTGAAGACTAACTTCTGATTCAAGTCCAGTTGAAGTTGGCTATGTAGACAATAGAGCTCTTACAACGTAATAAAGGCAAACCTTCCTCGGGAAAAAACTCGGAATAAAATAATCATCTTAACGTATTGTACAATTGTTTTAGGTATAAACACCCTTTAAAATACAGGGGTCCAGCACAAATAACGCCCCTGCTTCATTACAAACTCCTTTCTTACAAAATCATGAGCATGTCGTTCTGTAACACAACAATGTCACACTCAAGCGCACCATCGGGCATTTTAGGTGAACTGTTCAGATTAAGACTATAAAATATTACACCTGTATTATTGCCCTACCAACCACACTCAAGCGGGCCTCACTTCTGCTGGGCCCTGTGTATTTTCTTTTTAAACAAAGAAAAGCCACAAATCTCGCACGTAAGTACGACAATTATTTCGGGGCTGTCCGCCAGCACGCAGGAGAAAGCACAGAGTCAGCCGTACATGATCCCACTGCCGTTGCCGAAGGCCTGGTCCCCCGGCTCCTGGACGGGCTGGATGTTCACGTACAGGTCCCGGAACTCCTTCCGGAGGCACCGCACCGCCGCCGCCGCCATGTCCTTGGCCATCTGTTGCGGCAAAACAGAAAAACAGAGTGAAATAAGTCAATGGCTATTCTGACAATGGTTTTCATGCCTTCAAGGGCAAAATAACTTTTACGAGCAGTGTACAAAAACTTGATTTTCAGCCTTGGCTGGAGCTCAGTGGATTGAGCGTGGGCTGTGAACCAAAGCATCGCAGGTTTGATTCCCAGTCAGGGCACATGCCTGGGTTGCAGGCCACGGCCCCCAGCAACCGCATATGGATGTTTCTCTCTCTCTCCCTCCCCTTCCCTCTCTAAAAATAAATAAATAAAATCTTTAAAAAAACTTATAAAAAAACTTGATTTTCATGACTCAAGAGCACAGAATTTTATGAAAAACAACTTTTAATAAAAAGATTTATTTAAAGGTTAAGTTCTTTCAGTAATTTCAGAATGCAGAGGACATAGCACTGATTGAGACACACCTGTGCTTCCAAGAACATCTAGACAACTCACCTTAAATGGCAAAACACCAGCCACAAACGCTCTCCCGTGGATCTTAGTCACGGAGCCACGGTCAGTCAAATTGATGGGGTTCAGCTGTTTAACTGGTGACATCTGGACGATCACTTCACCACCCCCCTTGGGGTAGTAGCCCCTATACAAAAGTACAACAAACACTCACACAAGCTGATTGCATGACAAAAATAAAGCTCAATATCTGCCATAAAGGAGCACATGAACGACATGCAACCATATAATCGAGCTTAGAAATTTCCAAATAACCTGTTGGGTCTATACTGCCCAACATGGTAGCCTCAATCACCAAGTGACCATTTACATGTAATAAAACTTGAGACACAGCTCCCGAGTCGCACTAGCCACATTTCAAGGTGTCAACAGCCGTATGTGGCAAGGGACTGCCATGCTGGACAGATGGCGGGGACAGAAAGGGGATGTTTCCCGCAGTGCAGGAAGCTCCACTTGACAGGGCTTTTTCAGAATAAAAGTTCCTTGATGTAGGACGTTGTCTGTTTTGTTCCCGCCACACTCCCGTGCCTAAAACAATGCCTGGCACGTAGAAGACGCTCAGTCAATACTATGAGTATGTAAGTGGCCGAACACTAATAAAATCAAACTCCAATTCTTAGCATCGTTGATTCCACAGCAGATGCTGCGAACACGCAGGGGAGTCCAGGAGGGCTGCCCACCCGGGAGGTGGATGGCGCCCCACATGACCCACCAGGGCACAAGTCGGCCGCATGGAAAACTACATCAGAGGTGCAGGCATGGGCTCATGGACGAGCCATGCAAGAAATTACATTTCATTTGGGCAGAATAAAGGACTTCCAATTTTTCGGAGCGCAGGGGAGGAAACACCCATGTACAAAGACACACAAGTCCGAAGGCACCAGGATGTTGACGGGGCAGCAGGCCATCAGGCAACGGGAATACGTGGGGCGGTAAAAGGGGGCCGCAAGGCTAGAACGGCACATTGGAACGAGACTGCAAAGCACTCAAATGCCATATCCTGAAAGGTGGCCTCTGCCTGAGGATAAAAACCATGACTGCATTGTGGGGAGAACGCCTCCCACGACCCCGCAGTCCTCGTCCTGCGGTCGGCACACAGTAGGTGTTCAACCAGAGCCGAGCGTTGGGAGCACGAGACCCAAAGGGGCCTCAGGGCAGAGTTCCCTTGAAGGTCTTCCTCCCCCAAAGAAGGGCACTGTCCCTGGCAGCTGCCTTCTCTCTTCAAACCACAATGCACAGTTATTGCCTACCGGAAACGTAAGGTACAGGGGGTCCAGAACGGGGGCTCCCTGAGCTCTCCCTTTCCCACTGTCTTCCCCACCAATGGCCAAGAAGGAAGCAACTTACCTCATTTTAATGTCACAATTAAACTTGAAACCAAACTTTTCAACAATGGGCTTGAACACCTGAAAGATCAGATCACTGTTACCTCAACAAGCAGTAGTCACTGATTCGACAAGTGTATTTATCGCACCAAATGCTCTGCCCTGAGCTACTTACGAGATACTATAAAAAGAGAAAAATGTGGAAAAATGCTAGTCCCAATTTTCAAATAAAGTGACACGTAGCTAGATTAAAGGTCGGGGCTGTGCAAGTCTGTCTAATGGAAATAAAACTCACAGCTCAGTGGATCCCATGGTCTCGTTAGCTCGAGGCCGGTATTCCCCAGCCCTCCCCAACATAAGGCACCGTAAAAAGTTAGGGGCTTTGGTGAACAGGATTCTACTCCACCCTCTCACTGGCCATTAAGACTACTACTCCAGCATACACAGGAATGCTGATATCTCTTTGCCATCTTAATTTATCATTCTTTTTGGATTAATACCCAGAGCAGGATGACTAGATCATATGGTGATTTTATGTTTGATGTTTTTGAGGAACCTGTGTACTATTCTCCATGGTGGCTGCGCCCTCCCGGGTTCCCACCGACAGTGGGCAAGGGCGCCCATTTCCCCGCATCCTCACCAACTCTCGTGAAATGTGGAATTTAACTCTTGTTGGGAGGTGTTTCTCCCCAATCATAATTTCATAATTCCTGTATTTATGAAAGAGCTGGTTTCTATAATAAGTAATATGCCTCATAGCATAATTACACTTGGTGTTTTTAAAGAATGCACCACGAACACATCTAAGCCACAACCCGGAGTCTAGAGAACAGGTGACCCCACCACAAAGAACCCCACAGGTACGCCCACGAAACCGCTCGGGGTGTATTCGCACGGACAACGCGCCAGCTCGTGCTGGCTTGTGGACACCCCCCGCGGCTCTCACCGTGGCCATGTAGTCGATCTGCGGGGCCATCTCAGCGTTGGTCCCGCCTCTCAGACGCAGCTCCGACGAGGACGCGGCGAAGAGGACACAGGGCAGGGACACCTGCAGCAGGAGGCACACGCTCCTGGGGGGCGGCAGAGCGGGCTCAGCTGTGCGTGCGCCTCGGAGTTACGAGAAAGCGGCACTTACACATCCACGTGGCAGAAGCACAGACAACTTGGGGAGGCAGGTACACGCCCCCAAGTTTAACATTAAAAAACCCGTCTGCGACTGATGACAGCCTCAGTCTGAAAGGCAGTATTTCATCGTGCATGAAACCAGCCCTACATGTAATGGTTATATATCCAGTTTTCCAGTGGGAAGAAAGAAAACCAAGATCATATCCCAACTAGAAGCAGTATAATATGATTCATAATTAGCTATAAGTCGAGAATGAAATATACTACAACGCAAAGGCTGCTATGACTATAAAGCATGAAAACAGTTGCTTTCAGATATATCATTTACAATGATAAAAGGAAACATATGCCATATTATACACGTGAGAAAATTCTCAATATAGTAAGAACTACAGTTAGTCAACAAGTAAGTACCCAAAATGTCTCAAACTCGAAAAGGAAAGTGTTTTAGCTGCATTTTGAAAGGTAGGAAACCAGGACCCAGAGAGGTTAAGCCACGCGTCCAGGCGGCGGCAGGACCTGCCCTGGAATCCAGGTCCGACTCCGGAGCCCGGCCTGGAGGGGAAGGAAGCACCACGTACCCCGCCGTCTTCGTGTCGGCGGTGTGGGTCCCACCTCTGATCTTCCCCGGCGTGAACGTTACCTCCGTGGAGCCGATCGCTGCCCCGTCCAGTTGCCCGTCACACAGATCCCGGATCATTTCCAGTCCAGATAAATGCTGAGGCCTTGGGGTCATAAAACTGCGTCAAAACGTGTGCATCCGGACTGCCTGTCCCCCCTCATCTGTGACTCGGTTACAAAGGTACAGAGTGCAAAAACGGCAAGCTCTGACCGCTGGAACTGCTGTGAAACCTTCAGGGTCAGAGCCTCCTTGGGGTTTCATGCACCTGGACGAGCTGCCAGCAGGCATCACGTTAAGGGATCCTTCCAGACCTTCAGCTATAAACACATCGCTGATGTTCACTAAGTGTGCAAAGAGGAAAGGGAACAAAGCTGCCTAAGTGCCAGCACTCTCACTTGCACTCTCCTGAATAATCTAAGACTCGTGCTCCCCCGAGATTCGTATGTTGAAGCCCTGACTGCCAGCATCTCAGAATGTGACTGAATTGGAGACAGGCCTTTCAAGGAGGAGATTAAGTTAAAAGAGGCAGTCAGGGTGCTAATCCATTCCCACTGGTGTCCTTGTATTAGAAAGAGGAGACTGGGACCCGCCCTCCTCCCCAGGGAGACACCGCGGACGTGCAGGCACAGGAGGATGACCGTGGGAACAGCAGCCGGGGGTGGCCAGGGGGAGAAGCCTGAAACAGCACCCTCCCTTAGGGGCCTGGGAGGGAGCCGACCCTGCCGGCACCTTGGTCTTGGACCTCCAGCCTCCAGGACTGTGAGGAAATGAAGTCCTGTTGTCCAGGCCACCCAGCCTGCGGTATGTTGCCGTGGCAGCCCCAGCAAAGTGATGAAGCCCCTAACACAGCCTTCACGAGTCGGACGTCCCTCCAGGCCAGGGGGGCTGCCGCAAACAACTGTGGCAACGGTAACGAATGCCCACCGCGTCACCAACCGCCTCTCAGTCAGTAATTTCAAAATGGATTGTGGGTAAAATAAAAGGCTAAGAGATGGCTGAGCTACCACAATGGACTATATACAAATTACATACAAAGGACCCAGTTTGGCTTCAACAGGCGTGTATACCTGAACCTCATCTGAGGGCAAGCCTAGCTTCCCAGACAGAAGGAACAAGGTCACGTGCCAAGGCTTTCCCCTTCTCCACACCGGGCGGGACCTAGTCGCAGCTTCCCGCAGGGCTGAATGAAAGCGGACTGACACAGCTCTGGGTCCTTTCCTGGTCTGTGATTCGAAAGCCAGCGAGCGGCAGCAGAGAGCGGCTGGCTAAGCCGTGGGGTTGCCTCGGGCTCCAGAGGCCCATCTGCCCTGATCAATCTCGCCCGCTGCTCCGAGCTCTCCAGGTGGTTGGAATGCCCGAGGAGGTGGGGAAACATTTTAAAAGCTGGGTCTTTGGGAAATGAGACAATTCCAGCCAGGACAAACATGGGCCAAAACTTGCCCCTGGAGGGTTTCAAGACCGCACAATCGGGCCACAGCTAACAGCCCAGGCTGGATCGCTGCACCCTGGGGACACGGCAACCGTATTTTTTCAGCATCATTGCTGGGGCTCCTGAGCCCCCAGCCCCACGCCCTCCCCAAGGCCCCAGATCCCGTTTTCCACCGCCTGTCCGAGTAGCCCCCTAGTCCCCGCCCCAGCGCCCGATTACCGCAGGCCCGGCGTGCTGCGGCCGGCTCGGATCTTCTGCACCCGCAAGGGCACGCCCAGGAGACAGCTCAGGGCCGTGGACACCCTCAGGATCTGGCCGCCCTGCCCACGGTGCGGGGCGGAGAGAAAAGGGAACGTGAGACCACAGGGCTTCCCCCACCACACTCCCACCCCACGGCCTCCGCCCGGCACTCACCCCTTCCAGGACCCCTCCGTCCACCTCTACCCGCGGCCCCGCCATCCGGGGCGCCCTGGGGCCCGGCCCACAGACACACAGCCTCCGCCCGAGCGCGGCAACTAGGACGCGCCGGCTCCCGCCCCGCAGCTCCGAAAGCTGGTCCTCGCTCGGGCCGGGCGGATCCTGTGGAGAGGGAAGAAACGGCGGATCCCCGAAAACCCGATTCTGCGGAAACCACGCGGGACACTCAGCTGGCGAAATCGGGTTCGCACGCCCAGCGGCGGCCAGTGCGCATGCGCGCCGTGCGGAACTCCGCCAGGGGGCGTGAACAAAGTCGCTGCAAATCCCGGCCTCCGGTGGTGCGGCGGCGGCGGCGGCGGCGGCGGCTGGCTGTGTCGCCAAACGCGGCAGGAGGTGTGTCCCGAACTTCGGTGCGCTGAACACAAACAGCAATGCCCGCGAGTTGCGGAAGCCTTCATCTCCTCTGTCACCGGCTCCTCCGGTGGTCTGGAAGGCTTTTGCGAACCTCGGTTCTTATCTCTGTTTTCTTGACGAGCTGGAGACCCTTAGAGCCGAGATGCAAGAAAGGGCCGGCCCCCGCGATGCGCCGACCTCCCGGGCTGATCGGGCGTGTCTTCTCCGTGGCCTGTCCCTTGAAATGCGTGTGCCCTGGTGTAGAGGACTATTATTTCTTTTTCTCTCGTGAGACACATGTAAAATGATACAGCCACTTTTGAAAATAGTCTGGCAGTTCCTTATTATCTTGGTTAAAGTTAAAGACACACCAAACCCTTGTCTCAGCAATTCCATATTTAGGCATATATTCTTACCTTATTGATCAAAATGTAACTGACCAACCAATAGCATTGGTGTCATCACCTAGAACCTGTTCAGATGCAGAACCTCAGGCCCTACCCAGTTCGGTGGAATTGGAATCTGCATGTTAATAATAAGACCCCCAGCTGATATGAATGCTCATTACAGTCTAAAAAACACTGCCCTAAAGAAACTCGTGCACAGGCACCAGAAGAAAAGATCGAGAATGCAGTATGTGCACTTTCAGATCTGGCTTCTTTGACTTAGCATTCAGATTTGGTTCATCCATATTAAAACTTGTATCAGTACTTCAGGTCATTGTCAAGGATGAACAATATTCCATTATGTGGATGTACCACATTGTGTTTGTCCAGTCACCTGTTGAAGGACATTTGGGCTGTTTCTAGTTTTTGGCTGTTATGAAGAATGCTGCCCTGGCTGGCATAGCTCAGTGGATTGAGCGCGGGCTGGGAACCAAAGTGTCCCAGGTTCGATTCCCAGCCAGGGTACATTCCTGGGTTGCAGGCCATAACCCCCAGCAACCGCACAATGATGTTTCTCTCTCTCTCTCTCTCTCTCTCTCTCTCTCTCTCTCTCTCCCTTCCCTCCCTAAAAATAATAAATAAATAAAATCTTTAAAAAAAAAAGAATGCTGTTACAATTGTTCTTGGACTAACCTTTGTGTAAACATATATTTCCATTTCTCTTGGGAAGATGCCTAGGAGTGGAATTGCTGAGTCATAATCATTTGTATTCATCAAAAAAGAGATGAAATGAGTTGTCTTGTTTGAGTGAAAGGATGAACTAGTGAATAGGTGGCATGTCTCCAGATTTTGGAAGAAAAAAAAAGGAAACAATACTAAATTTGGAAGCAGTCATCCAATGAGGCAAAAAGAGGGTAGTAAAAGGAAATAAACTAGGTATTTTCATGGGAGAAGGTAGAATTAAAAGGAACTTTAAAAGGAAGAAGGTGGTATAGGGACCCTAGGAAGAAAAAAATCCACTTTCAAGGCACAGCTACCTTATCTTTTTATATAAACACATGCATGCAGTATTATCAAATATGTTAATAGTGCCTATAACGTTCTTTGTTAGTGGGAAAGTTAAAAAATTAAAGTGTTGACTCTCCCAGCTTTTCTTATAAAGGTTATGATTTACATGTATTGCTTACATTAGGGCGTGTGTGTATGAAGTACTCTGAGAGGCAAATAAGGCAAAAAACAAGGGTGAGTTTGGATAATACTAGAGGGTGGACTTCTGAAAAAAACTAAGATTTTGTTTCACAGCCACTAATCTTCAATATCGAGGATTATAATGTTCTCTTTGCTCCAGTTTTTTTCCCCTGTAATTCTTCGGACAATCTGTGCAGATTTTCATGCCCTTGAAAGCGGCAAGGAGAGACAAATGCCATCCTGGAAGAGTGACTTATGCAAGCTCTGATCTTTTCTTTACGGGTCCTAAATTTTACATTTAAGAGGCAAATAAATGAAGTTTATATGTCTCTGACCTATATTGCATGTGCTGGGTGGTTGCATCTGACAATACTATCTAAGAAGGAAAGATTGTGTAAATAACATGTTTATTTTAGACATTAGGGTAACCTTATGCCAAACAAGTAACCTTATGCTTACTATGCAAACAAATGGAAAAGCCCATGTCAATAGTCAAGAACACTCCATGGGTGTAACAAATGCCAATCATTGGGAAATATTTCAAGTAATCAAGGCGGTTACAACATGTACAAGCTGAAGACACCAGGTACTTTCCTACTCATCCTCAGGTCTTATGTCACATAACTTTCTCCAGTTAAGTGCCTTTCCTTTGTGTTCTTTTTTCCCCCCAAAAGATTTTATTTATTTACTTTTAGAGAAGGGGAGAGAAAGAGAGGGAGAGAAACATGAATGTGTGGTTGCCTCTCGCACGCCCCCAACCGGGACTGGCCAGCAACCCAGGCAAGTGCCCTGATTGGGAATGGATCCCGCGACCCTTGAGTCCCGCAACTCTATCCACTGAGCCACACCAGCCAGGGCCCTTTGAGTTCTCTTAACACTATTTCCCCCCACTGCGGGGACTGCAAAGATGGCCGTTGGTGCACATGTCCCACACTGTCCCCTAAATTAAATTTGGGCTGCCCTCTTTCCCACTTGTCCCCCCCCTCTTCGATCTCTTACCTCTGGGTGGGCTCCCCGACCTCCACCCAGCCGCGCCCCTGCCCCGCCCCACTCCCTGATTGGCTGTCTAGTGGGCTGCTCTTTCGCTCTCATTGGTCGCTCAGGGGGGCACGTTTCCCGGCTACCAATAGGTGGCGGGCAGAGGCCACGCCTCCAGCCGCAGAGCAGCTGTCATTTCCGGAGTAAGATGGCCGCAGTGCGCGTGCTGAGAACCTGGAGCCAGAGTGTTGGGCGGCGGGTAAGCAGACTGGGGCCGAGCTGAGCTCGGGAAGGAGTGAGATGTCCACTGTCATCCGGGAGAGGTGTGTTAGTTTGTACCCCGCGTGCCGCGCGTACCGGGCACGCGTGATTGAGAGGTGTAGGGACAAACGCAAAACGAAGGACAGAGAAGGTGGCTAGCCGACCCGTCTGGACACCCACTCCTCCCCTTACCTGGGCGCGCACCTGGTTTGACTCGGTCGCCCTCCCGCCCGCTCCATCTACAGCCCGAAGCCCAGCTGGCCTTTCATTGAGCAGTATCTGGGTGCCGGGCAGTGTGACAGGCACTAGGGATACGGAGGTGTACAGCCACTCAGCATTTATGGGGCACCCACTGGGTGCCAGACGCGGTACTACGGCGCCTGCCCGCAAAGAACTTACAGCAGTGTAGAAGAGACCCTTCGAGCAAAGCGTAACTCCATGGGCGCTTGCCCCCAGCAGCAGAGACACTTGCTCAAGCTTCACTTTTTGGGCGTGTCTTTGTCTCTCATGTCTGCACCGATCTTTCCAAACTTTTTCTCACGGGACGGAGCTTTGACCCACCACCATCTCCCTTGAGATCCCCCACTTTCACAGTCTTTTAGCACTAAACAATTCACAGCCCATAAGTGCAGTGTTCCATCCAATTTGCATGGTGTTTTTTACCTTCTGGGTCCCCTCTTCGCTAGATCTTTCTATAGTGGTCGACTCCTCATCTTGCAAATCCTTTCCAGAGCCTGACACACACCAGCTATTGCGCTAGACATTGAGGATGCAAATATGAACAACACAGCCACCATCCCTGCCTGCTTAGAGGTTTATTACTGCCTTGTGGTGGAGGACAGAGAGAGGCAGACATTAGACAAGCAAGTACAGCCCGGCATAAAAGTGCTATGATGCACCCTGGCCAGCGTGGCTCTATTGGTTGGAGCGAACATCGTCCTGTAACCGAAAGGCTGCAGGTTCAGTTCCCCATCAGGGCATATACCTAGGTTGTGGGTTCAATCCCCAATTAGGGCGCACACGATCCAGGCCTAGGCGCATATGGGAAGCAACTGATTGATGCTTTTCTCTCGCATCAATATTTTTCTCTCCCTTTTTCTCTGTCTGAAAGCATGGCGGGGGACGTGCTATGATGGGCCAAGGGCACACAGCTCCGGGACCACCCAGGAGGGGCCTTGGTGGTCAGACCAGGGAATACTGTGTAACTTGGTATTTGTGAAGGAGGCAGAAGAAGAAAGCTACCCTCAGCAGCACCTTGCAGGTCCTGGCCACCCTCCTGTGAGAGCTGCCCCCATGGCTTCTCGGCCACCAGCTTCCTGGTATTTGTCTTCCTGCCACAGACGCCATTGTGATCTGGGCCTGGCTAATTTCATATTGTGTCTATTGTGACAATGACTGTTCTGCTTTTAGAAGACTCGAAATCCAACATGTACTTCCAGAGAGAAGCCATTACGATCATTTATCAAAGCTTTTACTTTTGTGTTTTTCATCTGTAGGTTTGTGTTCGCTACTTTCAAACATGTAATAATGTTCATGCTTCGCAGCCAAAATACGTGTGTCTCCTTGGTTATCCTTCATTCAAGTACAGTCATCCACACCGATGGCTGAAAACAACTGCTGGTGAGTGTGAGCAAAATAGCTGATATAAAATAATGTTTTGTATTTTACTCAGTAGTTTATTTTAGGTGATTGTAGATTTAGTAAAGTAAAAACAAAGTTGCCTTTTTTTTTTTGAAAATTTTGTTTATTTTTAGAGAGAGGAAGGGAGGGAGAAAGAGAGAAGAGAAACATCCATGTGTGACAGATACATTGATCGGTTGCCTCTCCCATGTGCCCACCTGGGGACCTATCCTGCAACCCAGGCATGCACCCCAACTGGGAATTGAACTGGCTCCCTTTGGGTTCACAGGCCAGCGCTCAGTCCACTGAGCCACACCAGCCAGGACAAAAGTGGACCTTTCATTTCTAGCCTGGCCCTCCTTGCTCTCTCCACATCTGTCCATTTCTTATTCTCTCTGCGCCTCATCTCCACCCCAGTCCCCTATCACATACTTGCCCCTGATACCTGTGTCGTCATCGTGTTGGGAATGGTTGGCTTGGGCCATCTGTCCATTATCATCTGACTCTTCTGAGCTCAGCAGTCAGCGTGGAGACGACTCTCCTGTCCGGGAGGGGTGGGGCGCTGACATCATAGTTCGCGCCCTTGCACTTCCCACAGTGCTGTTCGCTGGAGCAGGCACTGCCTTGTTCTGCTGGACGGTGCGGTGAAACCTGCCTGTGTGCTCCTCCAGAGCAGGTTCCTCGGCTTTCATCACGTAACTGCCCTTCCCTGACACTTTCTTCCCTCCATAAAGAACTGGAGGCTGCAAGTATTTGATGTGCAAGAACTCTAACACCGTTTTTCTGGTGTTCTCTTCAGAGCCTGATTAAAAAAAAAACAACCTGGACTTCTGTTACATCAGTAACCCCCACATGTGAGGTGCCTTAGTCCGTGCTAACGATGAAAGGGGATTCAAGATTTTTATTTTCAAAAGCTGACCTTTTCTTAGAGAACAGAGAGGCTGTTCTAGCTCCAGAGTCTAAGCAGTTGTCCTGAACATTGGGCTCTTGACCTACCAGGCGCTGGCTGTGCAGCCCAAAGCAAGTCGCTTCACGTCCTTCTGTGCCATCATCCGGAAAACGGGGGCAGTCATCGTGTCTGGCCCTTCGTATTGTTGGCAGAATCAACTCATTGAATGCAGACGGTTACCGACCTCCTGCTGTGTGCCCAGCACCGCCAGCCCTCGTGCCGGGCTACGCCCTCTTCCGCTGGTCCCTAACACAGCAAGCAGTTAGGTTGGAAACCTGGAGCCGTCCTGATCCCTGTCTCCCCTCAGACTGGATCATCGGGGTCTATGGATTTTGCATCTTACATGTTTCTTAAATCCGTCTCCTCCTTTTCAGACAGCTTCAAAAACACACTGCTGCCTAGTTCAGTGTCTGCCCCTGCAGGGGCCCCCTCACTGCTCTCTCCGCCACCCCGTCTCTGACTTCACTTGCCACATCCTTGACAGAGGGAATTTTCTCCTAAAATTATAGAAAATCACGGACGAGACCTCCTCTCAGTAAATTAGTGCTGAGTAACAACCCTGCCCGTGACTGAGTGGCTTAAAGCAGCTGTGATTTATTACCTGCCAGGATTCTGGGCTCTGGCCTGGCTCACTACTGCGGCCGCATCCAGCCAGAGGATCCCCTGGGCTGCAGGGGCCGCGGGGGCCTCACTCACGTGTCTAACAATTGGTGTTGGCCTTGGGCTGGGGCACCCCGTGGCCTCTCTTGTCCTCCCCCAGGTAGTTCCCTCCCAGGGAACGCTGAGCAGCCTGTTGCCAGGCAGCACTCCGGGACAGACAGGAGAGAGAGTGGGAGGTCTTCTGAGGCCGGGGCTGCAACATTTACACACTGGCTCTTCTGCTGTGTTCTCTCCCTCAAAGCCAGTCCTAGGTCAGCATAGGCTCACCTCTCCTGGGGGCAGCTGCGAAGATTTTTCTGAGCATGTTTGTTTACTGCTGGCTCCTGATTCCCTTTAGGGTAAGTTCCAAACACCTGACCTTGGCCTGGCACAGAAAGTCTTTTTAAGCCTGGGCTGACTCCTTGACATGCTGAAAGAAGTATTTGTCATTCCCTGACCGTGCTGTACGCTGTCACCTTTGGTGTTCTTGCACATGCTGTGCCTTGCACAACACGGCTTGGTGTACAGGTGTCCTAATGTCTTTACTTGTGGTTTTTCAGTGACTTAAGTTGGCTTCTAGCTCTTCACTGTAACTCCAGGGAACCATTCCTGAGCACAGATTTTACGTACCTCTCTGTGTCTCTGAGCAAAACAGTCTTAAAACTTGAATTACTTGCTGACTCAAAGTTAAAGACTTTTTAAAAGGCTTTTGATACTTAATACCAACTATGTTTTTGAAAGGTTCCGATTTATACTATAGCAGCAGGCCGAGAGAGGGCCCAACTCACCAGAAAGGAAACAGGGGGCTCCCAAGACCCCCACATCGAAGATCCAGTTTGTATTTCTTTACTGCTAACTTACCTCCTCATATTTATTTAAGAAAAGTTTACTACCTTCGTCTGCTTGTGTGTTTTATAAGCAGTTATCATTACGAACAGTCTAAAAATAGAAGCACACTCTTGAATCAGTTCAGAGCCATTTGTTAGCAAAAAATACTGACTTTCTGGGGAATAATTACCATAAAGTATCATGGGCATCCAAGTTGTATAAAAAGGGGTAGCAATTCCAAAAGGGCTAAAAAGTGGAAGCAGAAAAGAAAAGATTCAAATGTAATGATAAATTGGCAGAACATAGTTTGGGCAATGCAGAATTTTTCACGGAGTTTTCTACCAAGGCGTCCGCCCGATCTTGAACCACTAAGAATGAGAGTATGAAGTCAAAATACGAAGTCAGAAGGGATCTAAAAGCAGGCTGTTAATGGCTGTTTCAGTTTCGTAACCTGAAGCAAGGGGATCCAGTGCGGTCTCCCTTAGGACAATGTCATGTTTCATAGTCTGTTCGTTGTAACTGTTCCGAAATCTCATGTGTCGGAGGTCTTCCATACCCTTGTGAAAGAGCGTTCTTTTGAAAGTTGGAAGAAGCGAGTTCTGTGGCAGTGACTAATTTATTTAAATCTTGGACGGTTACAAATGATGATTGTGCAGTTCCAAATTATGACACGGCCCTGGCCGGGGTGCTGACTGGGTTAGAGTGTCATCCCGACGCGCCAAGGTTGCAGGTTCGCTCCCAGGTCAGGGCACATGCACGAGTCGAGCAGCGACTGCATCAGTAAGTGTAACAACAAATTGGTGTTTGTCTCTCACTCTGAAAAAAAAAAACAAAAAAATTATGAAATGATTTCCTTAGGTGTAAAATGGAATAATTTCTCCTTCCACTTAGGAATCTTTTATCATTTTAGATGTGAAAGCATCTCTTAGCAACACATGACACGTTTAATGAGACCGTTTTCTCTTTTTTCTTTGAAGCTCAACAGGGGCAGATTGTCCAGTTCAAACTCTCGGACATTGGAGAAGGCATCAGAGAAGTAACTGTCAAAGAATGGTGAGTTACTAGTCGTATAAACGGGACTCTATGTCAACTGAGAAACTTCTTCCTACAGCGTGCAACGCCAGATGTAAAACAGGGGGTAAAACCGTTTGTCTTGTCTGTGTGCTGGTGACACAGCTCATCGGGTGTCACAGGATTTTACCTGGTGTCCGTCATGAAGGATCACTGTTTTCCTCTTTTTAAAAGCCCCTTTCACTGCCCGCCCCTCATTTCAGCTATAAAAAGGGAGGTTGACCTCTAAGAGGTGATGTTTGCCAGTGTCCCTGTGGCTTTGCTGGAGGAGCAGGGTTCCAGAGGTCCTTCTTCTGTTCTGGAAAGGAAGTCCCCCAGAGTCCTTCCAAACCCATTTGCATGTCACGGGTGAGGTTTTACAGGGAGCGAGAACTCGGTAAGACAGGGAGACAAGGAATAAGAATGACTGAACGGCAATTATGTTAATGAAGAGTTGATGGTTATACGTCAGAAATATGCTAGGTACATCAAGAATGGTGTTAGAATCGACGTCATGTGTGGTATTTCCGGTTTGGTCTCACCTGCTCTGCCTGGTAAAGCATACCTAAGATGACCACAGGATGAAGGGATTGATATACAAGGGATTGATACACATGGTCAAGGGCAGGCTGATGGAATTCTAGAAAGAAGGACCGAGAACTCAAACCAAACCTCACGGAATTACAAAAGGTGTGTACTGGGGATATCAATTTAAAGTCGAATTCTAGAAATGAAAGGTGTCCCTTAGAGTTTGAGTCAGATTAATATAAGACAGTGAAAGGAAAAAAATAACACATTTGAAATACTTTTTTAGAACTTCCTCCTAGGAGTGGCTGGAGCAGAAAACCTGAAAGTTTCATTACATTTTTTGATTAAAGATCTATGAATGGTTTTTATAGTTGTGGTATTTCTTGGAGATACACCAAAGAGATTCTGGAAGCCATTACTGTCGTTTCTGAAACCTTCTTTGGTGGGGGCACCGTCTTGGACTGAATATGGGCCAGACGGGTTCCGATCTGGTTCTGCGTGGCACTGACATGGTAGGGTCGTCTGTGTTCACAGTCGGTCACGCAGTAGGGTCTGACATCTTTTTCTTTCAGGTATGTGAAAGTAGGAGACACAGTGTCTCAGTTTGATAGCATCTGTGAAGTTCAAAGTGATAAGGCTTCTGTCACCATCAGCAGTCGTTACGATGGAGTCATTAAAAAACTGTATTATAACCCAGATGACACCGCCTACGTGGGGAAGCCCCTGGTGGACATAGAAACGGAAGCCCTGAAAGGTACCGTGCGTGTGTTTATCTGCTTGCCAAACTGATCACTGCTGTCCTTTCGTCACGGGGACCAATCAGAATGTTTACTTTTAATAACTTCCAGGAAATGTTTACTTTTAATAACTTCCAGGAAACCAGGAAAATAGGAAAGGTCCCTTGTGATGCGTGCCTATCTTTGGGCCTGCCACCATGTGGAAACCTTGTGCAGGAACAGGTGTCTGGTGGCCAGGTTCTGGATCCGCAGGTTCGAAGGAGTGGCAAGCTCTCCGGAATGAGAGCTTCGGGGCCCTGGTCACTAATAATCGAAGCTGTAGCGTGCAAAGACTGAGCCTCACAGAACGGACCGGCTCTGTTTGCTGCCCGTCCAAACACCAGCGAGCGCTCTCATTGGTGGTGGTTGAGAAAGCCAGACTTCATGAAGTACGTAGGAGAGGAAAGAGGGAAAGTGAGAATGAAAAGCGAAGAGACGAGTTGTCAGGGGGTGCAGCAGCCTTGGACCTGGGGAGCAGAAATTCCCTGAGACAGTCACAGAGGAAAGCTAACACCGGCCTGCTTCCGGCGCGGGGCAGATGGCTGGCTGTCCACCCCCAAGGTCCAGGGTTAGCTCCTCTAGGCAACGGCTTTGCCCCCCGAGACTGCAGAAAGCTGTGACGTGGTCTCGGCCAGCCACCTCTGGGAAGTGCCAGGGTTAGGACAAGTCTGCTGTGTAATTCAGAGTCTGGAGGGGGCTGAATGACACAGTGTCTGCAGTCCGCACAAGAACACAACAGCCAATGTCGTGAGCACGCTTCACAGCTTAGCGAGCACTTCACACTTAGGACTGTTTTCTATCCTTACACGTGAGTGTCTCAGTTGGACAGATGAAGAAACGAAACCCAGCCTAGAAAGGCTGGGCCAGGTGCCCAATGGCGGTGACGGAGCCAAATTTAGAACTCGGTGTCCTTAGTCTTTCACCCGCAGTGATAAGCTGCCTCCAAAGCTGGGTGATGGCTTACGGGAGCCTTTCTATTAGTCATTTAATTTCTGTTATAAAAGCGAGATATTGCAGTATAGAAATTTATGAAGTACAGAAAACCAAAAATAAGGCCTATTCCTTCTACTCAGAAATCACCACCATTAACACACGAGTGTATGCCATTCCAGACACGTATCTAGTGAATTATGCCATGAACTACAGGACTGGTGCCCCAGCTTGTTTGACCAGAAAGAGACACTACTGAGGCCATGAACTGACTTTCCTTCTATCCCCTGGAGTTCTTAACTGCGACCTCCTGTAAAGGACGAGAGATTAACAAGCGAGAAACAAGTTTATTGACACGTATACCTTATGTAAAGGGGAGACAAGCAGCAAAAAGTAAGTCCAAGAGGTGGTAGAATTCAGGCTCCATATCATCTTAATAGGGAAGAGCACGTGGGGGAAATGCAGGCCCCTTAGGGGAGAGTAAGTGAAGTTCAGGAAAGACAATGGGCCACTGTTCGCCGAGAAGTGAGTGTGGAAGCACACTCAGTTGCCTGCTCACGTTCAGAGGTTCGGCCTCCAGTGCACGAGTCCCCGCAGAGGTTCTGCCGCACAGCACTGATCTCCCAGCATCAGGCTCTGACATTTCCCCTCTCAAACACTGTTTGCTTGCAAAAATACATGCTAAAAGCCCTAGATCGTTTTTTCTTCTTTCGGTACTCTAAAGTTAGAGAATAGAACAACCGAAGTAGCATGGTCTTCCACGGCATTCCTTAAGCCATACTCGAAGCAGAGAAAAAAAATGTAAATGCCATGTCCTCTTAGGAAAGCATTTAGATTTGCCACAGGCTTTACATGATTTGTGCATGTAATTTACCTCACATTTCATTCTTATTTCCTGCCATGTATAAGTATACATGAAAAAGCTGTTAGGAAACTATGGACTTATTTAAAAGATTTTATTTATTTCTTTTTAGAGGGGAAGGGAGGGAGAAAGAAAGGGAGAGAAACATCAATGTGCGGTTGCCTCTCACACGCCCCCTACTGAGGACCTGGCCCCCAGCCCAGGCATGTGCCCTGACTGGGAATCGAACTAGTGACCCTTTGGTTTGCAGGCCAGCACGCAATCCACCGAGCCACAACAGCCAGGGCAGGAAAGTATTTAAAATACAACATGTTTTAGACTTTATGGAAGAAGCTCTCACTTCGTAACTGGTAGCTGGCTACACGATTTTAACAGAAATGAAATAAGCAAACACCAGGTAGTAACAGTCATTGAACAACACCGGGGACCAGAACCCCCCAAACACACTAACTCCTCCCGTTTGTTTTCATTCTGAAAACCACCGACTATTACACTTTTTGACTATAAAGCTTAAGTGGAATTTGCTTATACATTGCACGCCACTGAGCGTGTGTTTTGTGTGTGTTTTACTTTTTTAAACCTCAACTGAAGAGCGCCCCTCTCCCCATCCCCAGACTCCGAGGAGGACGTGGTGGAGACGCCCGCCGTGCACCACGAGGAGCACACGCACCAGGAGATAAAAGGCCGGAAGACGCTGGCCACGCCCGCCGTGCGCCGCCTGGCCCTGGAGAACAACGTACGTGGGCGCGCGTGAGCGGTGCCTGTCCCCGTGTGAACAGTTAGCCCACCGTCCCGCGGCGGGGCGGCCCCGGGTGGGGATAAAGGGGACAGGAGCACGCCCGGCACCCAAGGGTACCGAAGGGTGACGGTTGCCGGAAGGCACTCGAGAGAAGCGAGAAAGACGCTGCGAACTCACTCACTCCTTCAGCTGCTGGAGGAGCGTGACTTGACTGTTCCTCCCTAGACAGCAGGGAGGGGCCGGCGCCGGGAACGCTGGTAACCCTGCCGCCTCCCAGCAGGGCCTAGGGGCACAGACCGGACCCGGACCGGGTACCGGGATGGACGCCTGGGTGGTCGGTCCTCGGAGAGAGTGAAGCCCTTCACAGAAAATGCGTGCAGGGGAGGGTGGAGGCGGGGAGCGGTCCAGGAAAGGGTGTGGTCTCCAGGCTCAGCCCTGGTCCCCGGGCTCGGGGAGAACCCCAGACCCGCGCTGACCTGTCCAGGGGGCTGGCCTCTCCCTCCTCTCTCAGCCACTCCTCGGCGCTCACCCCCAGGCACAGGCGACTCCCCAGCAGGTGACCCGTGTTTACGTGGTATTCCACTGAATGGTCACAGCCCTGGGAGATAAGGGGCTGGTGTAAGGTAGGAGGAGGGTGGGTGACTGGCCAAGGTCACACGGCTGCGGTGGGGCCCGGCCTGCGAAGGCAGCAGCCTCCGGGACTCCCAGACCCGCGCTGCTCCTCACTAGGAGCTGCCTCGGCAGCCACTGCCGTCGGCCCTGGAGCGCTCCTGGGCCAGCCACGGGGCATGCGCCTGCACACCCTCACAGCACCCCGAGAGGGGGGTTGGCCTGTGCCCACTTCGCAGAGGGGGAGGGCAGAGAAGTTGACTCGGTTGTCCGCAGTCCAGGAAGCAGCTGGCTGGGGACTTGAGCACAGATCCGTCGGTTCCGAAGCCCGAGTCCTCCCCAGTATGTCCCACAACTCGGGGTTTTTGCTTGTTTGCTTGTGTGTCTGTTTTTGAGAGAAGTAGTTAAGGGACAGTGAGAAAAACAGGTGTTTACACTTTGGAAATATAAGGGTCATTAAGACGTTTGTACCCCCTCAGCTAGTTATCTGACCGTTGTTCCGGAAACCGTCCCAAGGGGACAGTTTAATCGCCGAGGGGACAGTTTTCCAAGTGCTTTGTAGCCCAGAATTAGAAAGCCCGTGTGCTCGAAACCCGGGGAATGCTTGGGCAAACTATGTTACAAACCCCAGTGACACTTTATTAGCCATTGAACATGTTCAAATATGAAGACCATTTAGCATCACAGGAAATAGAATAACAGTGTAGAGCACTGGATTGTTAGAGCATCAGGTGACCTTCACACTGCTTTGAAAGCTATAAAGCATTTTACCAGTGTTTTTTCTTAACTGTGTGGAAAGACCATCTGTGGGAGCATGTGACTTGGCCTTCCTGCACACTTTGTGTGTAACAGCTGGAGTATCTGTATGATCACTAGACATCCAAGAGTAGATTTATTATCATGCATCATCTTTTTTTAATTTGCTGTTTGCATATCGAGTTTGATTAAAATGAAAAAAAAAACAATGGCATTTATAGGTGTTTGTAAATACATAGAAATTATTTAAATTCTCAGGGTTCATTTGTTAAAAACGAAATGTTTCACATGTAAAGTCCTTCATGAGTGAGTGTGAGGTCATCCCGAGAGAAGCTCAGACACGAGTGAAGAGGACTCACCCCAGGGAACGAACTGCCACACGCAGGCGCGAGGGCGCCGTCCAGGCTCCAGGCAGAGTCAAGCACAGTGGGGATATTTCGTCTCCGTGGCCAAACGTAGGACACGGTTACACAGAGCAAGGCCACGTATGTTTCCAGAAAGTATAGGGAGTGTCTGGTGGAAAGTGGAACACATCAGCTGTCGTTGAGTCTGTAGAAAGCAATAATAAGACACATGTACATGACCCTTAACCTGGGCTGAGGAACTCGCACTCCAAATAGACCTCAGTGAAAGTAACTTCATTGTTTCGTGGTGATCTTTCTGAAATAACCACCAGAAAGATATCAATTTAGGAGCGCTTCTGTGAGGATTCTTTCAACTATTACACGTTTACTGGTCTACTTTTGTTGTAGTATTTAACTCTTTAAAATTCTTAGTTCTTATATAGTTTCCAAAAATAGGGGAAAAATCAAATAAGAATTATGCAAAACATCGAGGAACAGTCGACTGTTTACAAAGGGTGAGGTTTCACCAACGGGCAGGGGCGAGCTGCCCCGTGGACCCCGCACCGTTGCCGCCGGGGCCGGGGCGCAGGGTGGGCAAAGACACGGGGTCTCTCAGGAAGGGAGCCGCCGCTCACGTTCACGGCGCTCCGTCAGGATGCTGAACACGTTTCCTTTTGTACCAACTTACTGGCAGAGGGTCCTCTTTTTAACCTACGGTTCATTACCTTCCATGTAGGGACCTTAACGATGGATTTGTGTTCAGGCCGTTTTATTTTTTAGCGTTACACTGTGTCATTTTTTAGATTAAGCTGAGTGAAGTTGTCGGCACGGGAAAAGATGGCAGAATACTCAAAGAAGACATTCTCAACTACCTGGAGAAGCAGACGGGAGCTATCCTGCCTCCTTCACCGAAAGCGGAAATCGTGCCGCCCGCGCCCAAACCCAGAGACAGCCCTGTCCCCGCACCCCTGTCCAAACCTCCGGTGTTCACAGGCAAAGACAGAACCGAACCCGTGACAGGTAATAATGACAGCACGTGAGGAAACGGTGTCATTTGTTTGCGGGGAAGCCCCCTCCACAGATTGCTGTGCACACGGCAACACGGTGCTTTTTAGTTAGCTTGCAAAATAACAGCTCCTGGCTTGTTTTGCGTAAACTCGTTGGACGGTGACTTCCAGCAGGGCGATGCGGCAGGAAAGCCGTTGGGTGGAGACGTGAGTTGCATCCCCTAGAACCTCTACACGCACAGCCTTGGAAGCAGGCACCTGTCGTATTACTGACCTTGGCCCTGGGCGTTGGGCTTCAGCATTGAACCTGGCAGCTTCTGAGTTCTGCGGTGACGCAGGCAGCCCCGAGAGGAAGGCTGATTGGGAGCGAACAGCGTTAGAGGACCTTCTGTTTTAGGTCGCAAAGCCGAAGGGCGGGCGGGCGGGCGGGCGGGGGCTCTGACGCCGCCTGCCTTCCAGGCTTCCAGAAGGCCATGGTGAAGACCATGTCGGCGGCCCTGCAGATCCCGCACTTCGGCTACTGCGACGAGGTCGACCTGACCGAGCTGGTGCGGCTGCGCGAGGAGCTGAAGCCCGTGGCTGCCGCCCGTGGGATTAGACTCTCCTTCATGCCCTTCTTCATAAAGGTGAGGTTCCGCGCGTGCCCGGCAGGGTCGGGGAGGGCGTCTCGATTTTGTTCTCCAAACAGTCAGCGTGTCGACTGGGGCTCTGAAGAACAGTGTTACTTCTCACCGTATCGCCCGGGAGGACACCCAAGTACTGTGTCCTGGTTCCACGGGAGTTGATAAAACTGAGATATTTGTGTCCTGCTTTCACCCACCGCCTCTGTGGGCTGGGCAAGCCTCGTCCTGTCGGTTGGGTGAGGCCTGCTGCCACAAAGTCCTGGTTTGGCAAAGCCGAGACCTGGCGCTGACTTTGCGTGTCAGCGACATATAGCTGTTTTCATGTACTAGTTCCAGGACGTTCCAGGCCTTGGGACCAGCACGAACGGGGCCAGACCGTCCACCCACCTGAGCCGCTCACGATCGAGCTCACGGTGACCAGCACTTACAGAGCTGTCTGTCACCTGGGCAGACCCGCACCAGGCGTGGCGCATGCGTGCGGGGTCTGCATTACTTCCCAGAGCAACCCTGCCACCCCCACTTCCCATCGGAAGAAACGGGGGGCCCAGAGGAGGGAGAAACCAAGGTCCCGGTTCCAGTCTATTTGACCCAAAATGCGTACTGTTGTCTCTAGCTCCAGAGTGGCTTCCCTCCTTCCCCGCCCCCCCACCCCCACTGCGCCCAGACTGGCCCGTGAGTCAGTCTGTCACTCCCTGATTCTTCTCCGTGGCTCCCCTGCCTTGCCTTCGGGGTAGTTTCTAACCTGCCTCGAGTGCCTTACAGCGAATGCCCGACACTCCGCTGCCTCCCTCCCTCCCCAGTCCCGCCCCCCTCTCCCGCCCTTCCTCTGCTGTAAGCAGATTAAGCTACACCTGGCGCCGGACCGCGCAGCCCCACCTGCCCTGTGCCCTCCCGCCCGGGTCAGTCCTTGCGCCTCCTAAGTGTCAAACTTGGTTCAGGGACAGTGCCCTTTGCTCCCCATTGGAATGGGTCTCCATGCGTTGCAAGTGTTCCCTCGGTGGTTTCCCGGCGGCCGCTGAGCCTCTTGAGGCAGGAACTGTGCTCCTCTGCCGCCCCAGCGAGCAAACGGGAGACGTGGTAGATGTCAGTTCATGAGCGATCGGGACTGGATTACAGCTGCAGCAGCGTCTCCTCCGCAGAGACGGCGGCTGAAACTCGGGGACGAGACCCCCCAGGTTGTGCGTGAAAGAGAAGAAAAGAGGGCTCGGGGTTTCCCACCCGTGTTTGAGGGGAGGGGAGAAGTCGAGTTGGCCGAGACGAAGGACGAGGGTCAGTGGGGTCAGCCGTCCGATGATAGGCAAACCGGGCAAGGGCTGCTTGGAAGCCAAGTGTATCTATTGCTACGTAACAGACCACTCCCAAATTTGATGGTTTGCGACAGCAGCCATTTGTTACTTCATTTCTCGCGAGTCAGCAGGGGAGCAGGACCAGTCAGCTGACCTGGGCGGAGCTCGCTCCCATCTGCAGGTAGCTGGTAGGCCGGCTGGGGCTGCCGCCAGTGCGGGCCGGCCTCGGCATGGACGACTCGCTTCTCGTCTGCACGGGCCTCTCCCCAGCGTGGCAGCCCACACGTGGTCCCCTGATACTGGCGGGGACGAGGGAGGAAGCGGCATGTAAACACCTGGTCCAAGCTCTGCTGCGTGGAGTTCGCTCGTAGCTCAGGGACCAATGCTGGTCCCACGGCCGAGCCTGGGATCGGCTCGTGAGGGCGCTGCCACCGGGAGTGTGGGCAGGGAGGGGCAGGACAGACTGGGGACGCTGGTCCGGTCTCTCACACGGGAAGAGAGGAAGGATGTCTCCAGGGGGAGCAGACAGTGGTCGTCTGCACCCCAGAGATCAAACAGCAGCGACGGGGACAGGCCACTGGGCTCGTGAGTAAGAGGTCTGCGCGGCCTCAGCCAGAACTGGCCGCATCCAGTGTCGCGGGCAGCAGCCAGCTTGCAGTTAGCTGGGGAAGGAGTAGTGCGGGGCAGGAAAACACGGTCTTCCCCACCCGTCCATGTTCCTCCGGCGAGACTGATGACCAGGTGGGCGTGAGACAGGTGAACGGAAGGAAAGGACTGCACTTACGGGGTGTGCGCCTGCAGGGGCTCCGTGGGCGTGTGAGGCTCCCGTAGGGTGGGGTTGAGGCTTCGGTGACACCTTAGCTCAGGTGGGAAGGGGGCCGGTGGGGTGGGGGGAGTGGGCTGGACTTCAAAGGGCAGGAAGGCAATTCACACGGAGACGGGGAACCAAATGTTTGGTGAGCGCTGGCCAGGCCACATGTCATGCTGGGACCCAGGCGGGGACTGGACCCCACTGGCCTCGCCAGGCTCCCCCCGCCCCTCACACGGGTTCCCACCGGACTGGAGGGTGGCAGCTCCTTCCGGGAGCAGGCCCTGCGTCTGAACACTTCCGGGCAGTTAGTGGGGAGGTCAGAGTTTTCTCCCGAGTCTTCTGTTTCTTGAAAATAACCAGCTTGAACTAACCAGTATCCCAAAAGAGAATATTTCGGGGTGGCAAACTGCTTCCCTCAGTGGAAAGTGAGTTCGAGGAGACTCTGAAATAATCTGGTGAAAGGCAGGCAGGGCAGAGGTCCAGAGGGTGGGCAAGTGGTTGCCAGGGAAGGTGACGCCTGCCCTCTGCCCTCTTGCACTCCGCGGAGGAAACGCCGAGGAGCTTCATAGGCCGGGAGGGAGCTGGAGGATGGAAGATTTAAAGTCCTGGCGGAGGGATATAAGAGCGGGGGAGGGGGGACCACTGTGTCACTCCTGGGTCCCTCCCACCACTGCTGGCAACGGGTCTGTTTCAGAGCGAGGGGAGATCCGCTCTTTAATGTATTGAGTTGGTTTTATCATTATTTTTCCTCATTGTTTCTGTCTGAATGAAGTACCCGATCCTTATTTTTAAAAGTAAAATTTAGCATGCTTTGCTTGTTTCATGGTAACATTTTTTCTGCCTGTACAAGTTTCAGAACATGTAGACCCTACTTTTGCCACACCCTATAGTTACTTTGAACAATATCCTTTTTAAATTAAAAAAAACAAACAACTTTTTTCTGTGGCCGTGGCCAGGTAGCTCACTCAGTTGCTTAGAAGGTCGTCCAGTATGCCAGATTGCAGGTTCGATCCCCGGTCAGGGCACATACAAGAATCAACCAATGGATGCTTCAATGAATGGAACAACAAACTAATCTCTCAAATCAATAAGTAAAAACTTTGTAAACCTTTCAGTTATGAAAATCTTCCTTGATGTTCACAAGCTGCGTGGCTACGTTTATCTTTTATTCTTAAACGGTCAGGCCGGCCTCCCAGTGCCCGCAGACTGGACCTGGAACTCGGCGTACGCAGCGCTCCCTCCCTTCCGCCCCTACCCCACGCCCCCTTGCTGTTCCATGCTCCCTTGCTGTTCCATGCCCCCTTGCTGTTCCACACCCCCTTGCTGCTCGGAACCCCTCCTGGTTCTGAGCGAGGGGGGCTGACGCCGCGCTCTCTTGCTGTCGAACAGGCTGCCTCCCTGGGATTGCTGCAGTTCCCCATCCTCAACGCTTCCGTGGACGAGCAGTGCCAGAAGGTCACCTACAAGGTGGGCTGTGAGTTGTGAATACGTCCGTGTTCTAAACAGGGGACAGTGCAGTGCGCTGGTCGGTCAGACAAGGGCCCAGGGCACCCCAGTGACCAGGGCACCCCAGTGGCCATCCCTCTTAGACTGGGAGTACAGGGGGGGCGGGGGCGGAGACCGCGGCGCACCTCGTCGTGGCCTCCACTGTGGCTGGGCTCACCGGTTGCTGGTAGCGGTGGTGGTCAGGCGTGCGGGTCGCCGGCCTCCGGCCCTTTGGTTCTGGAAACGCCACGCTGAGGCAGGGGCTGTATTGCCGTCCCTGCACCCCTGTCTCAGAAAGAACGGCCTCTCTGGCTGGGTGCCCTGCGGCTTCTAAAACGAGAATGACGTCAGTGAGGAAAGGAAGGCGAGTTCGAATTCCGTCGGGGTGAGCTCCCCTGTTTGGAGGGGACGTTGTTAGATAGGACTCTTGGGGGTGCGCGTTCCCATCTACACTCTCACGGGAAAGGTCCCCGCAGGGGGGCAGTGCAGGCACGCCGAGGGGCTGGGTCACAGACCCTCCCGCGTGATCACCCGGTGTCCTGACTGAGCAGGTACTGGCTGCAAAAACTCAGGCGAGAAAATGGTGACGTTTATCTTCGATCCCGTGACCCTGCGGTAACTCACCGTTTATGCTGAGATGTGCCTCCTTCCAGGGTCACGTGGTTACACCCTTTAAATTTATGTCTGTGGAGTGGTACACGCTGCTTGTTTAACTTTGAACTTTATACAAATTTAAGCCTTTTTTCTTTTTCACCCAATACCTCCAGGACACTGTTGCGTGTCAGTGAATACAGCCCCGGCCCCGTTCCGTTAGCCAGTGACCTCCGGTGCACCCTGGGGTGGCTCTCAGTGGCTCAGAGCTACAGGCCATCCGAGCCCAGCGGCCCCGCGCATCTCCACGCACTTCCGCACTTCCCTCCGTAGCACAGATTTTTACAAACGCGGCTGCGGGTCGTTAAATGTCCCCCAGAAAGCCTGTGCCAGCCTCCGTTTCCACCAACACCAACAATATATGTTCTCACCTACACACACAAAATTATCTTTTTCAAAAAGAACCTTTGGACACCTTTTAAAAATCACTTCTCTTAAGTCACAGCGCTCGGGTGGCACGGTTTTGGGTGGTCGCTCCGACACGGCAGTGAGGGTCCTTCCCTCCCGGGGGCGATGCCCGCTGACGCGCAGGCCGGCCGTGTGATGTTCCTCTTCTTCCTCCAGGCCTCTCACAACATCGGGGTCGCCATGGACACCGAGCAGGGCTTGATCGTGCCCAACGTGAAGAGCGTCCAGGCCCGCTCCGTGTTCGAGGTCGCCGCGGAGCTGAACCGCCTGCAGGCGCTGGGCTCGGCGGGGCAGCTCAGCACGTCCGACCTCACGGGGGGCACCTTCACCCTGTCCAACATCGGCTCGGTGCGTAGCGGCCCTCCGGACCCCCAGACGCCGCCTGCCACTGCCAGCAGGCGCTCTGTTAAAAAATGGGAAACCGACCGCCCTCGGCTCCTCCCGCGCTTAGCGTGGCGCCCTTTCCTTTCTCGTTTGCGTTGCAGATCGGGGGCACGTACGCCAAGGCCGTGATCCTGCCGCCCGAGGTGGCGATCGGGGCTCTTGGATCCATTAAGGTGCGTTTATGAAATAGCAAGAAAGAGTTTACACAAATCGGGGAAGTAAACACAGGGGAGAGTGGCCATTTCTGAGGTTTCCGCTCGCTCGGTAGGTGCGAGGGTGAGGTTTGGCCCGGGGGCCGGTGTGTCTGGGCCTGCAGCTCCAGGGGCCTGGGGTGGGGGGGCGGCGGGCGGTCCGAGTGTGTGTCTGGGGGTCACCACTGCGGCTCCTGCCCGGCGCTGGGCGTCCTGCGGGGCTTACTCGCCCAAGTGAGTCATTATTTACAACCGAGTGAGGCACTGTCGGGGGCGCTTTTTCTCACCCTCTTTTCTGTGCAGGAGTGATTAGGAATGCTAGTTTGAAATGGGGATTTCTTGGCCCTGGGCACAGAGCCCCCAGAAGCTGGGTTTTCAGACAAAAGCCCGGTAGTTTCAACACAGGGGTGACCTGTCGCCCCGTGTTAGGGGAAACCGACTCGGAACGAGGGTTCCCACGACCGCTCGCCCACCTGCCTCTGCACCGGCACCCGGGCTCCGTGGGACGGGTGTCGGACCCACCCCGCGTTGACTGAATCGGAGTGTCGGGCCGGGGCGCGGGCGCCCCTGTAGCTCAGGGTGCAGGCCCCCCAGGGCTGCCCCGGCGAGGCCCTGGGTGCCGTTTCCAGACCGCCATTGCCGAATGTCAGTGTCGCCACGCTAACCTTGATGTCGGCCCTCACGAGCTCAAAAGAACCTTCCTTCCTTTATTTCACTTACTTTAGTAATTCACTTCACATATATATTTAAAGTCTGCGGTGGGCTAGAAATTCGGGGGGGAACAGGCCCTTCACCGAAGACAGACAGAGCGACGGCTCCGGACCGCGTGCCCGGCCTCACCGACGCGTGTGTGGCCTCTCCCTGCACGCGCCCTGCGCCCTGCCGTCCCTGCGCCCCTCTGTCGCCGTCTCTGGTGCCCACAGGCTCGTCCCCCCGCTGCCTGTGCTGAGGGGGCCTTGCTGGAGCTTTCCTGCCCACCCTCCACATCTCCGCTCGCCGTCCCCTTTCCAGCTGCTGTGCTTTTTCTTTCTCGAGTCTCATGATCTGATACACTCTATAGAGGGTCCGGTACAAGTGACGGCCCTCTTTTATTACAAACTCTTTTATTACAAAATCATAAGCGTGTAATTCTGTAACATAACAATGTCACACTCAAGCACACCATAGTGCATTATAGGTGAAATGTTCAAATTAAAACTGTAAGTTATTACACGCCCATTACTACCTTACCAACCGCACTCATGCAGTCGTTACTTCTGCCAGACTGTGTGTTTTTCCTATGTGTCTTAATTCTGTCTCTCCCCCTTAACATGTCAACTCGAAGAGGGGAGGACTGTTTGTTCTGTTAACTGCTTTACCCCCAGGGTCTAGGAGAGTGCCTGGGACATAGCAGGTGTTCGGTAAACGTTGGTTAAGTAATTGAAATCGGAGGAGAAATTTACCGTGCGTGTGGAGATCGTGCTGGGAACCGAACACGCCAGGCCGGAGACACGCCCTCAGAGAGGGAGCCAGCGGGAGCGGGCGTGTGTCGGAAGTCGTTTGGCACGGCCATCCCGTCCGCACCGCAGGGGGCCTGCCCCGCGGCGAGGGCTGACTTCCCGCTCTTTCCCGCACCCGCAGGCCCTCCCTCGGTTCAGCCAGACAGGGGAGGTGTGCAAGGCCCAGATCATGAACGTGAGCTGGTCGGCCGACCACAGAGTCATCGACGGGGCCACCGTGGCACGCTTCTCCAACCTGTGGAAGTCCTACTTGGAAAACCCGGCCGTGATGCTGCTGGATCTGAAGTGAGGCCCGGCGACCCACGAGAATCTCCGAGCTTCCAACGACACGTGGAGCCCAGCCTCGCCCGCACGCGCCCCCCGCGACAGGCCGGGCGTGGCCGGCTCGTTTCGGCGACTAGCATCCTGAGGCACAACACTTCCCACTGTCCTGCCGCCCTTCCCGCTGAGAGCGAGCAGGGGCGTCCCGGGCCCCGGGCCACCCTGTTTCACAGGTCACGGCTGCACCTTCCCGACGTGGTGCTGCGTCTTCGTGTCCAGGGGCCGACACTGACAGCAGCAGCAAAACGCCGCTGGAAGACGGCAGCAGCCACGGACAGTGTTCGCCCTGTTTCTTTTTCTTACTTTCTACTGACTCAGTGACTCTTTCCGACCGCACTTAGCTGGGAGAAGGAACGTATATACGAACATATCTTCCATTTCCCCACAAGACGCCAATCGCTGTGTAAACTACGTGCGATCACACTCAGCGCTTTAGATGTCCGGGGGTTGTCACTCTGCAGATGCCGTCGTCTGCAAATGCCTTATTTATGCAAAGTGGCACCGTGGGAAAGGGAGAGCTGTGAGTGGGTCCTAACGCCCAGTTACGGTTTTATAACCCGTGAAAGAGAGAGGGGGGAGTCGAAGGGGTAATTATGGCCATTACAATAGAACAACAAATTCTGTGTAGAGATGAAGGTATCATGACCACTTGAGTAGAGACCCGCTGGAATCAGAAACACCAGCCAACATCCTGGTTTGCATTCAGGGAACCAACTGCAAATCCCGTTGTTTCAAATATTGTCTAAAAAACTTCAAGTGAAGTGTTATGATAGAAAAAAAAAGTTGTTTTAATATGTACTTGATTGCTTTAATAATGGAAATAATGTTAAAATAATGATTGGCCCTGGCTGGGTAGCTCAGTCGGTTGGAGCACCTTCCCAATACACCACGGTTGCGGGTTCGATCCCCGGTCAGGGCTCACACAAGGGGCAAACAATGATGCATCAGTAAGTGGAGCAACAAACTGACATTTCCCTGTGACTCTCCTGCCCTCTCTCTCTCTCTGAAAGTCAATAAATAATTTGTAAAAAGAAAGGAAAACAGTGGATCAGCTGAATGTTGTTATTTTTAAAATGCAGATATCATGAAGAAAATAAATCACCCATAATCCTACCACTATTAACACGTCGATCAATGCACCTGTATACATAGCTGTTCTTTTTATAAAAAAGGAGATCAGACTATAGCTACTATTTTATAATTTTTTTTAATTTAACATGATATCATGGGTAACTTCAGATGTCAATAAACAACTCTACATGATCATACGTCTGAATGGCTGTGAAGTATTCTATCATGTGCATTTATTATACATTTGAATAGTAAACATCGACCGTATACCGGGCAGGCTGCCAAGCCCTGGGCACACGGTGCCTACTCTCCCTTGTGGTCCCGGCCTGTGTTGGGGTTGCATTCTGGGGGAGGGGACTGATGCTAAATCCTCATAAAAGTAAAACGGAATTACACCCGAGTGGAAAAGCAGGCCACGATGAGAGCGCCTCGTGGAAGTTGCCCAGCCTGTCGGGGGGGTCAGCAGATGGCTGCACTGTAGCTAAACCATTTCCCGTGGACAGCATTTACGGGTCGTGATGAAGATGCCATGATGTGAAAACGTCCTCCTCACTCAAAGCATGTGCCACCTGGGAGAAATGGATACGTTCCACATTCCCCTGACCGGCCGGCATCGCTGGTACAAGGGGCTGTTGACGTTCCCAAGAAACGGTGGAGCTGTCTGCTCTCCCCCAGCCCCCGCCTTGACCGTCTTGTCTTCAGTTTCCACTGCTGAGAATTCAGGAAAAGGCCGCCCGCCTCCCACCGCAGGGGCCTGTGGGCAGGAGGAGTCCCGGGGACCACGGGAGCACGGCGCACAGCCGAGCGGACCCACGGGGCTGCACACCTCGCAGGGGAGAAGCCAGGAGGCTGGGAAGCCCTGCGTGTGCGCGAACGGGAAGCCAAGAGCATTGTGGGCAGTGGCCCCCGAGGACCTCGGGCTCCAGTCACCGAGCAGAGCGTTCCCCTGACTTGGAAAAGGGAGCCTGGCCGGGAAGGAGGGGGCAGGACGGAAGCCAGGGCCGGCGTTAACTTCCGCTCTGGAGGTCAAGGCGTCCCTGGGTCGAAACGGCCACGTCCGTCTCGGGCAGTGCGCTGCCCTGGCGGCGTGACCCAGCTCTGGCTCAGGGGCTCCCTCGGCCTCAGGTTGGAGTTCCTGGAAACACAGTGTCAGGTGCCGGGGATGCTGGTGAGTTGAGGCTGTTTGAGGGGTACCTGTCACTAGGGCTAAAAGGCGGACAGCTTCCACGTGCCGGTCACTTGAGAGGCCGCCCAGGCCCGCACCGTGCAGCCCCTGCAGAAAGGGTTTGGGCACTGCGGCTTCTCCACAGCAGCAGCAGCAGCTCGTTTGAGCAACGGGCTGTTAGTTCGTCCCAGAGCAGGGTCCCACCGCCATCCTCCTGCCCGCCCCTCTGCCTCGTGAACCGTGAGTGGAGGCACACTTGACCTGGAACACTGCACTCTCTTACCCAGCCTACCTTCACGCACAGATGCAGGCTCTGCAAGACCCAGTCAGTGGGTGTCCTCAGAGTCAGGGGTGCCTCCTTAAGGAGGGGGAGGTTCCAAGGCTGCTCTGCTCCCTGCCTACGGCGGCCATCCCAGGCGTCCCCGGGCGCCTGCAGCCAAGCACAGGGCGGTGTGACAAGCACATGGGTCTCCGTCCTCACGGTCTAGGCCTCACCTTCCCAGATGTCAGGCTTACAAGACACTCGGACACTCTGGTCCTGAGCCTCCGTCACAATGAGCGAGTGACTCCCGCTGGCTGAAAACAGCACACAGTTTATGTCCTACGTCTGTGCCTTGGCTGGGAGAAAGCCCGCATGAAAGTCCCTTCCTCCTCCGGACCTCTGCGGCTCCCCACGTCTGGGTGGGCCTCTCGCTCCCTCTCCCCCCCCCCCCCCGCTCGTCCCGGGCCTCCCTCAGTGATGTGGGCAGGCAGGTCTGTCTTCGCTGCGGGCGTGACCCTCATGGCCGCCCCAGCTCAGTGGCCTGGTGCTCGGGACGTGCCAGCTGACGCGGGCTCTGTGCCCTTGGTATTTTTATGACGTGCTGAGAGCGCACAAAGTACAGCCAACGACCCGGCCAAGGGTGACCCGGAGCCAGGGTGGCCCCGAGGCAGCCCTCGTGCCCAGGGAAAGCTCAGGGCGCTTCGCTGGCCACCAGGAAAGGCGTCTAGAGGAGGAAAAGGAATCTGCAAACCTCCTCCTCGTCGGTAAGACCTTCATTCTACATGTTTGGCAAAGAAGAGTTCTTTCTGCGTGGAGTGCGTCTGTTTGAGAATGCACTAGAATTCTGTGGTTAATCAGCCTGTTTAGTGTTTTCTAGCTCCTTGGAGATTTAGCAGAACGTGGGTCACCATTTTTCCTTTTAAAATGTTTATTGTAAATGATCACGTATGGCATCCTAACGTACAACTAAACAAAGCAACGATGCGTCTAACGCCCAGCGGGAAAGCGCACGGCCAGACTCAGCCACCTCACTCACTCAGGTGGGAAGACCTTGCCCGCAGCAGAGGGGCGCCCGCTCTGCCCAGAACAGAACCGGCCTGACTGACCACCTTACTGCTCCACTGACCTACGTGCAGCCACCCTCAGGGAGAATTCAAGAAAGCAACTGCTTCCGTATCTTTAATCGCCACACTTGAACACTGTGATTATTACTGTTCTTGTGTTCTCATTTCTAGCTAGCTTCACATAACGTTTTAAATGAAGCACCTTCACTGATGATTTTATTTACTAGTCACGACAACCTTAGGTACTGTTATTCGTTTATTTCAACGACGAGAGAGAGCAGCCCTGGCTGGTGTGGCTGAGTTGGTTGGAGCATCGTCGCAAGGACTGAAGGGTCATGGGTTCAGTTCCTAGTCAGGACACCTTACCTAGGTTGCAGGTTCGATCCCTGGTTGGGGCACGTACAGGAGGCAACCGATTGATGTTTCTCCTCACACCAACCTCTCTCTCAAAAAAAAAAAAAAGCAATGAGAAAATGTCCTTGGGTGAGGATAAAAATACATACATAAATAAAATAAACCCTTGTTTGTTTTTCTTGTTTGTTTTTTACTGTTATTGACTATATTTTGTATGTTTTACATCCTCATGACTATCTTGTAACTACCAATTTGTACTTCTTTTTTTAATATTTTATTTATTTATTTTATTTATTTATTTTAGAGAGGAAAGGGAGGGAGATAGAGAGAGAGAGAGAGAAACACCAATGTGCGGTTGCTGGGGGTCATGGCCTGCAACCCAGGCATGTGCCCTGACTGGGAATCGAACCTGGGACACTTTGGTTCGCAGCCCGCGCTCAATTCACTGAGCCACACCAGCCAGGAAACCCTTGTTTATTAGAGAAGGAGCAAGTCTCAGAGAGGGTGACAGCCAGCCCTGGTCCCACAGTAAACGGCCGACCCGTCCTCGCAGTCACCTTCCCAGTCACACCTGCCCAGCTCAGCAACCTCAGCGTCCCCGGACACGGCCTCTCCCGAAGTTCCCGCCCCCACCGTTGCCCAGATTAGTGTTTAAGATAAGTTGTTCCGTGAGGTCAGTTCTTTCCTGGGCGAAGGGCGGGGGGGGGGGAACGGAAGCGTGGGCCGCTGTGCCGTGTGCGGGCCCCAGAAGCGGGGGCGGAAACCACGTGACCGAGTGTCTCCTGCAAACCAGGCACCGCGCCAGCACAGACCCGCGTCTCAGTCCTCCTGACGGCAGTCCTCGGTAACAGTAACGGCGTCGGTGAGGGCCGGGTCTGGCCACGCCTGAGAGAGACCCAGCCCAGCGGCAGCTCAGACGACAGACTCCCGAGTGACTGACTGTCCTCAGCTGGTGGGGCGGCTCTGCCCCACTCAGTCCTTACAGACCCAGGCTCCTTCCTGCCTTGTGTCCTGCCGTCCCTGCGGCATCACGTCTGTCCTCACTGTCCGGGCCCACATTCCACACGGCAGGGCGGAGGGACTGAAGGGAGGTTCTCTCGGACGGAAGATTCCCGGAGGCCGCCCCGGCCACTCCTGGTGATCGGGCTTCCTTCCCCTCTGCTCGCCTGCGGTCACAGTGTGCGTGGCCAAGGTCTGGCCGCATCGCCCGCGCAGGGGTCACCGGGACAGTGAGTTCCCTCCGGGCCCCCTTCTCCCCTGTGCTCTAGGCACTGGTGTTCACGCTGAGCATCTCGAGGTGACCGTGCATTTCCGTGACATCAGACAGACCGGGTCGGCTCTGAATTATTGATGCTGAACCTGAGACAGTTCATCGTTCGCCCATCAAAACAACCCTGGCTCCCGTGTCTTACAGCACGCCCCCCCACCCCCCCCCCACCCACCCCCCGTTTTAGCACGCGCCGGAGGGATGTGGCTCCTGAATGCCTGCGAGCTCAGACGCAAACGATACAGACTCACCCAGAGGCAGGCCCAGGACTGAGCCCGGGGCTCCAAGCGCAGGCTGGCGCGCCCGCTGGCCGGGCCCTGGCTGGAGGAGTCCAGGCCGCGGGCTGAAACCGAGCAGGGGAATGAATGTGGAGCCGGTCCAGAGGACAGCCACAAAAACAATGGGAGCGTGACGAGAATAATCGCAGCTGCAAAGAGACCTGCTTTCTATTTCGGGCTTCCACGGCGCTCGTTAGCAGGCGGAGCGTGGGGAACAGCTGCCGTGGGTGCCGACGACCAGGACGGAAGCACTGCGGACGGGGCAGAATTTAGGGCAGACACTGGGGCAGGGTCGGGCAGCCCGAGAAGGGCTCGAGCTCGGCCCGGCCGGGGAGCACGCGGCACCCTGTCCCCAGCCGCCGCGTTCCCAGAGGAGCCGGCACGCGGCGGGAGACTCGCCGGCCCGCTTCAGTTGAAGCTTACAGCTCGTTTATATGTTCCACGTATGTAGTCAGTAGTACTAAAAACCGTGGTGAGAGAGGGAACTTTTAAAGGGGCTGGTCGTTTTAAAATGCAGTAAGAGCCCTGGCTGGCGTAGCTCAGTGGATTGAGCGCGGGCTGCAAACCAAAGCATCGCAGGTTCGATTCCCAGTCAGGGCACATGCCTGGGTTGCAGGCCACGACCCCCAGCAACCGCACATTGATGTTTCTCTCTCTCTCTCTCTCTCTTTCTCCCTTCCCTCTCTAAAATAAATAAGTAAAATCTTTTTTAAAAAGTTCTTTAAAAATAAATAAAAATAAAATTCGGTAAGAAAGGAAAGGGGAAATAAAGTCAAGGTTATAAAGTCTGTACAGAAGTTTCGAGAGTGCAGTCGTCCGGAAAGAACTAGCAATTTAATTTCCTGGAAAAATGCAGCCAGCGTGCCAACCGTGGGAACAAAGGCAAGGTCACGGCGGGCCGGTGTGGCGGCGTTCACACGGACTGCAGGGACGAATACAGACCGGCCCTGGACTAACGAGTGGGGATGTGAGACGGTCACACGGGGCAGGGAGGAGGCCACGGCTAGGCCGGCACACCGGCGAGGCTGCAAACCAAGGGCACCACAGACCGCACATGAACCTGTCCTTGGCCCCCGATGTGTTGCTGGCACAAGATTAGACGGGCCGTGCTTGGACAGAGCAGGACAAACTGTCACGGAGGCGGCATAATTTTTTTTTAAAAACCACCACTGTTATTTACGGCACTCGGTCTCCTCCTAGGTGTGTGAATGTTAGAAATATTGATGTGTAAATGCAAGGCATTTCAATTTTAATAGAAGAGTATTTTTTCCATCTGATGTCTCTCTTTGGTTGTAATTCTCCTCCTACTTCAACTCCCCCATCCCTTTCTTTTTTTTTAATGTTTTCTGCAAAGAGCTGCATTGTTTCCATTTGGGCCAGTGCAGGGGGAGGCGCCAGGGTGGTGAAACAGCTGCCTCCTGGCTGCAGGGAGAGGCTCAGGCAGAAGCCAGACCCCAGGGGGATGCAGAGGGGACCCTCCACAGTCTCCTAGTCGTGCTCGACTGACCGGAAGCCTCTCAAAGAGACCCCACCCCTCCCCGCCCAGCCCAGCCCAGGGCAGCCAGCCCGCAGAGGCAAGCCCCGAGGTCGCCCATCTTCTCGATGCGTTTCACCTGCTGGGCCAGGACGTGGCTCCCCGGGAAGTCACGGGGCTGAGGGGCCGAGGGGCAGAACCGGGGGCAGGGAGGTCCCCAAGGGCCAGGTCAGGTTCTTCTTCTGGACGGTGGCGGCTTCCGTATGTCCTGAGCGGCACCCTGCTCACTGTGGGGAGGCCTCTGGGAGAGGGTGAGGCCCCCTCGCTGGGTTTGCATCTTGAAGACATGCTTGGCACCCTGAGGCTTCCCCGGGCCGACTCTCAGAAGTGTCCCCTGTGCGGGCCACAGCGTCGCGGTGGCACCGGAAGCCCAGAGAGAGGTGGGTGCAGGAGGCCCACAGAGCGGGGTGACCAGGCAGTGGGTGGGGCCTCCCCCACCCAGGGTGCGATAATTCTGACGGATTTGGGAGCTCACGGTTGCTTGGAGATCAGGAGACAAGGTCAAAAACAGAGCCGCCTGGTCTGGGAGGCTGAGGGTGGCTGAAGCGGTTCTGAAGGTGGCGACTGGAAAAGAGGTTGGAGGCAGGTTGGGACTGGAAGAAGGGGTGCCCCTGGGTCTGTTCCGTCCAAACAGGTTGAAACAGGAGATGTTTGGGGCGGGGGGGGGGGCGGGGAGTCGCTGAGGGCACTGCCTGCAGTGCTTTCTAAGCACAATCAGAATTCTCACAATTCCACCTTTGTAGACATAAAGGGTCCTGCAGAGCAGTTTGTGGAAATGTGACAAAAGCAGATTCTGTGGGTGCCTTCTGACAGGCATACCGTCAGAGGCTGGGTCAGTACCCTAGGAATCAAGGATTGCCCAGGGACAGAGTTTAAACTCCAGTGTAGCCTTTATTTCTGTAGAAGTAAAAAGCGGTGCGTGGCCAAAAATACCTCACCCAGCATGTAGCAAGCCGGTGCAATTTTGCGTCATAATTGGGTGCATGGGCTGCAGGGTTGCTGTCTTCCCCTCCCCTCCCCTCCCCTCCCCGTCTTTTGAAGCAAGATTATACTGGCTTTTACTCTCGGCCCAGCCCGCCCAACCCTAGGTTTAAGTTGCTCGAGGAACCTGCATGACAGCCTGGCGGCTCCCACTAGGGTCCACATGGTTCCCGTAAGAGCTGTCGTCACATAGTGGGAAACGCCATGGCCACCCCTCCGTTCACAAGAGAAGTGAAGCGTCCCACTGGTGTTTTGCTTGCTGAGTGACCTGTCGTTTCTGTAGACTGACGGCATGTTTTTCTCCAGTGCAGATTTTAAAATCACTCCCAGTGAACTTTCGATTTCTGGCCAGTTCCCAGTAATGTAGAAGGAGTGGTTTTCCACTGTTGATTGGTTCAGGGAAATGGGGGTGTGTGTGTGTGTGTGACAATTCGGTATCGTTTTAACCACATAAATCCCCAGACGGTCTGTGCAAGGGCGCCCGAGTAACTGGCAGCAGTGACCGCCATCCAGGAAGAGGATGAAGTGGCTGGAGGTGGGCAGCGGAGGTTCCCTATCGCTTGAATTTTGTTCCATGTGCATACAGTACCAATGCAAAACAGAAATGCATACTTTTATTTAAAGAACCAGGAATTAACTCCGACCTAAGCCAGGCTGAAGAGAGAAAGGGTGAGGGCGCGACGAGTCTGACCTGTGGGTGTGGGAGGAGCTTGGGGCCCCTGTTTCCTCTCCTTGGCCACGCCTTCATTTTCCTTTTTTTCCCCTGAAGCATCTGTGCCTTCAGTTTAAATATTTAAGGATCTGTGGCTTACTGGGTAGGGTTTTGTTACCCCATACATACTCTCGTTTCCGAGTCTCTCTCTCTCGGGACGGGGCCATCCAAGTCCGTGCGATACCGGGAGTGTGGAAGTCAGGAGAAGGGGGAAGGGCTTGGGGAGGGGGGGGAGGTGTGTTCTGGCTTCGGGGCGCCTGTCACTCCAGGCGGCGTGGGCAGCGTGCTCTCACATACATGCATTCTCAGCTGATCCTTCGCACAGAAGCGCCACGTGACCCTTGCTATTCTCAGCTTTGTCCACGAACTAAATTTAGACCGAGGCTGGCATTACCTTTCACTTGGTTACCGACCGACAGAGGGTTCTACTCATTCGGAGCCGTGCTGGGAACCGTTCTGCCCAACACACGCCCTTCTGAGCTGATAACTGGGAACTTTGGGCACGTCAGTTTCTGCACACGCCGACGATGGTAAGTATTTTTCCAGAAAAAAATTTTTTTGTTCCCACTCTTCACATACAAATAGACTGCTGATGGTCCTGTGTCTATATTGGCTACAATGTACAACTAGACTTAGAGTTGGGTTTAAAGGTCTCTGTGGGGGTTTCTGGTCCCTCACGCAATTGTCATTGTCAGGAAGACAGACGTCCCTAAGAGTTAAGGAGCATCTGTTTCGAGACTGTGTGTCTTTCTTTTGACTTTGGGGAGCTGGCTTGCCGGTCATGCCATTGTCGTGCCCGCCTCACCGCCAAGCCATGTCCTGGCCCGTCACGGCAATGATGCAGGCAGAGCCCACAGTCCTATGCCAGAGGCCAAAAGCACGTAACGTCATTGTTCCTGTTCTCCTCTAAGGGGACTCGGACGCCGCGACGGGAACACTGTTGGCTGCCCAGCGTGTAATGGCAAATGAGGAAATGAATGAGCACGTATATGTCTAGTAAAAATTAGATAGTTGGAATTTTCTAAAACACTTTATTGTTTGATGAACAAATCCTTCAAGCAAACTGCAGCTTGACTGGGATCTGCCCAGACAGTCGGATCATCGGCGTCTGTATCCCAAGGTGTCTAAATGGCAAAAGATCTGGCTGTCTGCTCCGGGGCAGAGTGTGCGGGCCTCGTGTAGACAGAGGGACCCTCCCTCTCTCCTCGTGGTTTTCCGCACGTTGGCGATTACGTATCAGTCCTGAAGCTGGACACTTTTCCCCTCTGCGATGTGTTTCTCCTCCCTCTCTGTCTCTGCCTTGGTCTCCCTCACCCCACACACTGCACACCTTTACTTTGAAGAAATCAGTACTTCAGAGGTGATTGGTGATGAAAAGCAGAGTTCTTTACCCAGCGTCTCCCTACCACCCTAGAAGCAACATTCTGAGCATCCCAGTGGTTATCTCTGTATATGTCTTTCTCCCTTTCCCAAATGCAGTTACATGCTGCTTCTTGCCCATGCGAGACATTGTCCAGGGAGTTCACCCTGAAAGACACTGCCCGTGTTCTCCGACACCTCCTGGGGTTCTCTCCCAGTGGCCAGCATCTCTCTCGATCACCTTTGTGACTCGAAGCAAACACCGATTTCTTTACATCTTGTTGCATAAAGTGCCCGCAGTATCTGTTGACTCCCCACGTGGGCACTGAGATAAACACCAGGATTTTAGAAGCGGTGTTGCTTGTAGTAGCACGACTCTGAAACCCAAATATCCACATTTTTTAGGGGGTAAATCAGCGGTGGCGCCATTTGAGAGGTCACGGCCTGTCAGTTTATAAGGTGCTGTCCCTTCTTCATGGAGCTGTGTCATTGCCCACCCGGTGGCTACACCACCATGTACAGATGGAACTCAGGGTGTTCCCAATCTTTTGCTGTTATGAAACACACCGTGGTGAATCATTTTGTAGTATGTCATTTTACAGCTGAAAACATGTGTGGTATAAATTCCTGCCGGTGTGAACGTGCACTTGTGAGTTCGGTAGCAATCGCCCGACTTCCCTCCCTGGAGATGAGGACAGCGTGCACTGTCCCCTCTCCCGGGTGGGAGCGCTCACCTGTGCAGCTGCAAGAGTCCCCTCTCCCTTCCGGAAGTCTCTGTCCTTTCCCCGAGTTACAGCATCCCAGGGAAATGCTGCAAATGCTACATGGACGTGGTGATGTGGGCAGGGCGAGGGGATTAATTAGCTATAAATCGAATTCCTTCACTGTTGTTCATATAATTTGGTGAAAAACCAATACCATTCTTTCTAAGGCGAAGAACATTCCACCAGACGGATCTACCATAATTTACATAACATTTCCCAAGTATTGTTTTCTTCTCATTTCTGAGATTCGGGTCACAATCCTCACTTTTACCTCCATCCATTTGCAACGTATTTTACACAAGAGTAAACAACCCCAACACACACATTACCACTCCACAGAATTCCAGCCGGATCACATAGCTCATCCCAGGTGGCTGTCTTATTTTATATATCCTTTTTTAACCGTTTTCCTATAATCAGACATGTGAACGAGTTGCAGATTTTCTTTTTTTTAATTAATTAATTTTTTTTTAGAGAGAGGAGAAGGGAGAGAGAAAGAGATGGAGAGAAACATCACTGTGTGGTTGCCTCTCATGCACCCCCTACTGAGGACTTGGCCCTCATCCCAGGCATGTGCCCTGACTGGGAATCAAACCAGCAACTCTTTGCTTCACAGTCCAGTGCTCAATCCACTGAGCCACGCCAGCCAGGGCCGAGTGGCAGGTTTTCATTGTTGTGAATTACATAGTAACGGAGGGAGTGTACGTGGCACCAATACCTTGAACACACTGCTCATCTTCTTTAAGACACGGTCTTCCCATCCGTAATTTAGAGACAAGGAAAGAATCCAGGTCACAGTATTTGTGTGGCATGTAACGTGTACGAATAGTCTGCGGAACCTGGCACGGGTTCAGGAAACACGCGCTACTGTGACCGTGACGATCCTGAGTGGGCCTCTGAAACCCGCTGTTCTTTCCCCCCCGTGTCCGCAGGTCCTTTCTGAGAGGGCCCCTGGGACTCGGCTGTTCGGAGCTTCATGACGTCGGCGACTCCGTGACGATGCGGAGAAATCATGTCAGAAAACGTGGCTTGTCCGGGGGCTGTCACTGCTGTCAAGGAAATCTGGGAAAAAAGGATAAAGATACTCAATGAAGACCTGAAGCGAGAGAAGGAGTTTCAACAGAAGTACGTCGTAACGTGTTTATTATTTTGAGCTCATGAACACTCATAACCTTGTTCTAGAAAAGAGCCATTATGAAATGCCTTGTTATTGAACCTGGTGGAATTTTTTTTAATTTATTGAAAACGCAGCATGTACCCAAAGGAAACACTCGACTCAGTGGAGTGTGGCCCTGTGATGGGGACCCAGACAGTTCGAGTGTCTGTGCGTGAAACCGCAGTTATTGTAGGCTCTGTCAGGGCTCTGTTCGTTGGTCACTAAAGTTGGATTAGCACCATTTTGTCGACTTCTCAGTGGTTGTGCGACGTCACGGCCGCTAGGATCTTGGACAACATCTGGCAGAAGGTTCTGCAGATTCTCATCCGTGTGCCGGGCTGTGGGCTCCAGCCAGGGCCCCTGTAACCCTGACGCCTTGATTCGGGCCCCATTTAAATGGCTAGGCTCTCATGTCCTCCGCCTTCTTGGCGTCTCCTTACTTTCCTCCCCAATCGTGTCCAAGGTTCTACTGGTCTTGCAGGAACGGCCCCTGTCCACGCGGACCCCCCCATCGCCCCGCGCGTCAGGGCTGTCGAAGCGTCAGATGGTCTTGTGCGAGTCGGCACATTACAGTGGCTCAGGGGATGAGGAGGTCCAGAGGCGAGGCACTCCCAAAACGTCGCCAGCTTTGTCCACTCCACTTCTTTGGTCACCGTCCCCTGTGGCCCTCAGGTGACTTCCCTCAGCGTCACAGGGTGACTGGGGCACCTCCAGGCCTCACCACGTTAGCAGTAGGGCAGAAACCCGTTTCCTTCTATTTCTTTATTGGCCAGACTCGGGTCGTTTGTACACCCCTCACCCAGTGACCTTCCAGGGAATGAGACTGTATGATGGATTTAGACAAATTAAGGCTGATACCTGGGTTACTTGGGGGGAAATGGGAACACTTGAAAATAACCAGTGTTCTTCCAGCAAAGAAAAGCGGGGGGGACATTATTGTTTCTTTTTAATATTTTATTTATTTATTTTTAGAGAGGGAAGGGAGGGAGATAGAGAGAGAGAGAGAGAGAGAGAGAGAGAAACATCAATGTGCAGTTGCTGGGGGTCATGGCCTGCAACCCAGGCATGTGCCCTGACTGGGAATCGAACCTGCGACGCTTTGGTTTGCAGCCCGCGCTCAATCCACTGAGCTATGCCAGCCAGGGCTGGGGGCGGGGAGGGGGGGACGTTATTGATAAACAACTATATGTGTCTGACCTGGGTGGGGAGGGGCCATTCTCCCCAACCAAAGGTAATAACGATGTTGACCCAGAGAAGGGTAGTAGCTGTTTATTGTGCATTTACTGTTTCCTAGGCATCTGCTAAGTGTTTTCTTTGCACTGTCTCACTTAACCCTCTCACCATGCTGAAATGTGGTTTCATGATGTGGGTGAGACTGCATTATGAGAGAAAGAAAGCTAAAATAAGAGCACCCCCGACAAGAATGTTAGCTTTTCTGGGAGAAGTGGCCCAGGGCTGGAACAGCACGCCACGGAGTCAGATACCTGGGCTTCTGCCTCGTGGCTCACCTGCGTGTGGCTTCCACTCCCGAAGTCACCGCCTGGCCCCAAAGAGACACACCGACTGCAGCCAACCTGATTGATTCCGGCCTGCAGGAAAACATGCGCACTGCTTCTGCCAGCATCCAACGGCCGAGCTGCCCATGACCCCCATCTGGCTGCAAGGGGTAGGGGGTGGCTGAACGCCATCCTGTGCTCAGTTACATTGAGAGGGTGTATCATCGAGGAAGAAGAGGAGTAACAGATAACCGGGGACGATGAGTAGCTTCTGCCACACACAGGTGCTATTATGCTCTCCATTTTCAACGTGGGGAACCCAAGAGACAGGCCCAGTCACTTGTCAAAGATCAGATGGCTAATAAACGTGGGTGGCGTTCACACGCAGGCCATCCGACTCCCTGAGCGCCACGGGGGCCTCGGGGCTCCCCTTTCCCTGGATGGGCCCTGCCGGTGGAGAGCCACCCTCATGACACTGGTCGTGTGTACGGTGCACAGGCAAGATCGATTCGACTGGACAGGACTCCCAATAGATCCTACTCATTTTAAAAATGGCCATCAGGAATCACAACTGGGTTCTAAACGCTTGAATTTCACGTATCACGTATGTCTGGTTAATAATCATTTCATTTCAGCAGCTTTAAGTGCTCTCTGTACAAGAGTAAGGAGTGTGCATTATTTTCCCTATTGCATTGTCTTATTGTATGTATTTATTTTTACTTATTTTAGATGTAGAGAGAGAGAAATTTGTTGTTCCACTTATTGATACGTTCATTGGTTGTTTCTTGTCTGTACCCTGACCAGGGATCAAACCCACAATGTTGGTGTGTCGGGACGACGCTCTCACTCACTGCACTACCCAGCCAGGGCCCATCTTCTCTTTAGGCTTCATGACTACATTGTGTCTGGGAGGGAGGACGGTCTGTTAGTAAAATGTAAATTCCAAAAGCTGAGTCACACACACCTCTATGATCATTAAGATTAGGTCCGGACTCTGCCTCCTTAGCTCTGGGCCTTACACCAACCCCTAGGGCACTCACTCATTCACTCATTCATTCATTCATTCATTCATGCACCAAACTGCCATGTACCTGCTGGGAGCTCCTGGGATCACTGAGGGTAGACCCTCCCCAGATCTGCCCCCTGGATTGGGGGGGTGATAGAGAAGACAGATGCAAGCAGCTGTAATCAGCACACGCCACATCAGAGACTTCTGACAATCTTTAGGGGGGGGAAAATGAGAGACTGTTTAAGAAATTTAGGGGGAAAATTCTTTTTTTTTTTTTCACATCTAGACCAAAGCAGTTTTGAGCTCTGGAATCTTTACTTGGAATTTGCAAAATGCTGTCCTTCTAGGCACCCTTCCCTTAATCTTAAAACAATTTCATTGTAAGATCATTTGATAGTGTTATAAAACTTGATTTATGGTGAATTTACGTCTAGGCTGTTTCCAAAGTAAACGATATAGACTTACAACTTGTAGTATTGTTAAAAAAAATAATACATAAACAACCACAGCTGATGCAAATGGTGATACTGTGACACACCGTTTCAGTGAGGTCATTGTCAGGGAAGAAAATAAAAGAAAACGTCAACTGTATACTGAATTGCATACTGTGAAATGATTAGTTTTACAGCATGAAAATTGTATCTCAAGAAAGCTGTTGTTATAAAAAAATTTATGGAGAGTTATGATACTTTTCGAAGACATAAAAACAAGGCATTTGTGATGCTTAATCTTATTTAAAATTCTTATAAAATAAAATCTGGTTTCATTTCTAGATACTATTGATCAAGTGGTGGTTTCGAATGGGCCTTTCTTAATACAAAAGTGAGCACTATGGCCTCTCAGCCTTTTGGCGAAGGTCAAGTGTAGTGTCTGCTCTAATTTGTTTGCTGTAGAAGTGCCCGCTGCCTCTGTCACCACCCGAGAGCTCACTCTGCTTCCCGGTCCCCAGGCTGGTGCGGATCTGGGAAGAACGTGTGACCTTGACCCGGCTGAAGGAGAAGGTCACCAGGGAAAACGGGAGACTCGTTCTGAAGATAGAGAAAGAGGAATGGAAGGTAAGCGTTGCAAGTATTTTAATAATATTTGCTCTTCTGCCCTTTGCTTTTGCGGGGGAGTTGACAGAAGGACTCTGAGACCGTGTCATCGAGACTGGAATAGTTAGAAAGTCGAAGTTAATAATATACCCACATGAACGTGGGCACCATGAGCAACTGAAAAGAAACACAATGTCACTTTTTGTTTTTTTTGCAAAAATTGAATTTGCTTCTACTCCACCTAAACTTAAGTGAGTTGTAATATTTATTCTACTAATCCTGTTAATAGTTTCTAATTTTCCATAAAAAGATGACCATCTGCCTAGTGAAAATCATATAGCTTTTCCAAAGGAAATACTCAGTTAAAACTTCACAAAATAAAAATGGATATTAATTTTTTAAAGATTTTATTTATTTTTAGAGAGAAGGGAAGGGAGGGAGAAAGAGAGGGAGAGAAACAGATGTGAGTGAGAAACATCGATTGGTTGCCTCTCACACGCCCCCAACTGGGGGCCTTGCATGCAACCCAGGCATGTGCCCTGACTGGGAATCGAACCAGCAACCTTTCCATTCACAGGCTAGAACTCAGTTCATTGAATCTCACCAGCCAGGGTGATATTAATGTTTTTATTAGGTCCACCACCTGCTTTGTACACACACACACACACACAAGTGCTTGATTCCACTGGCTGGACTCTAGTTTTCACAAGGGCCTCTCTCCCTTGGGTCAGTGTGCATACAGGTGTATTTAGCTAGAGGCTTAGTTTCTTTATATTCTCTTTTGGCAATTTTAGGTTGAAAAGGAAAAGGCAGAGACTTTAGCTGAAACTCTTAAGATCCTTAAATTTTTTAAAAAATCTTCTTTAACACCATAAAATATTTCAAAATAGAAAGGAAAGAGAAGTTTGAATATTTTTTAAAGACTTATTCTTTTTAAAAAATAATTTTAAAAATTCCAATTACAGTTGATGTACATGGCAAAAAAAATATTTAATCAATTATTATTAAAATGTTTTGGGATTGAGCAAAAAGGAAAAAGAATTCATGGATATGGAAAAGTGTGGTGATTGCTGGGAGGAGGGAGGTATAAGGGATCAAAATGGCAATGGAAAAAATACAATAAAGATTAAATTTAGCCCTAGCTCATGTGGCTCAGTGGATTGAGCGCTGGCTTGTGAACCAAAGTGTCGCTGGTTCGATTCCCAGTCAGGGCACATGCCTGGGTTGTGGGCTGGCTCCCCACTGGGGGATGGATGAGAGGCAACCCCACACTGATGTTTCTCTCCCTCTCTATCTCCTTCCCTTCCCTCTCTAAAATTAAACAAGATCTTTTTAAAAAATGATTAAATTTAAAAAATGTTTTGGTTTCTCTGTGACTCCAATTACCCACCATTTCCTCATTTTCAGTAGCATACGTACTCTAGAAAAGCCTGATACAACAGAATCTTTAGGACACAGTTTTCTATGTGAGTGTGCTATTGACCAAAATACATTATTTTGTTCATTCTATTACTATCGGGGTAGAGGTTGATCAAAACAAAAAGTAAATAGCACACAGCATTTGGAACTATAACCTACCGAGGGAAAAAGATTGCGAGTGCTTTTCCAGATCAAGTCCTAACAGCTCCGCAATCAGGCTTCCACGCGGCACGGCCCCGAGGTCACTCTGGTGACACGGTGCCTGTCGCTCCCTTCTCTTGAGTTCAGACCCTTCCTGCTTCTCTGCTGAAACTCAACCAGCTGCAGGAGTGGCAACTGCACAGAACTGGTTTGTTGAAAATCCCTGAATTCATCGGAAGATTCCAGAGCCTCATCGTGCTAGATTTATCGCGAAACACAATTTCGGAGATACCCCGCGGGATAGGTAAGGGAGGCTGAGCCTTGTGTCTGATGTGTGGACCAGAGACCTCACGCATCCTCCATAGCCCTGAGCCCTGTAGCCCTGAGAAAGCTGTAGACGCCTACTCTACATTGATGATCTGGGGGGATCCAAGCTTCACGATTCACTGAGGTGATCCGGGATGAGATTTCAATGCGAAAAAAAAAAAGTCTCTTTGGAAGTATACTTGTATAGATTCTAAAACCAGTATTGCTGGTTCAGTTATTTCTCGAAGGGGACAGGTTGAAGACAGAAAAGAAAATCAGGAAGGTTTCTTAAAGGAGAAAAAAAAAGTCCTCAAGTGGAAAATTGGCCAGAATGCAGTACAGATAAAACAGAATGGAAAAAATGTACGTGTGCCTAAGGCACTGATACACCTGCCCTTTACCTGGCCAGAGTTAACCACCTGGCCAGTGTGAATTTATCTACGCCAAACCGGCTGGTTCTTAGCGCAGTAATACTTGGTGACTGGAAATATTATCGTCTATCCACCTGCTCTCAGTCGTGTATTACTTTTTGCAGGACTACTTACTCGACTTCAGGAACTGATTCTTAGTTACAACAAAATCAAGACAGTCCCCAAGGAACTGGGTAAATGTGCCAGTTTGGAGAAACTGGAACTCGCCGTCAACCGAGACATACGCGATCTTCCGCTGGAGGTGAGAGCGAGTCACGGGCCCACAGGTCCGCTTTCCGTCTGCCAGCGGCTTGCTGCTCTCAGCTGCGCGGCCCTTGGAAACCACACTAGTGGGGAAGATTTCATTCCAGGGGATACTCAGTGGAGGCTGTTTCTGGTTATTCTAAGTAGAACGTGTGGTTTCAATAGGAGTGGCCTCTACTTAGCATAAACATCTCTGCTGCTGTGGTTGGACAATTGACCCAGGAGGCCAGTGTGAGTCTGACTCATTTTGGTTCCCGGAGCTGGAGGCACAGCCTGGGTGGCAGTTGTGACTTGATAAATGCTAATTGAGTGAATAAACAATCACCAGGAAGCACAGACAGTGTGGTGCTAGGAAAAACTCTTTCGCACCACACTAGTTGGTTGTCCACAGAGTGCCTGATGTTTGAGAGAGGCCAAGGGATAGGATGTGCATTCTTCAGATCAGGGCAAAGTATTTCCTTTTTAGAAGTAGCTTCCCGGGCCCCCCCAAGTAAAAGGAAAGTAGTGGGCTTGGAGAGCCTTCACACTTGGATGTGGCTGGAGTTCTGAGGGTGTCTTATCATTGGCCAAGACCAAACCGGTCCCAGAGCCACAGGCACTTGGATTACTTTTCAAACACATCTGATGTTCTTCGAATCCGCAAAGGAAATTTCCGTGGTGCTTTGCCTTAAAACAATGACTTTGCAAGGTAATGGTTAGTAAGAATAATAAAATTCAAAATAAAATAGATGATTACCTTCTCCCTTTATATCTTGGTGAAAATAACACTTTTCTTTTTTCCAAACCAGTAAACATGTCACCAGTAACTTTTGTTCTTGCATGTAAGACACAGTTTGTATATTGATATCCATCTTTTCTTACAATAGTTCAACTTTAATGAAAAGTAGGCATTTGTTTATGATGAAAATGATGATCACAGGGACAATTCTTTAGGCCTACAAGAGGGCCAATAAGTATTTTATTTCTGATTTGTCATTCTTATGACTTTGTTACTAGGATTGGATCTGTCGCCAAAAGGCTGTGTGGGTGAGGCCATGGCCATTAACCTGTCTTTCCCTAGATCTCTTCGCTTAGAGAACTAGGTTTTAGCGGAACAACACTGGGCTGAGATCTGGAGCCAGGGCTTACTCGTACGATGGCCTTGAACATGCAACATTAAGCTTTGTATGTAACAGTGTTAGTGCGTTTTCAATCTTCTACCATCAAAGCATTCTAGCCCCACTGAGAAGTCAGTTGCGTGTGCCAGACACACAAACACACCTATGCTGATGTGAGGACAATCTCTTCATACTCTGTTCTGAGGCACTTTAAAATTTAGAAAGTCTGATAACAGATTTCAAAAAAGTGTTTTATTCACTGCTTGAATTCTAAAGTTAGAGAAGTATCAATTACGAGATAAGCCTTTCTGCTTTTTTTGCCCACACACACAAAAAACAGGGTAGTTGTGCATTTTTCTGTGTTCAAGTGGTGGATCCTGAGCGTGCCCCAACACAGAAATAAAACAGCACTTTCATAGCTCGGTGGAGAACTTCTAAATAAAAGTGAACGAAGTTCTCACATGTGGAAACTTTCACGACTGCCCTGTGGAAAGAGGAAAGACATTGTATGGCTTTGGGTCCATGGGCATTTGAGCACATGGCATCGTACAGCTTCGTCTGCTCTAGTTGCCCGGCCCGCCTAAGCCGCCGTGTCCCTGAAACGGAAGTCAGGCCCTCCCCTGGTGGAGCGGATGTCGGAACTTTTCATCACAGCTTCCTCAGACCAGGCGCGGGGTGCACGGACAACTAAGGGCTATTTTTAAATGAATAAACTAGAAGCGTCGATGTGAGTACAATTTAAACACTGATATTGAGAGAAAACTCCAGTTAAAGACAGATAAGTACTGTATCATAATCTTGGAGTAAAATTAAAAAAACATAGGAATATAAAATTATGTTTACAACAACATACATAATAGTAGTCTGCACATAGAGAAATACACAGAGAATACGTATTCCTGTATAGCAATCAGAGCATTAAAAAGGGCCTGGGAATGAGAGACGCCAAGTTCGGGAGAAGTGTGACCTCGGCAGAGGAAGAGGGGACAAAGGACACCGAGGGGCAGTCATATCAGTAGATCTTTTTTCTTCAGCTGACACATTGGTGCTCTGTTATTCTTCATACATTTTTATCGATGTTTTCACTTAAAAATAGAATTCCGAAACTGAACTCTGTGACTGAGACCCCGTGAGGTGGTTCAGTAAGAGGGTTATTTTGAATGTGAGTTTCTCCATGCAAATCTGGGCTCTAGGGTGAAAGGGAAACCTAATATATGTTTACCCTGAGAAGGGGGGTTGCGGGGGAACCTCCCCTGCCAGGCAGGTTCCGTAGTCCCTGGAACCTGGTTGTTTTGGAGGATAATTGTCTTTGAACAGATGGACTGTCTAGGAGAGAGTTCTCCACTTACCTGCAGGTCACTCAGGTTCATGTTGGTTTCCCCCCGTGACAAAGCAGAGCCCAAGCACACCTAGGTGTGCCAGGTGGGCCGTGAGCGCCCCAGCTCGCACTGCACCCCTCGCTCTGATGCACCTCACCTGCCTCCCCAGCTTGGCGGCCTGTCCAGTCTCACTCACCTGGACCTGAGCATGAACAGCTTCTCGGCCTTCCCTCCCGCTGTGCTGGACATGCCGGCCCTGGAGTGGCTGGACTTGGGTGGCAACCAGCTCCGACAGCTTCCCGAGACCATAGACAGGTAAGAGCAGCCGCCTTTCGTGCTCCCAGCAGACTCAGTGAGAAGGAAGACACAGCACCCAGGGCCCCTACGCCTAATTGGTCACAGCAGGTGCATCTAGAGCTACGGGTGCTACCATTCAACGGAAGGTTTCATTGACTCCAAGAAAAGGGGAAAAACTGGCCATCTGATGCCCACAAAGCGACAAGGACGTGCCATAACAGTGGCATCGCTTAGTGCACGCCAGACACTTCTGTGCACTTTGCACACAGACGAGGAAGCACAGAGATGTCAGCTATTGTGTTGCTCAAGGTCACAGTGAGTGTGCAAGCGAGGGTGTGACCCTAGGCAGCTGGCCCCAGAGTCTACCCGCGCTTACTTTGTCCTGCGCGGGCCCGTTGGTCATTGCCGATTCTTCCTGTAAGATGAATTCGAATCGGGCCGCACTTTGAGAAATCCGTGAGACTAGAGAGGAGTTCTAGAGCACACTGAGTTCGGTCCCAGCACCGCACAGGAGAGCGGAACGGCAGAGATCAACCCCGCAGCGCAGTTGCCCGGATAACCAGGGGCAGCGAGCCAGCCAACGGACAGGCGCACGGGTGAATGGGGGTCTTGGAGAGGGTGGCGTTTCCTGGGATATCAGGTTCACGAGATCCGGGGTTCTCATGTGATGTGTGACCGACTAAGCTCAGGCACCCCCGTTCCTTCTTCAGGATGCAAACGCTCCACACGCTGTGGCTGCAGCGGAACGAAATCACGGGCCTGCCGGAAACCATGAGCAACATGAAGAGCCTGGGCACTCTGGTGCTCTGCAACAACCAGCTGCCGGACATCCCGGCGTTCATGGAGGAGATGACCGGCCTGAGGTAACAGGCCTCCACGCAGAACCGGCGCGTTCCCTTCTGCTGCGGGGCAAGGCGACACGGAGAAACTGCTGTCACTGGACTCGAGTTCTCACTCCTGAGAATACAGGCACTCCAAAATCCTGTCCAGTTTCGAAGCCCTAACTCATACACAGGATTCGTAGGATACTGGTCTAAGTTGCTCAGGGACGAATCCACAAAACTGCAGCAGGGTTGGGTGGGATTTCTCAGCCTCGAGGAATGCCTTCTGTGGCTGACACTTGCACGGGAGTCATCTTTATAACTGCAACAAATCCCACCTGTGACGTAAAAATGAAAAACACAAAAATAGTGATAATTTTCCTTCTAAATAACTACAAAGGGCCACAGGCAATTAATTATCCTAAAGATAGAGCAATCATAACTTTGTGCTGAGTTAATTACCCTTAAAACTCCTTGGGTGTCTTCCTCCCAAAATTCAGCTTCCTGACGGTGAACGTAAGGAGTGACCATTCACACCAAATCCCATGATGTCCATAAAAAAATCATTCATTCATTCATTCACATGCTTATTTAGCAACTACTAAGCTCCATACTAGGTGGTGAAGACTCGATGATAAAGACACAAGTGAGTCTGTAAAACATGCAAACTTTAAGTTCATTATATTGATCATACAGAGTCCTTAGGGTTTACGATGGCACAAAAGTGACATACATAATAAATTACATGAGACACTGACACTTTATTATAAAGTAGGCTTTGTGTTTGGTGACTTTGCCGCCCAAGAATGCAAGTGTTCTGGGCGTGTTTAAGGTGGGCTAGGCTGAGCGATCATATTCGTTAGGTGTGTGACATGCATTTCCGGCTTATTTCCAAGTTACGATGTGTGGACTGGGGCGTCACCCTGTCGTTAAGTCACGGAGCCTCGGTGCATTTGAAAGGCTTTAGAACTGCCCTTGGAAGTTCAAGTGCACTGTGTTCAATAGGTGCTCTGGCTGCTTTCACAAGCTTTGCAGTTGTCTAAAGCTAGTATTTTTTTCTTCTAGGGGAAATTCTTTAAAAATTCTTGAGATATATCACATCTCACCTACACGTTCAGTTATCGAAACCAGTTAGAAAAGAGTAACTTAGAATCCTATTAGCATTTGCTGTGTCTCCAGGGACGCAAACATACACTTCAATGGCACCTGTAAGAATCCTGTTTTTTGGTAAACTGCTAGGTTTGTCAACTTCAGAGACAACCCCCTGAGGCTGGAACTGACCCTCCCTCCCAGCGAGGGCGCGGAGGCGGAGGAGGAGGAGGAGCGGGAGCTGTTCGGCCTCCAGTTCATGCACACCTACATCCAGGAGGCTCAGAGGGCGGCAGGTAGGGCCCCCTTCCGGCGGAGGGGTGAGTGTGTGTGTGTGTGTGTGTGTGTGTGTGTGTGTGTGAGACCTCCTTTACACGTCTCTCCTCCGGTCTCACCTGCTCCACCACACTCTGGTCTCTCGGTCGCTGTCGTGGGAGGGAGAAAAGTGGACTGCAGCTCGGTTCGCTGTTTCGACAGAGACTTGCGGTCTTTCCAGCGGAGGGAGGGAGGGAGGGAGTTTCTCCGGCCGGGCACAGGGAGCGCGGCCAGGGGCAGACGCCGTCCATCCGTGGAGCTTCCCTTCCCGCCCCACCCACCAGTTTGTCCTGGGCCAGTTTGCTCTTGACCGACCCCGCCTTCGCTGCCACGGCCTTCTTTCCTGCAACCCACAGAGAGCAAAACGGCTTTTGCCTGAGGATGAAAAATACTGAGATAATACAGATTTTTAACTGACAGTTAAAGTACGAGGTTTGGATATACAGAATTCAGCCAGTCTCTGATAATTTAGAATTAAACCACGTTTTTTAAACTAACAAAGGCAGGCCTGTAACTTAGATCAAGATTAGGGGAGGGACAAGGACACAGTTCTGTTAATAAAAACGGTGAGATAGCATAGTAATAGGTATCATGGTTTTGTAATTCACTAACACGTCGAGTTTTCCCGTCAAGAGTTTTTCAGTCAAAAGGCAGATGTTAGTGTGTCTTCAGGTAGTTCCTTTGAAGAGTACGGCCTGAGCGAACAATGACGGAGCTTTCCAGCCAGAAGATACAGGTCCGACCAACCCCAGAGGGCGTTCAGGACACGGTTAGACCCAGGGCAGCGAGGTCACATGAGCAATGACGTGCAGGACCCTTTGCAGGAAGACAAATGAGGGTTGCAATAGTTTGGGGCCCAGTTTTGGAAAGCCAAGACAAATACACGCGAGACAAGTGGGTGACCGAGTTGATGACTGGAGATGGGGAGAGGGGGGGCCTGGGGTGAATCTGCTTTAGGGGAGAGCAGCTGGCCGGGTGGGGACTCCTGGAGGGGGAGCAGAGCCCCGGAGCTGGCCGGGTGGGCAGAACCAGGAGAGGCGGAGGCAGGCCCCAGGTTGAGCACAGTGAGGCCGGCGTACCTGTGGGACACGCAGGAAGAGGCAGCCGTGGAGATGAATGTGCAGTCCGAGCCGGGGTCCGATGAGCCCGCAGGATCTGCGACAGGCGGAGGAACAGCTCTGCACGCCTCCCGCAGAGCGCTGCCGTGGTGACGCCGAGGGAGACACACGGGGCTGGGGAGAGCGGGGTAACCGTCCTGCGGCCGGCACACTGACGGTCAAGGTTGCTCCCCATGAAGTACTGGCACGGTCGTCAGAGACGTGTTAAGCTAAACGGGCCACAAGCCTGTGAGTCTGATCCTCGTGTATGTGTGTGTGTGTGTGTGTGTTACACAAAACACAACTGAACACGCCTGTTGTAGAATGCCATTTATTTCAGGGCATAACTTGTCGAGTGATACAGAACCGGCTGTGTGACACAAACTAGCTGGCTGACCCAGTGACGCAAGTTCATTATCGAAATGGCTGTATTATCTCCATCCACACATCCTAGATCGGGGGGGCGGGGGGAGCATGAGTACTGGACTTAAAATGTAACCAGACTACCTTACTCCAGCAATGTTTGACCTAGAACTTCTAACAAGAGAAAAAGGTTACGACTTATGAAACCGAGGCTGCTTGTTTTTTATGAAAAATATTCATGAGTTAGTGCTCTTCATTACAGTATTTGTGGAGTGCTTACTCTGCGCCCCGATTGTTGTAAGCGTTTTACACGCACAATCTGATGTTCACGGCAACCTTGCGAGGTAGGTCCTATCACTGTCCCCATCCCCATTCTGCGAGGAGGAAATCGAGGCACGAAGAGATGAAGTAGCTTGCCCAAGGCCACAGAGCTGAGAGGTCACAGGGTTGGGATTTGGACTGAGCAGTTTCACACAACATCTGTGATTAAACTGAACAGAAAGGTCGGGCATTAAGAACAGACTAGAGATTTGGTTTACAATTCATGGAATCACAGACCACAAGGCAAAAAGTGACCTAAGAATATAATTGTACCTAAAATTAGTGATTCTGAATCTGTCTTGGTAAATGCACCAGTGATTAACAGTTTTTGGGTTTTTTTTTTGTTTGTTTTTTACAAATAAAGGCAGAATAAGTCAAGGATAAAATGTGGAAAACAGTAACAATCCTGTCTTGTTTGGTTTAATACTTGCTTGTGCATAGAAACTGTTTATATGAGCTAAATGAGGTCTAAATGTGAGGTTTTTGGTTTCACTATCTAATGTCTACTTTACTCCAAATTATTTTTCCAAACAAGAGAGAATATACTTATATTTGTATTTATACATGTAAAAATGGCCTGTTAAAAGATATGAGGTAATCAATTTCAGAAGATATTTGCAAATTTCAACTTCTGAAATGGGCTTCTGAGTGTCTTTTTGGAAGTTCTAACTAGATAATTATCTACTAAAATGAAATAGGTTTTTTTTCCCACTTGGAAACATCTCTTCAGTTTTGGTGTTTGTTTGCATGGACAAATTCCAGTAATACACAAACACAGGTCTGACTCTGGAAATCTGAAGGTAAACTTACTGACTGTAAACGTCTCTGAGTTTGTTTGCATAAGAAAAAAATTGTAATTGATCATCCTTTCCAGATCTGCATGGAAAGACAAAATCCATACAGAAGCCAGATTCTCAGATTGGCTCTTGTTGGAAACTGACAGTTGATCGTTAACATCTTGACCTTGAGCCATAAAAAGTACTAAGTGAAACCAAAGGCAGATGCACTTCCGAATTAGTGCAGCAGACAGCGGACGCGCTGGCCCCGTGGTGATGTGTTCCGTGTGTTTCAGATAACCCAGCCGGCTGTCTGGACACCCCACCGGTCTCCGTGAATCCGGATGAATGACCCCAATCCGGATGGCCCGCTGAAGACCACCGCGGGACCGCGATGACCTCTCAAGTCTGGACTTCTCTCGAGTAAGAAACAAACCTATCACCAAAGTTCGATGAGGCCACAAGGTCCTTTAAAGTTCACATCCTCTCCTATTGGGATTACGTTTTCGTGAATATAAAAGTACGATTTAAAAGAGCTCTTCTTTTTCTGGTGGAAGACAGCGGTGGTTCAGACCCCGCCCGTGTCAGGCGGAGGCTTCCGCCGCGGGGCGGGGCCGCTGCGGCACGGCGGTCAGCAGCACGTTCTCGGGGGACACCCCGGGCTCCGTGTAGTACTGCAGCGCGGGCCGGAACCCGTGCCGCCGCAGGTACTCCGCGCGGCCGTGGTCGATCAGCAGCTTACAGAGGCGCCCGATGTCCTCCTTCTCCTCCGCGGTGAGGGACCTGGACCGCACACACACACACACACCGGACAAGGGTACACGCGGTCAGCGCTTGTACCAAGTTAGTGCAGTCCGTGCACTGACCGACAGGCCGCTCGCTAGACAGCCCACAACATACACTGCGTGCCGCGTGCCCTGCTTCCGGGGCACACTTCAGCTGCGACCCCAGTAAAGATGCACTTGAACTGCCTCTAAAATCAGACGGCAAAATGTGTTCCCACGGATGTAAACCTGGGTGGAGCCCCCTAGGGAGCAAGGGCAGCGACCAAGAACCGTCTCCGCCCCGGGCTGCCCGTCCCCGGCCACCTACCCGGGTGGGCTCTCGGCGCGGCCGTCCGTGACTGGGTGCCCCCCGCCGTCGTGCTCCTCGCTGTCCCTGCTCGGGCCGCCTCTCCTCGCGGCGCCGCCCGCGACCCCCGCGGACGCGCCCCGCAGGCCGCACGTGGCCCAGCTGCTCATCCGCTGGAAGTAGTGGAACTCCAGGGCGCCGAGGCCCAGCGCGCGGAAGTGCTCCCTGCCCACGTAGTGCCTCCAGTCGCACCGGTGGTGGCAACAGAGCGCGATGACGATGCCGGCCACCGGGGGGCTCCACGGCTCCGGGGCTGGTCCGTGGCGTCCTTCCTCCGCCGCGGTGCCAGCTTCTCCGTCCGCTCTGCCGTCCTTCATGCGCTTGGCTGAGGGCTCCCCGCTCCCGTCCTCGCCGCGGGCCCCGCAGGCTCCGACCAAACACCGCAGCGCCAGGTCTGCAAACACACCCGCGCGCCCCCGCGACGCCGTCTTTAGATGAGGACTTCTCCCGTCCGTCAGGCACTGCGGCTTCAAAATCCCCAACCCAAACAACATCCCACGTAGCCTTTCCCCTGCGACGGTTCTTCCGTGAATCACCATCAGCTCCGTTCACGTCTGCCCTTTTCCCGCCGCGGCCTCCCTCTCCCTAAGGATGTACTCTGCCCAGAGCCTCCTTCCCGACAGAACCCCCCGCCGCCCAGGGTCCACGGGTCGTAAGAACTCTCAGCCCAGGTCCTGGGGTGGACTCTCGTTTCTCTGCCCCGGCCAAGGAAGTGGCTTGTACAGAGAACCTGTATCTACTGACACCTACGGTCCGGGGCAGTTCTGATCTCGTGGAAACTGGAGAAGGGAATGAGGAGGGTAGGCGTGGGCGTGGGCGCAGGTTGAGGCTCAGGGTCGGCAGGTGGGGTCGGGCTGAGTTCTAAGAAGGGGCTCAGACAGGGAGGCCGGCCACCCCGGGGTCGTGCATTCATTCCCGTGGCAACCAGCCACTGAACCCCGCCCACCTGCGAGTCACCTCGGAGGTCATGGAGGTCATGGCGATGAACGCACATGAGCTGGGGGTGGGGGGGTGTGTGTGTGCTCCACGTTAGAGAGAAAAATTGGCAGTGCGCTGGGAACGAAGCCAGCGCGTGTTTGACGACTGTCACCAGCCCCCACGGAGGACCGCTGTGTTCAGAGCTGACAGTGCCGGAGTCACCCCCATATATGCTGCAAAACCCCTATTTTTCTGTGCCTGTTCAATAAACACACATAGATGTTTTTAAGTCACGTGACCCTGTCACAAGTCACGGTCACGCGACCTAACACTGCGCTGGCGACTTTAGTTGGACACACGCGCTGGAGCCGACAAGCACGGTGGAGCCCGCGACCCGGGGAGCGCGACGCCGGGCTGTTCCCCGAGGGACTGTCGCTCTCCGCCCGGCCCCTGGTTTGTGTGTGCTGGACCTGAGATGGTTTTCAGATACACAAATGACCAGAATGTTGTTAAAGGAATTAAGTTCTTTTAGAGTCGGGAGCTTCAGCAATCCACCTCAACGTGTCCCGTACAGAGGACTCCAGGGACGGGCACAGAGAACACGCTGCCGGCCGAGGTCACTCGCCCGCCCACTCGCCCACTCACTGGGCGCGTGTTCCAAGCCAGCCGTCCCGCCCGCCCAGCCCCGTGCTCTAAGCACTCACGCAGGAACGCGGGGCGAAGCACAGCAGGGGAAGTCAGATGCGCAGGGAGTGTGAGGACAAAGGGGAGGCCGCCGCGCCCTGAACGCGGTGGCCGCTGGGCTGACGGTCGGCAGGCTCGCCCCCGGAACGCTGGAGGCAGGGGTGGCAGGGGCCGGAGAGGGACGAGGACATTGTGTTAAAGGGCCTGGACTCCAGGCTGGCGGTGACTGGGAGCTGCAAGGCATGTCCAGAGGAGGCGGGCCGGCCAGGTGTGGGGCAACGGGCCGAGTTTCAGCACAGAGGGGACGGGTGGTGAATGGAGGAGCCGTGAGGCGGAGAGAGAAGGGCAGGGGCGGAGCCGCAGAGTCGGGAGTGGAGAGCGCCACGGGCAGGGGGCGGGGGTGGGGACACTATCTCTAGCAGGGTAACCTGCCCCAGCAGACTGCTCAGGACAGGATGCCGGGATGCCGAGGGCGGGGGACCGCAGACACGGTGACCCCAGACAGGAAGGCCGGGCAGCCGGAGAACCGGCCAGCAGGGGCTGCACTTCTGAGGAGCTTGGGTTCGGGGGCCGGAGGACAGGGGCCTTTCCTCCTTCCCAGGACGGAAGGCTTTTCCGAGGGTCCAGCGGGATCAGTGCAGGAAAGCCACGGAAACCCTGGCCCTCGGAGCCGTTTCCGGCCCACCCAGGTTTGGAGGCCCCGAGCTCCCCTGCGGGCGGATGAGCCAGCAGCAGGAGCAGGAGGGGGATGTGGCAGCAGCCAACCCCTGCTGAACGGGAACACGGGCCGCTCCACACGACCCTGTTTCACAGAGGCCGCCCGGGGCCCGGAGGTGGGGGAGGGCCGCCTCCGTCAGGGTCGCACAGCCAAGCCGAGCCCCGGGCCGTCGGACTCCAAAGCCCATGCTCCTCCCGCTGCACCTGCCGGAGCCGGTGACCGCCCCCCCGCCCCCCGTGCTCAGGCACGGCGCTGCAGGTTCTCCCTCGTCTGACGTTTGTCTGCCCGCCCCCCCGCCCCCAGCCCCGATACACAGTCCCCTGCTCCTGGGAGAGGTTGCCCCAGTCCTCCCCCAGCAACGCTTCTAAAAAAACCAGTCGCTTTGGGGGTGCAATCATACAGTTCCCATGAATGACTCATTTACTCTTTGGTTGAAGTGTAACCCGAAGAACTTTAGGGTCCCACACGACAGAGTTTTGGGGTGTCCCACCTCTTGGCCTCCCTGGGCCACACATTAAATACCCTGCGACATGCCATCACAAAGAAATCTCACAACATTTTAAGTAAATGTCCGACTTGGTGTGGGGGTACAGCCACAGCCACTCCGGGCTGCACGCAGCCTGCGGGTTGAAAACCCCTGCAGAGCCCTTAGTTCACCCTGCAAAACGGCCCCACGAGCAGTCAGCAGGGGAGCTCCGCACCCATGTAACCCAGCACCCCGCGATCAGCGAGCTGTGAACCCAAGTGACACGAACTATGGGAAAGAGACCCGGAAACGGCTGGGACATGGCCCACGTGCTCGCCCAGCCTTCAGGGGTCACGGACTCACCGGTCGCCACCCCGCACAGGTGCTTTCCGATCCCCACCACCGGCAGCTTCTCTCTGCTGAGCACGGGGATCTTGTCTGAAAGAACAGGGAGGGAGGTAAGGCCTCGGCGTGCCTCCGAAAACAGAGAGCTAATCAGAATCTCGAATTTCAGGGCTGAAAGAGACACAAACAAGAACATTCTCCCTTTGTCGTTTGGGGACAGGAGGCTCAAAGACGCAGTGACCTGATCAGCAACACGGACGCCACTGAGTGGGCAAGAGGTAAAGTCCGTGGCCTGAACGCCAGGCGGTCTCTCCCGCTCGGACCCGGGACCCCTGCGAGCCCCGGGTGCCCATATGCACCGCTGGACTGCTAGGCACCCCCACAGCGCGAGCCTTCTAGGGCCTGTGGCCCACAACGGAGGGGTGTGCGACTTACTCAAACACAAGTGCTGAATGTCAATCTGAAGCCTTTCAAACACTGCGTTTTTCTTTCTGTGTTTGCCATCAACCTGCACAAACGGAACATTATTGCAACAATGGCTTTTTCTGTTCAAAACAAAGCAGCTTCATTCGAAAATAAAAAAAATATTATTTCACAATTCAGAGCAAGTAAGTTTCCATCTTATATTTTAGTCTTTAAAAAAGAGGATCATTAATACTAATACAAAAATTTTAAGATTGCGTGTTCTTTGATGAAAACTCCAAAGTCATCACACTGCACATCTTTATAAGGCTTGAACATTTTATTAGTGATCACGTGAACCTCATTCCTTGAGCTCTAAGAATCCCCAGTTCACTGACGGGGGGGGCCGAAGTTCCTAGATCACCTGCCCGCCCCTCCGCCTCTGGCAGCCCCGAGTGACGCCGCTTCTGGCTCACCCTTCCTCTCGCTCTCTCCAGAAGACCGCAGCGGCCCCACGACACCCGCACGCCTGGGACCGACACGTCTACTCCGAGGCCCCGCCTCTCCGACAGGCACCAGACACACGCGTCGCCCAGCCTGTGGCTTCCAGCGCCAGGACATACCTCTCCCCCTCCCCCCGCTCTGCCCCGGGGCACAGCCTTGGCTCTGGAGTCCGTTGCTCCCTTGGGTCACTGGAGAATAATGACCTTACAATTAATCTCTCTGTTTCAAGTTTCAGATGCTTGATCAGCTTTACTGGTACTGTCTTAACGACCCTTTTGTATTCACTGCTCCAACTCTTACAGAGTCCTCAGTCTCCTCTCAGCTGTCACTTCCTCCAGGGACCCTTCTGCGACCCACCTGGGACTGGACTGCTCTGCCTCCCCGCTCCGACGGTACCTGATACTCACCCCTGTTGCCACGCACTTAGCGCGCTGCGCCAAGATGCTCGGGAGGCCGCCCCGCTAGACGTAAGCGCCTTGGACACCAGCGGCGCATCCCCAGCACGTGGCAGAGCACAGTGGGACGCCTCCCCCGGTCAGCGAGACCCCCGGTCAGCGAGACCCCCGCAGCCTGGCCACGCCCTCCCACCTGCACAGGCGTCTCTGCACCTCTCTGCCGCTTCAGGCACCCGGGCAACGCCAGTCCTGCCGCCTGCACTGCTTCTCAGACCCCAGGTCTGGCACATGTGGCGTCACCCTTCCAGACGCACCTGGAGCATCCCCTCTTCGGTAACCCATCGCCACCCACTCTCCAGAGACACTCGCCACTCCCTCCTTCGGACCCACATGGACCTCCGTGCAGACTTTTTTTCATACTTTAATACTTTCCTATCATCATGTACTGGTCTGTGTGTCTCTCTTTTCTATACACAAGTGACAGAGGTACGGACCTTGTCTTGTTTGCCTGAGCCCACCCGACGTCTACCAGGGGGCCTGGCAGCGTGCCCAACCAACGCTTACTGGAGGGGAGCGGGAAGGGGCGGAGGACCCAGACCTTTAACCCCGGGTGAGCGCTTGGCTCTTTCCACACACTTTCTCGTCTCTGCTTAAGAACTCAGAGCAACGGACTATCAAAATCTGGATTAAAGCACTTATCTTCAGTCACTGATAGAATGAATGTAAAGAGCTACTATAATCAAGTATAAACACAGAAAACTCATTTCCCTTGAGACAGGTTTCTTTCTGCGTCAGGAAGTGCAGACAGACAGCGCGACGACTGACCCAGGCAGCGCGTCCACTCACCTTGAACCTCGTGGTCACCTTCTCCACCAGCACGAAGTGAACTTCCTCGGCATCTTTCAAGGCAATGTCAACCCAGTGAGACAACCTCCCCTTTCCTGCTCCGAACTCAACAAAGCATCTTCTCGGACCGAGTAACTTTAACTTTTCAATGTTACCTAAAATAGAAGCCTGCAAACTTGACGAGATTATTTTATAAGCCGGAGCAGACACGTCTGGCTCAGGCAGGGAAAGGCAGCTCGGCAATGCCCACGTCAGGCAGCGCGTTCACACTGAGAATTTCTGTTTGGCCTTGAAGCTTTTCTCTTTGTTTTCAAGTATTTAACACGCGGGACTTAGAAGCACATGTGCGCCAACACTGTTAAATATAGGCTTATGTGTATTTTGGAAATGCGGAGATTCTGTGGCCTGAAAGAAAATCTAAGTGGAATCTGGTTAATGGCTCTATTTAGGAGGAACAGAACGTTAGCTTCGGAGAGACGAGCGGGAGGCCACGTGGAGCCGCGCTGCCGTGGCCCAGACGTACCTGCTGTTTCAGGTGTTTGGTCGCGGAGTCACCATTTCTCGGGTCCGTGAGGGCGTCGTGCAGTGCCGGATGGGACATAGTCTGATCCCTGAGTGTGGCGTTCAGACCTGGGCCAGACACAAGCACGGGGCTGAGGCAGACGAGCACGGAGCCGCAGGGCTCCCAGCAACGGCAGCCGGCGGCTTCCAACCCGCGCGGGCGCCGAGGCGCGGGCCGCCCGACTGTCCTGAAAAACCCTGAACGTGCGGTTTTAGGCAGACTCACCTTCACTTGCTTTCCTCAGTTTCATAATTAAATTTTCCAGCTGCTCTTCGGGGAGAGAAGAAATGGGAACCTATGCACAAAAATGAGCTGATCACTAAGAATATCGATTCTACAGGAAAACGCATTCTAAATTCAAAAAAATTCGCTCATTTCAAACAAAAATCCGAACACAGCTCATTCACAATGTGGAGAGAGCTTATCAATACTGTTGAAAAGGAAATGTTTAGTCAAGTACTTACGAATTGTTCAGGCATTTCTGTTTCATCCTTCAGGCCTGCATTAATATCCTGAACAAAGAAGTCCTTAACAAAAACAAACCAAACCATAAACATATTGTTATTACTGTGACGTGATCACAAAAATCAAGCTGAAAAACTGATCCTTCCCATCCTCCCGTGATTCATTAGTTACTGACCACCTCCTATGGTCCTCAACTCAGGATCGGTTAACCACCCGAGGGTGCCCCACCGCAGGGAGCAGGACGCACAAAAGTCTGTGTCCCTGGGCCTTACACCCTAGCGAGGTGGCAATGGGAACATCTGCAGTCTAAAGAAACCCATTAGTAATTTTTATTCAAGTTTCCGTCTCCCTACAGCAGGGGCTGAGGACTACGCCAGTGAAGCAAAAACAAAGTATCAACTGCGTTCATCTGTGCTCTGGGCCGCTTCTCAGACAGGGAGGGCGGCCAAAACCAGAGATGAGATACAGATGTGAGGACAGTTTAGGTCTGATTGCTCCTATTTACAAAGGCTAATTAAAATAGTATTTTAACTATTCTCTCTGCGAAGCCCTTGACTCCTTGGATTTAATTTTAACTTTCCTACAAGTGTGTGCTTTTTCACACATGTACTTCTTCCGTGGAACTTAGTAAACAATACCTATTATTTATAAGTTTACTTACCAGTTTCAAACAAGCTCTTCGAAGGCTGGGATCGTATTTTATTGAAAGAAATTAAGAGGCACTAAGTAAATACTTTTGAGTCAATAAAGTATGAGGATATTCTCTGAACAACACTCTGGTTGGGTAACATTCTATGATGTGAACGAGGACTGGAAGGGGATTCTCAGTCTGGTACAGTGCTGGCCTTCACGCACTCAGACGCAGCGACCCCACTCAGGCCTCCGGAGACAGGTCTTGTTAAATATTCCCACCTGTCAGCTACTTTGTCTCCATAAACCCTGCACACCACCGCACACTTCACCGTTCAGTTTTACCGCTCAAATACTCACCGGTTTTGGCTTCTCTCTTGAATTACATTTTTTCAAATGCTTTGCCAGTTGATCTTCATACACTGTGCTAAATTTAAAGACAAAATTATCTAAAATAAGACTTGTGACGATGACTGTTTCCAGCAGAGAAAAACCCGTATCTGACCCCGTACTTACTGTTTCGGATCTAAAGGACACAGGATCCTCTTCCGAGCATTTTCTTCCTAGTCGAGAAAAAGGACGTATTTGAATGAAATAACAGATTCACTGTTTACAGGTACTGGTTCTGACTTCAGTGTAATCATAAATTTCTGCATTCCCCAAACAAGGCAAGGATACCTTAAAAAGCCCATTAATGAAACATTGGCACAGTTAGGTCATAGGGTTTAACACGAAAGTGTCTGGTGTGGCTGGTTTACACATGTACGAGCAAACACTGCTTTGGATGAGGGTCTGCACTTCAAGCAGGTTAGGAAGAAGACCTACACTTGAAATGCTAAACTGATGAAACCATGGACTAAAATACGCACATTTATTTTAGGCACCGTGAAGAAAAAACACCGCCAATTTAAATTATGACATGTCATTGATTTCAAGATGCATTAGGAACAATGAAACATGGCATTTGAACCAGTTGATAGGTGGCCGAATTCTCCTGGCTTTGCCACTTGCCGGGAGGGCGGTTACATCCTGCGTGTTTCTAAGTCACACGCATTTAACTACAGGTGCCAGGGGAAAATGAATGGGGATCAAGAGTGACGGCAATTCCACCCGACATTCACACGAATCGGGACGTGATGGGTCACCTGACTTCAGAGGTCTGATTCTCAGCTCCATTAGCCCCTAACTCCACGACTCTTGGTAGCCTTACTGCCTCAACCAAAACATGACTGTGTGTCATGCTCCCAAAGGTTCAGAAAGATTAAGTGAGCTCATAGTTTTAAAACACCTGCTTAGCACAGGGCTGGCCATGTTCCTGTCCAGCTACCGATCAGCGGGTAAGGATCTATTCATATTCTACTGTTACCACCATCGGATGCCACCTTCCAGCTGTGTGGTTAAGGTCAAGTCTAAGGTCTTATCACAGACTGAGAATGAATCCTTCTCTTATTACACATCGCATTCTTCAGTCAGGGGGTGTTTGCTGGTCCCCTCAAAACCAGCCAGTGCAACTCTGCGGGTGCTTCCAAGACTGGCAGAAGAAGGGGCCCCAGGGTGGAGCTGTACCGGGTATTGCAGAGAAGGGTGAACCTTGGGACTAACAAACAAAAACAACGCACACAGTACTGGACGTGGAGAAGGCATGAAACAGCTACCTGTCTACTCGGTTTAATCCTTCTAAAACCTGTTCAACAGGGTCTTTTCCCACAAGCATTCCCCTCCTCTTGTTGTCATTTTTACTTTTCTATCCTCTATATCCTAAAGAAATACACACACACATAAAAGTAGAGACAGTATGATAAACAGGTGTGACTGTACTAGCAAACAAAATCGTCTGTTGTCCGTTTTCATTTTTAAAGGGAGAGTGGAGTTTTACATGTTTTAAAATCCCTCCTCCCCCTTAAGAGGTACAGATTGGCAGCTACAGAATAGTGACCAGGATGTCAAGTACAAAACAGGGAATATAGTCAATGTCACAATACGTATGAGGCCAATGGGTGCTAGAGGTATTACGGGACTCACCTCCTAAGTTATATAAATGTGCAATCACTATGTTGTATATTGGAAACTAACATAACATCGTATGTCAACTGTAACTGAAAAATTAAAAAAATAATAAAGAAATTAAGTTATCCCCTTAAGGACCTCTGGTGGGGAGATCCCAACCTTGGGGCGAGGCCAGGTGTCAGCATAGATTGTTACTTTCGGGTACTGGAAATTCGGGGGTGGGGGATCCCTTTGTAAAGTATGATTGCCTAACCACAACGCTGTACACCTGAAACGAATACAGAATAATGCTGAATATCAAACGTAATCGAAAAAGAAAATCTTTCTTTCCCTTCTCCAGCACTCTAGGTATAACTTGTTCTCAAGTTCTACTTTTTACAAAGTTTCTCTCCACCGCACTAACAAGAAGAGTGATGATTCACGAAACCGTGAGAACACAAATGGGATCTGGGATCCCCGTGCGCTGCGACCGACACTCCCCATCGGGAGAGCGGCGAAGGTAAGAGGCGGGAGTTCGGAGGAGAACTGAAGTCACTGTCCACATCGCCGGTCCCTGCCGGCTCATCCTCGCTCCCTGGGGCCACAGAGCCGCGCTGATGAGCACAAAGGCTGCAAAACCCAGGGGACCGACGCAGGAAGCGGTCCGAGAGGGGAAGTGCGGGGGCCAAGAAACTTATTTCCGACTCTTGGGAGGGCAGGGCGATACCAGACCTCCGCGGCAGCAGCGTGTTCGCCGCAGAACCTTTTCCCGGCTGCCACCACCATCCTGCAGAACCTCTTCTTCTTTGCCACATAGTAACCGCACCGGCCCTCGGCCTGGGAGCCCGTCGCGCGCGGGGTCGGTGCGGAGGCCGCCATAATACAGGGAAAGTTGCTAACGTCCCGCGGGGCCCCTTCCCTTGTCAAAGATGGCCGCTTCGGGTGCCGCCACGCAGGTGGGAGCCCGGAACTACCGCTCTCCTCGCCCCGCCCCCCGCAGAAGCGGAAGAAGCCGACGGTGGCTGGCGAGGTCCAATCCACTCTGCCTTCGGCCTGTTTCTTTTCCCCGCCCCCTCAGCGGAAGTCGAGCGCCAAACTCAAACTGAGCCCGGCCCGGACGCCGCTCGCACCAGTGCCGCGGTGCCGGCCTGTTGGGCGTTGTGCACAGCGGCGGGGCAGCGGTCCAGCATGAGCCAGGTTCTGTTCCAGCAGCTCGTCCCGCTGCAGGTCAAGTGCAGAGACTGCGAGGAGAGGTAAGGCCCGCGTTCCCCGGTGCCGGCGGGTGGCGGTTGGGGGTCGGGCTGAGGGGGAAGATGGCGGCTCCGGCCAGTGGACTCTGGCCTTCGGCGGGGTGACGGGCCCTCGTCCCCGGGACGCAGAGGGAGACTCGGCTGGGACGCAGGGTGCCTGGTCTCACCGAGTGGCCGTTGCCGAGGACGCGGAGGGTGGGGTCTAGGAATTGGGGAGCTGACGCGCCCCGAGTTAGCGTGGCCGCCGTGGAGGGTGGAGCCCCACGCGCAGCTTTGACAGATAGGAGCGAGGGTCGGCGCTGGCCCTCAGACTTGGTCTCTCGCCTTGGATTCTGTTGGAAGTCCGTTTAAGTTTCGACTTCAGGAAAGTCAGTCTTATGGTGTATTGCCCCTTCCCATTTCCTAGAAATTAAATGAAGTTTCACTGGCTAGAAACAATAGGAGACAACTAGACATGTCTCTGATCCATCCAGGAAATGTCGCCGGCGTGTAAAACGCCTGGCAGGGCCCGGGGGCCACCGTGTCAGGAAGTCGGGCGTTGTCTCCGTGGGGTGGACTGTCCCGTGGGGAGGGAACGAGAGGCCCACCGCGCAGGCACGAGCAGTGATAACTTCCACTGAGGACGCGGCGCTGAAGGAGGGCGGTGGGCCCCGCAGTTTGGGACCTGCAGTTCTGTCCCGGTTCCAGGCCCCCACTGGCTGGCTGGTAGCTTCGCGTTCGCAAAACTGACAGTAACGCGCCCGCGCGCGGGGCTGTTAGGAGGGTCCAGTGTGCAAGGGCGGCGTGGGGAGCGCGGACGTGGAAGTACTGAGTGATGTGAGGCGGGTGTGTGGTTTCATTCGTCCGAAATCCGTCGGCGCGGCAGGCACGGGGAAGGCACCGGGTCGCAGCTGCGCACCGGGGCCTGGGGGCCGTTTCCCGCGGTCCTTGTGTCCTGTCCGCCGCGTGTGGTTCCTGGGTGTTGGCGTTGGCGCTCGTCCGGATTGATGTGCCGTAGAGCAACATGCACATTGGGCATTGAAGACTTCACATGAAAAAAAAAAGAGAATGTAAGATGTCTCCACTTTTATACTGATTTTGTATGTTAAGACAATATTTTGGGTATATTGGGTTTAAGTAAAATATTGCTCAAGTAATTTACCTGTTTCTTCCTAGTTACTTAATGTGGCTTCTAGAAAACGTAAAATGACCCACGTGGCTCATGTTCTCGGGCCCCGTTCTGTTTCTGTTGGACACAGCGCTGTTCTAAGGTGGGGGCGCCATTTCTGATGCCAACGTGGAAACTCCTAGCTCCTCTCCCTCTCCTTGCGTTAGCAAATTTTAACTTCCACAGCTGAAAGGCTTTTTTAGAATAAAGCGTGTATTGGGCCATTGCTGCGGGGCGGGGGAGTGGGGAGACGACCAGGTGGTTCTGGGACGTGAAACCTAATTTACCTGCAGCGGCGAGCACCTGCTGGAAAAGCTGTCCTGGCGTCGGCGTGTTTTTATGGATCGGGGTGGGGGGGCAGTTGTAAGTTGTGTTGAAAGGGTTTATACTGGCTCTGGACAAGGGGGTGGGGGAAGGTGCGGCAGTGGGTTCTGGGCTGGGGCGGGGTCGCGAGGAGGTGTCTCCCGTGGGTTAGCTGGGGCGGCAGCCTGGGGTCCCCACAGGTGAGCGGAGCTCCTGGGGTGGACGGCCAGCAGCCGCCTGGAAGCGGGCCCAGACGTCCAGCAGCCTCGGGTCAGCTGGCTCTGCGCTCCCGTCTCTTTCTCTCTGGCTGCTGTCATTTCATTCAGAACAAATCAGGTTTTTGTTTTTGTTTCCTTTTTATGTTTTGTTTTTTGGTCAACATTTACCATTGTATTTGTCTTTTAGGGCACACTTTCACCTATTTCACTCCTGCTTAGAGACCTTTCCGGTCACCTGCAATCGGTCCTCATACCGAGCCCATGGGCCGGAAGCCCACTCACTGCCTACTGTTGTGATCCAGTTCTATCTTGGCACAGCCGTTCTCCTTTGTTAGGGAGTGAGAGTGGCTGCTCTTACGTTCCAGGGCGGAGATGAGTGTCTGTGACAGAGACCTACGGCTGCACAGCCCCAAATCTTTACTCTTTGGCCCTTTACTGGAAACGTTTGCTGACCCCTGCCCTGTGGGGAAAAACTGCAGATTCTAGTTAGGTATTCAGGGCCAGTTCCGCTGTGCACATGCATTCGTGGAGGCCTACTAAGCACCAGGACCTGTCCCGAATGGGAAGGTTGTAAAGCTTCCTGCCTCCTGGCCCCAACCCCAGCAACAAGGACAAACTGTGTCCGTCCTGGGCCCCGAGGGACTGGCCCTTTAGCACCCACGAGAAACACAGAGTCCCCCCGGAGAGGTGGCGGAGCATGCGGGATTGCAGGCTCGTGGTCCGATTGGGTTTAAATCGCAGGCTGCCACTCACCGACTATTTGTTTTTGTGCTTTTAAACAAACTAATGTCTCTGTGCCCATCCTCAAATCTAAGGTAAAAGCACCTGCCTCACGGGATTCCTGGGACGGGAAGCGAGTTAGCGCGCAGGGGAGTGCCTAGGGCCGGGAGGGCCCGGAGCTCAGTGAGCGCTCACCCAGCCGCAGCAGCTGTTGCGTGTGGTTGATGCGGGACGCTGGCAACAGTGCTGAGGTTCCGGGAAGGAGGCAGCTCAGGTGACGGCGCCGGCAGCGCCCAGCCCCAGAGGAGGCTGGGGCAGAGCTGGGGAAAAGGCTGAGTCCCGGATCTGACACCCGCCTGCGTTGTCCCGCTGGTCTCCTGAGCTCCTCTCCCCCACCTGCAGGCGCCACACCGGAGGACTCGCTCCCTCCCTCACCTCCAGCCCTGCTCTCCCTCCACCCCCAGTGCTTTCTCTTTCCTCGCCCTCAGGGTCTGTGTTCAGTCCCGTCACGTCACGCAGAGAGAGCTCTTTCCAAAGCTGCCTAACTGGAGATGAATTGACTTACGCATTTGCTAGGTGGCAGGTGTGGGTGAAACGTCCGAGCTCTGGTCTGGGCTCTGCAGTGTGGCCTTGACCAGGCTGGAAACTGCCCCCAGGCTTCCTTTGTGGGACAGAAGTAAATATTTACCTAACGAGATGGTCATTGTTAGGTAACAAGATGGATCTGAAGGGCCTGGCAGGGACTCAGTAAATGTTAGTGGCCCTCCCCGCCCCTCTCTTGAAGCAGATCTGGGGTAGTCATTCCATCTGGTCTCAGCTGGAGGACTCGGCCGTGTTGACTTCTGTTCGTATCCCTGGCACCGGGCACAGCACCTGCGCACAGTAGCTGTTGTTCGTTTGTCTGGAGAGTTGAAGGTCACAGCTTCTAGGTGGCAGAGGGGGGCTGGCACCCAGGTCTGCTGATGCCAGATTTAACTGATGGGGAAGGTGTTTACATAGATCGTGCATTGTTCACAATGTGACACTTACTTTGAGAAATGGCATTTTTATTGATTTGTTTTATAATGTTCCTATGACATTAACCATTACAATGGAAGAAATAAGATTTCTGATTTCGGGCCCTGGCCAGGGAGCTCAGGGGGTGTCATCCTGATCGAACCAAGGTTGCAGGTTCAATCCCCGGTCAGGGCACCTACAAGAATCAACCCAGGAGTGCATGGATGAGTGAAACAACAAATCGACATTTCTCTCTCTCTCTCTCTCTCTCTCTCTCTCTCTCTCTCTCTCTCTCTCTCCCCCTCTCCCTCCCTCCCCCTCTCCCTCTCTCTCCCTCTTCTTTCCTCTCTCTAAAAATCAATAAAAATAAAAAGATTTCTGATTTCAGATAGTGTGTCTGAAAGCTCGGATTTTTCTACAAGATACGGCGCGGGGAGCAGTTGACATAGACATGGGGCATACTTTGGCCTGCAGGCCCTTCCTCCCCATTCTCTCCCAGCATCTCATGCATACGAGCGTTTGGAGTAGATGCGACAGAGTCATTAATGTGATGGGAAAACTGGCACAGTAATAGACTTCTGGCAGTACGTAAAGAATATTTTAGGAGGTGGGTGCTGCTTGAATGTTTTTTACACATTTAACAAGTGTAAGAGGACTTTGAAGACGAGTCGTTAGCCACAGTGTCATGCGTCCACGGCAGCTCGTGCTGGAAGAAGACCCCTGGAGGTCCGAAAGCCAGCCCTGCGGGCGCCGTGGAGCTGGAAGGCCCTCACAAGCCCGCCGCAGTCCGAGGCGTGTCTCAGAGAGGCAGAGGTCGGAAGGTGCTTTTGCCCCAAGAAGGCTCGATTTAGGTGGATTTGGAGTAGGAATCTGGTCTGTTTCACACATATTGCTTTAGATCCTAGAAAAATAGAAGCAGAACATTCTGTCGTTTTAAGGAGAATTCTTCCTATTTTTGTGGAGTTCACCAGCGCTGCCTGTCCCTTTTCAGGTAACGGACACAAGGCGTGGTGACCTTCTGTCCTGGAGTCACAGTGCAGCGGGGCCGGGTGCACTTCCCTGCTCCTCTGCTGGGGCGCTGTTCCCCGGCCCAGAGCTCCTAGCAGCTCACTAACTTGGGAGGCCCCGTGCGGCTCTCGGGAGCAGATTCGGTGCCTCTGCTCGCGGCTCTGGGCCTGCGCGACTCCGGAAGAGCCAGCGGCACTGGGGAGTGGGGTCGTGGTGTTGGCTCGTGGGTGCTGCGGGCAGTGCCACGCACCCCTCTACGTGGAGCTGAGGGTTAGCGCCCAGTTCTGTGTGCAGTCAGAAACCTAACTGAGAGGACGTGTTGTAAACCGATGTGAAGTCACCCGTTGGGGCGTGGACAGTCACTCTGGACTCCAGCCTCGGTCAGCTGTCACCAGGCCCCCGGGCGCACGCAGCTCTGTGCCTGTGCTTTCTGTTTCTGTAGCGGGTAGGTGGTGGGAGGACGTGCGGAGGTTGGAAACACACCTTGAGAAGAGTAACTCAGGACTGGACAGATTCTGTTTGTTTTCTTTGCCTTTCCTTTGTTACTAGTCTTTAATTTTGCCAGAATTGTCTGAGAGCCACTTATGTAGAGATCTCTCCACCATTTTTCCCTTTATTTCCTAATTATTTAAACATCTTTGTTCAATTTGATGAATGTTTATGAGCACCTTTGTCTACATGCCTGTGTTTGGTGCTGGGTTCTCCAGGGTGCAGTGCAGAACGCGGGAAGCTGCGATTTCTTCCCCGTAGGGCGTGGAGTCGTGCTGGGACGGGGTGGGTGGCAGCCACTCGGTGACGGTCCGCTGCGGGGGTTCTGCAGAGGGGATGCTGGGCAGATGGGCTTTGCGGGTCTGAAAAGAAACGTCTGGTGTGTGTGATGGGGGGGAATATGTTACCTTGTTCCTGGACTCGGCATCTCAGTATTTCAGCATTGCTTTACATGGTAAGTATTTCAGATGGAATCTCTCATGAAGCATTGGGCGGTTTGAGTGGGTGATTTCTTAAGTGTGGAAAGTTGTGTGATCAACGACAGTGTGCCTTTCAGCAGGTGCGGTTCCGGAGCCAGGGCAGGGCGGTTAGTGCGGCCCGTGCTGCGCGTCCCGCACTGCCGTCACGCTCTCAGCCCTCACAGCAACCCCTTTCCCAGGGAGAGCAGTGCAGCCTCGGGCTAGAGACCTGACTCCCACTCAGTGGCAGGAGGACCAGAACTTGACCTCCAAGTCCAGGGTGCTCTCGCAGCCGCTCCTCGCTCCTCTCCTCGTTGGGACCGCTGTGGGAGCCCGTGGAGTTAATACGAGTGGTAGTGACAACACGTTTCATGCGCCTGTCCCCTGCGCCTGTCTGACGCCTGGGCTTGTCTTCCACGCAGGAGAGTGAGCGTTCGAGCGAGCATCGAGCTGCAGTCCGTGTCGAACCCAGTGCACAGAAAGGTCCGTATGCACTTCTTTGAAACTCGGTGATGTCTGTCACATTGTAGGTAATCGTTTGTTCTTTACCGATGTGAGGTCTTTCATTACCCCCTGCTTGCTTTTAATTTGGGGCTGTTTTGTAACCTGCAGATCTGGGGGGGGCTAAATCTGCTGAGATAACAACTGAGGGACTGTGACACCGTGTGTTCCTCGAGCGTGCAAGGATGGGGGTGGGGACTAGTGCACTCACGACGCTGGGCTGCCTCCTGCCGCCCCGTCGAGCTGGCCCTCCAGGGCGGACCTGTGAGCGCAGAGTGACCTGATTCCCTGCAGGGAGGTGTTCTTGAACCTTTGACTCTGCCTTTTGAAGAGAGGCATGGCAGCATATGATCTCACTTGATTTCACACGTGTGCGTCACGAACAGACACACGGATACGGGACAGGGGCTGAGCCGCAGAGCGTGCGTCTTCTCTGGCGTGGCTTGCCTTCGTGTCTGGGGGCCTGCTGGCAGCAGCAGCAGCAGCCTCAGTTTGGACTAGCCCTTTGGGACGGATCTCAAGAAGTCCCTCGGTAGCAGCCGCTTGAAGGCCAGGGCATTCTGAGGCCGGGCCAATACCCAGGTTGCTAGTTTGGGGGAGAGCTATTGTACTATTCTTACGTGTTATTCCTGTCTGCTGTGTACCTCCTCATTTTCCAGCTCCACTCACGAGTGGTTTAGATTTTTGTAGGACCCCTGATAGTTCCTCAGAGCCAAGGTACATTTTATTTCAAGTGGAACCTTATTGATAACCCAAGTGCGTGTTTCCTTGTTATCCTTCATCACCTTGGTGCTCTGCCTGTCTCCCCGACACAGATGTTCTGTGGCGCACGTAACTTCCGTGCACTTACCTGTGGGCTTCTGCCGCCGGGAGGAACTGCCGCACTCTCAGCTGTCTCTGGACAGAGTCTTTACGGGGTGCTGAGGTCCTTTTGAAAACAGATGGCCCCCCCCCGCCGGGCCATCTGGAGTAGGTGGGAGCAGTGAGGCTCTGGGGAAGAAGCCCTGGCAGCGGTCACCTGATCCCCCATCCTCTGCCAGAGAGGCAGGTGCTCCTTTTCTCCTCTGGCGGGCGACTGTCATTTCTGCGGATGCGTTTGCCACTTGTGAAATGCCGGACCGTTAGCCTGAAGGACGCTGAAAAGATGATTGAATGTGATTTTTTTTGACATAGAATCCCAGTGCACCAAAGGCACTTCCCTGCCCCTCCCCTGGGACGCGCTGTCCCGGCTCGGAGCCCCTAGCAGCTCACTAACTTGGGAGGCCCCGCGCCGCGGCTCTCGGGGAGCAGACTCGGTGCCTCTGCTCACGGCTCTGGGCCTGCGCGACCCGGAAGAGCCGGCGGCGCCGGGGAGCGGGGTTGTGATGTCAGCACGTGGGTGCTGCGGGCGGTGCCACGCACCCCTCTAAAAACTACATCTACCAAAAACATTTTTAAAAACATTAAAAAGTAATCTTTCTTTTAGGATTTAGTTATTCGTCTGACTGATGATACTGATCCATTTTTCCTGTATAACCTTGTTATATCTGAGGAAGATTTTCAGAGGTAACTAAATAAATTTTTTTGGTCTTATATTTAATCTAGGGAAAAGTAAGTTTTTTGATTTTATGAATGTCTTTGGTACTTACTATTCTCTTTGAAACACACCTAGGACCATTTTGGTATTTGGGGAACACTGAGCTATTTATAATCATTCAGAATGTGTTTGAAAGTAAATATCTCATTGATTGAGTGTTCTGCTAAAATAGCTCAGAAATTTGGATCTTTAGCTAAGCTTATTGTCTTTTTCCTTCCATTGAATAAATTTTATAAAAATCAAAGTTTTCTAGTTTATTTCTTGATTGTGGGTGTTCAGTAAGTAAAAAATGATATTTCAGGGTGTTAATTGTAATTGAAGATAGTAATTACATTTTTTAAAAATGATTTCTCCTGTTTTCCATGTAGCTTAAAATTCCAGCAAGGTCTTTTGGTAGACTTCCTAGCTTTCCCGCAGAAATTCATAGACCTCCTCCAGCAGTGCAAGCAGGAGCAGGCCAAAGAGACCCCGAGGTAAGCGCCCCGCCCCCCAGAGTGCTGCGCCGGCACTGACCCCTGGTGACTCCGGAGGCGGGGCCTCTCTGTAACGCGGAGGCCGCACCGCCTGGCCCCTGCCCGTTTTAAAAACTGAGATTGGGGCTCTGCTAAATCCTTAATTAATCTCACCATTAAAATCAGAAATATTGACCCTTAACTTTCACATGTTGACAAAGTCATCAAGTTATTTGAACTATTTAGTAGCATCAAGCATGTGTTTTATCATGGACTTGAGAGGAGGCCCAGTAAGCTTGTGCGCATGTGTGCTGAGGTCCGGAGGGCTCTGCCTGACCCTGCGTGGCCGGCCGAGTGCGGCGGCCTCTGGGCGGGGCTCTGCCCGGGAGGTCGTGGGCCGACTCAGTCACGCCGTGAGGGACCGTGAAATTACACTTCTCTGATTCTGTGCTTTCCAGGTTATTAGTATAATAAAAAGAAATTACCGTCATCAATTAGGGTGATTGATTACTCTGAAAATTCATATAGGAAAAGATAAAAGCTTAATTCTTTTAAATTGTCAACTTTCAGAGTAAGCAGTTGTTATTGTAGTTATTTTTGTGGTTTCAGTAGGTGTTTGGTTTGTTTTTAATTTTAGTTTGTTGCTTTCTCTCCTCATCTGTCATCGTGAACTCGCGGACACTTACTGTGTTTCAGTCAGTGTTTCTTCTTGTCCAGTTTATGTTTTGCTGTTTGCACCACTGTGCCCAGTCTTACCGTCGGGAGGCCTTTCGTGCCGGCCCCCCTGATTTCAGTGCGCCCCTCTCCCTGGTCTTCGCTCACTGGCGACCTGTTGACTCGGCTCACAATGTCACGGAGCTCAGGATTCTGTGGGGGCGTTTTCCTGCGTCATGAATATGTCACAGTGTGACCCTTTCTTTCCAAAGGTTTCTGCTGCAGTTAGTTTCTCCAGCTGCTGTTCTGGATAACTCTCCTGCCCTTTTAAATGTGGTGGAGACAAACCCCTTTAAGCATCTTACGCACCTCTCACTAAAACTGTTACCTGGAAATGATGTGGAAATAAAGAAGTTTTTAGCAGGCTGTTTGAAATGTAGCAAGGTAAGATTAAAATTTAAGTTATTCTTTTAAAATAACGACCAAAGGACTCAGATCAGTCACTGAAGAGCTGTATCAGTTTAGTTTTGGTTTTCTGAATAAAGATGTCCAGTACATTTTTATAACACGCAACGGGTTTATTTCTCATTTACCCACGGTGCAAGGGTGGAAGTGGACCTGGAACTGAACCTTAGGTCCAGGTTTTTACTAGTTCCCTGTGGTCGTGGGCAGGTCGCCTGCACTCTCAGTGTCGGGCTTCGTCAGCTTATGGGAAGGCGTACAAATGTGCAGCCTGTCTCAGATGAAATAAAGTACGTGGAAGTGTCTTGACAACCACACAGCGAGCGCCCTGAAGCTGTGGGAGGTGGAGGGCACGCAGGAACCGCGGGCCCCCTCGCGAGTTCTCAGAGTCTCTGCAGTCTGGCGCTGCTGCAGATCCGCGCGGGTCCTCTGGGGTCGGCCGGCGCGGCAGGTCCTGCCTCGGGAGCCCTGGGTGGGGCCTGAGATGCTGCGCTTCTGGCAGACTCCCACGGGCTGGCGATGCCGCCCTGCACTGCAGTTGGAACAGCACAGTGACGGACGGCTAAATTAAATGATAAGCGACATAATTTTATTTTTATAAACAGGAAGAAAAATTATCGTTGACGCAGTCACTAGAGGACGTTACTAGGCAACTGAATTTCACACAAAAGGTACCTCGGGCTTCATTTTTCTTTGTGAGCCATCCAGACGTTGGCTCTGAACTGCCCCTCGAGTCTCATCCAGGCTTCTGTGTGCTCTTTTCAAAGCGTGCCGCCACAGAGCTCCCTCTCCTTTTGCCGCCCTTCCCTACCCGTCAGTGTCTTAACCCGCTGCTTCCCTCGGTGGCATTTTGTTGCGCCCAAACACCCTGTTTCCCAGCAGAGGCCTTCATTAAACAAGGCCATGTGTGGGTCTGCTCCCCTCACCTACCCCGTTCCTCTCATCTGAAACAGCCTGTCTCGTAACCCTCTCTCTCCCTTCTGCAGTGTGTGGAATTAACCCCTCTGGTAGGTTTCTTGTTTCAGCCGCAGCTACTTCCTGTTTGCTCCTGGTCCTTGGAATTGAGGGCCGGAGCAGCTGACAGTCGACTGCCCTGCACAGCAGGGCCCAGCCTGGGGGCCCGTGCCAACACGGGCCTCCGTGTTCAGTGAGCTGCCCCTCTGACCGCCTGGCTGCCCCGGGGTGCTTTCTCTGGTCCTCAGGCCGGCGGAGCGGGTGGGGTGGTGAGGAGCCAGGTTTAGCCAAAAGGCCAAGGATAGACAAGCTTGACTGGCAGGCTGTTGTAGATCTGAAACTGCTGTTATTCTAGTCTCAGTTCCCTGCGTATTTAGTATTTTCCAAATACTTTGACTATGTCTTGAAAAGCTGCGATTCCCTTGTCTTTAATATCCTTGTAAATATCACTCTGTTCTAACCTAATGACCTGTTCAGGAGACTTTTAACACCTTGTGTTGAACTCTGACGCAGACGTTATCAGAGAAGATCCAAGAATTAGATAAGTTGCGGAACCAATGGGCCGCCCACACAGCAGCGCTGTCGAATAAGCACTCTCAGGAGCTGACCAGTGAGAAGGAGAAGGCCCTGCAGGTACGGACGGTAGAGGAAACCGGAAAGCTGTTTTGTTTCTGCTCTTAGTCGTTTTGTTCGCTGTAAAAATGATCTGAGCTTGCTTGAAAATGTCCAGACGTTACAGATGTCTACAAAAATTAAGTCTCTCCTTCCAAGTCTTTCCACCTGGAGATAATCTCCAAATACCTACGCGGGTTTTTTCAGACTTTCCTCCATATTTGTAAATAGTACATAATTTACCAATACTTGTTCATATTTGTGTAAATTACATGTAATTAGCGATGTACGTGCACACACACTGGGCTTGGTTTTGTCTTATGCTGACGAGCCCCCGGCTCTTGACGCAGGTCCCTTCCGTCCAGCAGGGCGGCGCGGGCACCGCGCTCTGTCCGCTCAGACGTCCTTTTCAGTGGCTCCGTGGTATTTGGATGTGACAACTTATGTAACTGCTCACCCAGCTGGTAGACATTTAAATGCTTTGAAATTTCAGTTATTGCACACCGTACTGCAGTGAACATGCTCTGTTTTTACAAGTGAGGTTGCAGTGTACCCATGTAACAGGTTCCTGGGTCGCGCACACTACGCCCTCCTAGTGCCCGAAGGGTTCGATTGCGCTCCCGACCGCATTTTCTGATAGGACCGTGGCTCCGCCCTTTGGACTGCGAAGCCACGCCTCTCTGCTCTCCTCGCTGAAGGAGAGACCCTGTGGGCGGTGGTTCTACAGCTTTCGTGTATTTCGGAACATCCGAAGTAAAGTGGAAAATATAGGTGTTGTAATTCTGTCCCTCATTTGGCGTTTTTTAAACAAAGACTCCAAAACTCTGATGATCCCTGGGATGAATCATTCCTCTGCCGAGACCGCCTTTGGTGCCCGCTGCCTTGAGTGTGTCTGCGGCCCTCCGAGCCGAGGCCGGCCCAGCATGCACCTCGGTGGGACCCCCGTTTGGTCTTCCCCGGACCCTGCTTCCGCCCACTCCTCCAGGGCCGCATCCGTTTCCCAAGGCCCTCTCCTGTTTTCTCTCTCCGCTCCCTTCCCCTCTCCTCCTCCTCTGTACCCCAGAAATGAGGGGGCTCTTACCGTGGTAATGTGAAACTCCCAAAGAGGTACTTTTATGAAAAAAAAAAGAGATACTTGAGCACTCCTGGTGGGAATTTTTGAATGGGTACCATGAAGTTTTACCTTTTATTCATTTTTTTACCAGTACAAGTTTACTTAGAAAGCCACAGAGGTAGAAGTGCACCAGCTGGGCCGTGTGGGCTCAGGAGACAAGGTTCAGAAGCAGAGGGAGGGCCCTTGGAGCTCAGGAGAGAGAAGGGCAGAGGGAAGGCGCCTGGAGGAGAAGAGGGGGTGCCCCAGAGAGGCGGGGGGAGGCCGGGAGGTAGAGCGCTGGAATGCAGTTGTGGAACTCCTGTGGAGCCTGGTATTTGTTTACAGTCTTTGACCTCCACCTGATCGTAAGGAAGTACTCTCAGTTTCGGATGCATGTCTGTGCACAGACAGGTTGGAAGCTCAGTGTCCACGGAAGGGCAGGAGTTGAGGGCGTGAAGGCGCAGCGAAGGTGGAGTGTTGTGCAGCCCCTGATGTGTTCACCGGGCTTTCTGTGCCGCGACACGGTGCCGATGGCCAGGGGATAAAACACACGATTGAACTGCGTGACTAGCTCGGTCCTGACTGTTAAATGCGTAGTTGTGTGTGTGGTGGTGGGGGGGGTGTTGATTTTACTGTGCGAACGACTGGGGAGGAGTACGCCTGTGTCTGCAGAGCGGCTCCCTGGGGGAGGTGGTCGGTTGCTGGTGATTTCCTTCTCCGTGCTTTTAAGGGCACGTGTAACTTTCCATAGTCAGAGAAGTATATCTTTAAAAAGTACTTAGGATTTTGTAGTGTTCATCAACAGAAATTACGAAGCTGTGTTTGTGGTGTAATACAGGCACCAGAGATTGTGCAATTACTGTCTGGTTCCAATTTTATTTTCGATGAACTGTAACTACTGCCTGTGAGACTGAACGAACGTGTACGTCTTGTGGACTTCACAAGTCTGGGCAGGACTCCATCTCACTGTGAACATACACTCGCACAGAGGGGAGACGACACACACTGCGAGTTCCCCAGTGCGCACTCGTGTGTTTTACACAAAAAGGCTCATGCTATACATACTGTTTTCAGTTTGCTCTTTAGTCACGTACTACTCCTCTCCCCTGAACTTTTGAAGACCATCACATCTGAACACGTGTGGGCGTGGGGCGAGCAGAGGTCACGCACGAGACCGTAGTGGTCCACACGCCTCTGCTGACCTCACTTCTCCTTCCCGAAATCCGTAATTGGAAGTAGGTCTTCCTCGCCCTGGCGGGGGCGCTCAATTGGTTGGAGTGTCGTCCTGTGCCCCGGGGTTGCGGGCTCGCTCCCCAGTCGGGGCACACACCTGGGCTGCCCTCGGATCCCTCCCTGGTCAGCCAGCCGATCGATGTTTCTGTCTTTTTCTCTCTCCCCCTTCCCTCTTTCCTTTCTCTCATAAACAAATAAGTAAATGTATATCTCCTTGGGTGAGGACTTAAAAAAGTGAAGTAAATAAAAGGAGATAGATCCTCTTCAAAACAGGAAAATCTTATGATCATCTAGAAGAACAGTTAAGACCTCGTTCATATTCTCCTGTGCTTGTGTCTCTGGCTCTCCTTGACCTGGGTCTGGGTGTCACTGCACGACAGGCGCAGGTTCTGCACCAGCAGCAGCACGAGCAGCAGAAGAAGGACCTCGAAGCGCTCCACCAGCGCGGCGTCCAGCAGCTGCAGAGCAGGCTGTCGGAGCTGGAGGCGGCCAACAAGGACCTCACCGAGAGGCGGTACAAAGGGGACTCCGCCGTCCGAGAGCTGAAAGCGAAGCTCTCCGGAGTCGAAGAGGTATTGCACGGGGCGCTCGGTGCCCCCCGCACCCCCCTGCAGAGAACAGTCTGGTCTGATCACCTTAGTGCCGTGTGGGTGGTGGTCCTCGGGGTCAGCAGGGCTCGCTCGTGTGGCAGTCAGCTCAGACGATGCAGAGGCGGCGAGGACCTGCCGTCTGGGTGGAGGTGAACCTGGGTGTGTGTAGTCGGGGTCTCGGAGAGCAGTCTTGGCGTAGCCCTCGGCGGTTTCAGACGCTTCAGTAGCTCGGGCTCCATGGTGACAGGGCTGTTCTCTCCCTCCGCGTGTTCAACACCCCACGTGACTCTGAAGTCTAGTGTCTAGTGATGATTACGAGCATCGTAGTGATGACAGCTGCGGGTGCTTAATGAGCAGCAGCACCATGCTGGGTGCCAGCTGCTGCTTTAAGTGCTTTACACACATTAACTCATTTAGTTCTTGTGTCGGGTCTTTTATAGTAGGCACCCTTACTGCGCCCATTTTACAGGTGACAAAACTGAGGCACAGGAGGTTAAGTAACTAGCCCGAGGTTGCGTAGCCAGTGAGTGAGAGAGCAAGGACTGGAGCCCCCCGTTACTTGCCGGTCTTCACTGGTACCTTCTTCACAGACAACAGAGAAACTGTAACAGCACTTGCTCTGGTGGCCCGTTCGTCGCTGCGTCGGCAATGGATAGCTTCTTCCGAGCATGCTGTGTGTTAGTGTCGCAGGAAATTAGCAGAAGACGTGCGGATTTTAAGTCTGTTACATTTAGATGAAAAGATCACCATGTCACTGGGGCTCACAAGACTTGCAACCCCCGGTCGCCAGGCTGGTTCGCGTAGAAACTCTGCGAGGCTGTTAGGTCCGCACATCGGTCTGCCCCCCCGCCGGTGTCTGCGGTCCACTTTCCACACCCACCTTGCACACCAGCGGCTAGCTAGACATCCCAGTCTTCCCGATGCAGCAGCGGGTCGCTTGCTTCGCCGTGGTGCCGCGCCTCAGAGTCTGTCCCGGCCCTGAGGTGGGCCTGGTGGGCACGGGGCAGGCGCCTCATCGTGTCTGGTGGAGACATTCCTTCCCGGGTTCGCGTAAGGCCTGGAAGTGAAACGAGTTCAGGAAACTTCTTTTTAACTCCCAAGTTACGTAAACATTACACCTTTTGGGCATTAGTGCCCTAAAATTAATAATTGCTATCATTTATTGGGTATTTACTGTGTGCCAGACAAAATGCTAAGCAGTTTATTTACATAAGGGTTTTGGGAAGATTTAAATGAAACAATTTATGAAGTGTTTATCACTTCTCTTTTGCAAATGAGGGAGCTGAGCTGTAGGGAGGTTCAGGAAGGATTTCCTGGGGAACCAGAACTTGAATCCAGGTCTGTCGGATACCAGAGTCAGTGCTTCTAAAACCACCGTGTTACAGTGCTGTAAAACTGTCTGGTAAAGTTTTTGCTCAACACGAATTCTAGCTAGGGGTGCCGTGTGCTGGACTTTCTTACACCACCACCGTTTGGGTTGGTATTAGCGAGTGGGGAAGTGATCTCTTCCAGGATTGTTGAAGTCTATTTTTAATTAGCAATTAATGTTTGCTTATTTTTGCTTTTAAGAGTGAACCAAAGAATTGTTAACATATTTGTTTTCATGGAAAGATATTTGAGATATATATGTTATAGGTTAACACAGAAAGGTGTGTGTTGCATGTATATGTATGCACATATGTGTATACGTGTGTGTATGCAGTAGATAGATTAAAAGCTGCACAGTGAGCCCTTAAAATAGTCCATATGTATAAGCCACAGGAGTCAGTGTTGCCTCTAGATCACGGTGCTCACCACGGCTGTCTGTAGACTCGGTGGGAGCGGTCCCAGTGGTCCTGGTGCCCCGGTCGCGCCCCGCAGGAAGTCAGAGCCTCCCGGGGAGGGCACCAGGCGGCAGGGCATGCCCACCCCAGGGGGTTTGCTTGGCTGGGCCCTGGAGCGCCGCGGTAAGGCAAGTACAGGGGCCTTTAGAACTCCCAGGCGGTTCGGCGTGCAGAGAGGGTAGGCGGAGAGCCCTGCTTAGATGGTAGAATGATAGGGTTTTCAACTCACTACTTTTGTGTGTTTTTGAGTTCTGCCACAGTTAGTGCTTGTTACCTAAGTGGTTTTTTTAAACTGTAAATTTCAAGACCTCAGAAAATTCTTGTTAGCTAGTTTTTTCAAGTTGTAGTTTATTCATGAATCAGGGTTGTTTTATTTTCCCTTGTTGCGATTGAAGTAGTTTTTAGCGTATTTTACAACTGTATCCTAAACCTACAAGTTACATTCACCCTTAGACTTCTGTGTCCAGCCAGATCAGCAAACCCGGCTATTCCGTGGCGCCTCAGTTTCTGCCTCCTCTAGGAGCTCCAGCGGGTGAAGCAGGAGGTCCTGTCGCTGCGGAGGGAGAACTCGGCCTTGGATGCCGAGTGCCACGAGAAGGAAAAGCACGTCAATCAGCTGCAGACGAAAGTGGCTGTTCTAGAACAGGAAATCAAGGATAAGGACCAGCTTGTTCTAAGAACAAAAGAAGCATTTGATACAATCCAGGAACAAAAGGTCTATTTTAATATTTTGTAAACAAATTGATGATCATTTTATAGAGGGATGCTTTTCCTAAACAAGTGCCCCAGTAATTCATGTTTTTAAAAATATCAACAGGTGGTTTTAGAAGAAAATGGTGAGAAAAGTCAGGTACAACTAGGAAAACTTGAAGCTACCATAAAATCATTATCAGCGGAACTTCTTAAGGTTTGTTTTTAAAAATTTAAGAGCATTGATATTTTATTGGATTATGTAGAAATACACATGTGAGGCTCTTTTATAGGCAAATGAAATTATCAAGAAGTTACAAGGGGATCTGAAAACTTTAATGGGGAAGTTGAAACTGAAGAATACAGTTACCATTCAGCAGGAGAAACTCTTGGCTGAGAAGGAAGAAAAATTACAAAAGGAACAAAAGGAGTTACAAGATGTTGCACAGTCTCTCCGGAAGAAAGAGCAAGAGGTGGTCACTGTTTTATACTTGGGCATGTATGGTTGTTTGTAGAGTACAACAGTTTTCCTCAGATGTATTTTTTAAAGTTCTACTTCGTTATATTAGAGAATGGCTTTGGCTCTTTCTGTTTTGTTCTTTCCAAAGAGCATGGCAAGATTCAACAGAAGTTACTGACTTATGTTTGAAAAGAAAGTTATCACGACTCAGATACCTTGAGTGTGCACGTACGTGTGTGTGCGCGCACACTGTGTTTTACTGCGTAGGTGAGCCAGTTCCTCCACTCAGTAATAATTCGGAGTGGTCATCCATGCAGCTCCTAGCAGTACATTTCTTCGGTTTTTATTTTAGTCTTTATTATACTTACTATGAAGATTGACCTATTTCAGGTATGCAAATTACAAGAACAATTAGAAGCTACAGTTCAAAAACTTGAAGAAAGCAAACAGCTTCTAAAAAATAATGAAAAGTGTAAGTATGTTACCTTTTTATTAAATTAAATTTGTAGCTTTATTCCTAACCTAAATATTTTAATTTGAAATCATACAAGTCTAGGAAAGCCCCTCATTATAAAAAAAAAAAAAACACCTGTCATCTGTATCAGTAACCCAAAATTGAAAGTGTTGAAAATATTAACCATGATTTACTTTAAAAATTCTTCACTCTTCTTTCATTGTTGTGTGCCTTTAACTAACAGTTTTACGAGTTCCCAGCTGTGGGATGTGAGTGTGAACTTTGGGTTCCCAGCTGTCGGGTGTGAGTGTGGACTTTGGGTTCCCAGCTGTGGGATGTGAGTGTGAACTTTGGGTTCCCAGCTGTCGGGTGTTGAGAGTGTGAACTTTGGGTTCGAAGCTGTCGGATGTAAGTGTGAACTTTGGGTTCCCAGCTGTCGGGTGTGAGTGTGGACTTTGCGTTCCCAGCTGTCAGGTGTTGAGAGTGTGAACTTTGGGTTCGAAGCTGTCGGATGTAAGTGTGGACTTTGGGTTTGCTGTTGTGGGATGTGAGTGTGGACTTTGGGGTCCCAGCTGTCGGGCGTGAGTGTGGACTTTGGGGTCCCAGCTGTCGGGTGTGAGTGTGGACTTTGGGGTCCCAGCTGTCGGGCGTGAGTGTGAACCTTGCACAGACTGTGAGGCCCCCAGAAAGGACAGCCTGCAGAGCGGTCCGTGGTGCCGCAGACAGCAGTGCAGTGAGGAGTTCTGTGGGGCAGTTGCCAACCTAAGAATCTTTAATGATAAAAAATTTAAGTTAACCTATATTGTTCTCCTGTGACATAAGATAGTTAAAAACTTAAAATTGTAGAAAACTCAAGATAATTTTCAAATGTTTAAAATTTTTAGGGAAAATAAAAATAATGTAATAAAATTCTTTACCTTGTTTCTTTTCTTTCCTTCTGTAAGTAATAACATGGTTAAATAAGGAACTAACTGAAAACCAGCTGGTGAGAAGGCAGGACATGCTGGGGCCCTCTGCCACCCCGCCTGTGCGCGCTAGCAGCGGCTCGGTCAGAAGTGGACTCTCCCCCAACCCTAACGTGGTAAGCGTGGAGTGACGACGAGAGAGGCCTCAGTCAGTCCCCTAGAGCAGAAAGTGTCCCCAGCTCGTCCGGAAGGCTCCGTGACTTCCGCCGCCGGTGCTGCTGGGCTGGGGCCCTCCGGCTACTCGCACTGAGTCGAGTTTCAGTTGCCCGGAGGTGGGGCACTCGGGGGCACTGGCCGGTACCGGGGCGGGGGCGGGTGCTGCGTTTCAAGGGCACACTTCTGTGAGATTTTTAATCCACGTAGGAAGCATTCAGCATGAACTAAAGCAATGCCAAAGATGCTGAAAACTTACACACACACACACACACACACACACACACACACAGAGTCTCGGGGGCCTCAGGACGGAGCAGGGTTTGGCTCGGGTGTGGAGTTACGATGGAAGGACCTAAACGGAGTTCTGTCACCCCGAGAAAAGGCCTGTTACCAGGCTCGCCAGCTCTAGGTTCTGGAAGGAACTGGCAGTGAGGTAGAAGCTCTATAGCTTCCAGGGCCAGATCCTGTGCTTTCTCCACGCAGGAGAGGAGCCCCAGGTGTCACCGGGTGCTGGCCTGGCTCTCACAGGCAGGCCTCGGGGTCCTCCTGTGGGACTGGCGTGAGGTTGCACGGTGGTGGCATTAGACAAGCCCGCTCCGTGACTGTGCCGGGCCCGGATGAGGAGGAGTCCATGTGGCGCAACCACAAACTCGGGCGCAGGCGTCCCGCGCTGGGCTTCACGAGGGCCTCGTTCCCAGTCGCAGCTTCGGCCTGAACACGTCTCCCCCACCGTGTCCGGTGAGGGCCGCTCAGACACGCGGGCAGCCGCCGCCCTCTCCCGGTGACGTCCAGCCCGTCGAGAGGCCCCGCTTTCTTCGCGTGCCCCTGCAGTCACCCAGCACGTGGCTGTGAGTCCAGTCAAGAAGCCCTTGTCACCGGCTCTGACCAGGACACTGCGCGGTTCGTCACGGTGTGTGGTCTCCCTCGACGTAAGGAGCAGTGGTCAGCCTAGGTGTGTGGCGAGGTGTGTCCGGAAAAAGTCCAGCCTTTGTTAATGTAACTGGAGCAGTTTGCGTGACATCGATGTGACCAGCAGCCCAGGAGAGGGGACTGGAATGCACATGCGTGAACAATGATGACTTCACTGTACTAGTCAGTGGGGGCAGTAGACGCCATTGAGTGAGCATGTGTACTGTGTGGCCGCTGCGTTCAAAGTGAGAGAGTAGAGCAACGAATCTGCGTCAGGTTTTCCGTCAAGCTTGAACATTCCTTTGTGGAAACTTTTCAGATGACTCAGAAGGCCGCAGCTGTGGGCAGCTGGTGATTGGCAGCTTCACATGACAATGCACCTGCTCGTGCATCACGTCTTGTGCAGAGTTTTTTGGCAAAACATCAAATCACCCAGGTGACTCCACCCCACTATAGCCCAGATTTGGTGCTCTGTGACAGCTGGCTTTTCCCAAAACTAAAATCACCTTTGAAAGGGAAGAGATTTCAGGCTGTCAGTGAGATTCAGGAAAATACGATGGGGCAGCTGATGGGGGTTGGGAGAACTGTGTGAGGTCCCAAGGTGCCTACTTTGGAGGGGACTGAAGATGTACACTGTATGTGGTATCTTTTTCAGTAAATGTTTCTATTTTTCACATTACGTGGCTGGATACCTCCTGGACAGACCCTGTGCATCTGTAGCTGTGATTCTGTAGCCACTGGCGGGCGTGCCCTGGCAGGGGTTTAAAGGTCAAGCGCCCAGTGAATCGGGTGGTACTTGGTGTGTAAAGAAGGGCAAGCGTTTCTGCTGGTGGAAAGGTGGGGAAAAAAGTGCCCCACACTGAAGTGAGACTGGAGGACACGGATGGTGACAGCTGCGCGCAGGGTGTCTCTGTCATGCCCCGCGGGCGTGCACAGCACCTAAGGCGGTGTCTCGGTTGGCCCCAAGCGGAACAGACTGCGTGGCGTTGGTCAGTGGTGGCGTCACCGCTGGCACAGCAGGCTTATCTCTGTTACTCAGTGTAAGGGCACTGATCTTGCTTCTACCTTGTCTGGCAGAAGAAACATTTTGGGGGGGTCACCCGAGGACATGTTTCCATTGATTTTCAGAGAGAGAGGAGTGCGGGGGGAGTGGGGGAGAGACGGAAAGAAAGCGGGGGAGAGAGGAAACGTCGAACCCACAGCCTAGGTGAACCCACAACTGGCGAGTGCCGCTCCAACCCAGCTGAGCCACGCTGCCAGGGCGAGAACGATTTTTCTTTTACCCCTGACTGGTCTGTGGACCTATGGCTCCACCCCCATGTCCCCCTCTGTGGCACTGGGGGTGCCAGGGAGAACCGTGCTGCTTCAGAGGTGTGTGTGTGAGCAGCTGGAGGCAGGTCCAGGGCTCGTCTCGGCTGCGCTCACTCGGAGAGCCAGATGGCCCCAGCTCGTGCTGTGCAGGGAGGCCGCGTCTTGCGGTGTCGTGACAGAGAACGTGGGGCTCTAAGAGCTTCTGACTTCCTCCGAGCCGGCGCTGGTGCCTCTCGGGGCGGCGGGTGCTATTCCGGGCTGACTTCTCCCCGTCACTGTCCTGTGTTTCTGTCCCCAGGTCGATGGCAGAGTGGCGTACCCAGCCTGCGGGGTTGGCTATCCTGGCTCCTCTGCGTTTGCGTTCCAGAACACCTTCTCTCACCCCGCAGCTGCCAAAAACTCCATCCACCCGGTTTCGGGACCAAAGGCAAGCACATTCGCACTTTCCTCTTGAAAAACATAGCAAGTTATTAACGTACAGGTGTTTTTACCTCTGTAAAGTGTGTCCCCTGGTCAGTTGCTAGGATCAGGTGACGCGTGAGGGGACGCTGACCCCCGAGGGGCTGGTCTCTGCGCTTGCGGCAGCGCGGTGCGCACTCGGTGACGCATCTGGACGTCAGCCTGCTGAGGCTGTTTGTTCCCGCTCCGCCGCCTCTCTCATTCTGCTCATCCGTCTGCCCGTAGCCCCTGCAGCTCTGGGACCTCGCTGGGGTCCCCGCCTCCCCACACGGGGCGTGGGGACTGAGCCCCAGTCCCCTGCGGACGTGGAGGTCTGGGGGCGGGCCCGGCGCGGACTCCGCGTGCAGCCCCGGGCGGGTGGCGGGGAGGGCGCGGCCCGGGGTGCAGCCGGCCTCGGCTGTCTGCGAAGGCACACAGCTGCCCCCGTGAGTGCTTCCTCGTCCTGGTCCCTGACGTCCTCAGGGTCTGGGCCACACCCCCGGGCACCCCGAGTCGTTTCTGCAGCGGAGGGTGCGGCCCACACCGGATGGACTGTCCCCTGCATCATGGAGACCGCCCGTCTTGGAAGGACGATTTTACAAAAGATGGAACGGGGACTCCGAAATGCTCCTGTGAGCTCGGTGGCAGCTGTGGCCGCCCTGAGGAGCAGTGGGCGGAGCTGCTTCTCGGCGCTGCCGGGCCCGTGGGGCCTTGCGGCGGCCGAGAGGGAAGCCAGGGTCGTGTCGGGAATGTCACGTGGAGAGCGTTTGGATGCATCTCGCTGACGCTTCCCGCATTGCCGGTTAAGGAGAACAGATACACGCCTTCCGGGAATACTGTTGTTTTTAATAAACACCTGTGTGCTCAGTGTGGTTGCACCATAGGATCAATCATTTCTTTAAAGTGATGATGGAGTTAAAAACTTCTTCTCATGTTAAGCAGTCTTCCAGAAATTATATAATGTCCAAGGGGAGCCAGGACAGGTGGGGAGGGATGACTGTGACTTTGGCAGGAAGAGGTTCCCCTCCGTGAGCCCATCGGGGGCCGTGACGGCCGCTGCGTGGCGTCCCCTGTCACTCATCTCCACGATCTTTTGCTCACCTAGCCCCTTCCATGAAATTCTCCCCTTGCTAAGTTTCCCGTTTGGTGGCGTGAGTTGGTTTCATGCTGTAAAGCCGCCGCGCCAGCCCAGGTGGAGAACGTTTGCGTTGGAGAAGCAGCTCCGTGGCTCATAGGGCGGTCAGCCCGTCCACTCTCTGCCCCCAGCACCCTCAGCCCGCCGCCTGTGTCCTGCCCGGGCAGTCGCCACGCCGCACTGTCTGTGCGGGGCTCACCGCGAGCAGCCGTCACTTCCGTCCCCGCGCAGGGCCCGGAGCTCGTTTCTGGTGGTCCGCTGCTGTCCCCTCGTGTGGAGAGGCCACATGGGGGACGTCTGTGTCACTTTCAGCTTTGGGCTGTCACACGCAGACAGCTGCCACGTGCGCAGCCTCTGTGTTCCTCTGCGGCGAGCACCCGCGGGCAGGACGGGACGCCCGGGGGCGTGGGTGCGGTTTTTTGGGGCCGCACCACCTGCGGCCCTGCCCCACCTGCAGTCCCTGCTTGAGAACGCTCTTTTGTTCGCCCTGTCCAGTTTCCTAGTCGTGAGTGGTCGGTGGCCAGAACCTGCACTATGTATTACTACCCGGTACTCCTCCTTAACTTTCCTCCCTCTGTGTGCGCGTAAGGAATAGGAAATCCTCTCGTCTTGCTTTAGAAAGCCCGTCTGTGTGGGCTCTGGCCATGTCAGGTGTGCAGCTCCAGGAGGCAAGCCGGTCTCTCTGGAATGCTGAACTGGAGAGCCCAGGGCAGCACCGTCTACCTTTCTCATTCATCGTTTCTTCCTGGTGTGTCTATTTCAGCAGCAGCTTTTACCAAAATAGACACCGTGTTCGTGTGCCCTTCCTTTCCGTGTGCACGTGGTGCGGGTTTTCCTCCTGGGGCCGGGAGCGTGGCCACTCACGAAGGACGGCGGGCTTCCTGGTCCACGAGCAGGGTCCTGGCGTGCGGCCCACGCGCCACAGTCGTCCCTGCCCTGCGTGCGCTTCTCCACCGCCCACGCCAGGGTTCTGGTTTGGACTGGACGTGGGTTCCCGGGTGGCTCCTCAGTGCTCAGAGTTCCAGTTCCCAGCCCCCGTTCGGAGTCCCTGAGCACCTGTGGCGTGGGCTCCGTGAGTCCCCGAGAGTCCCCGAGAGGGGAAGAAGCATTCCCGAGAGCGTGCGCGCGGTGAAAGCATCGGTGCACCACTCGGTCCTGGCTCACGCCACGGGGCTTGCGTGCACGCGCCCGCGTGTGGCCTGTTTCCGCCTTTCACCTTCCTCCTGGGGCGGCAGCTGCCTGGCCCGGGCGGCAGCGGTCTCCTCGTGGAGCTGCTCCCTCGGAGGCGTCCGTTAGGGACTAGAGGTTGGGCCTGGGCCCCAGGGTCTGCCGTTGGGCGAGGAAGGGAAGCGCGGTCGTCTCCGTGCCGGTAGTCTCCGTGCCGGTCATGTCTCCGTGCGGGCAGTCTCCGTGCCGGTCACCCCCGCCCCCGCTGGCTTGGTCACAGAGATGTGCTCTCGCCCCACAGGTCCAGTTTAACCTGCATTGCCCCAGACCGAGCGGGTCCCCGGGGGATGCGCCGCCCGGAGCGGCTGGGAGCGCGGCCTGCTCGGCTGACAAGGAGAAGTAAGTGCCGGCCGACACTGTGCCCAGTGCGTGCGGCCTCGAAAGCCCCCTGGAAGGAAGCCTGTCGCCCTCGGAGAGCGCTGGTGCCTGCTCACGGGTCCGTGGCCTGGCGGCGGTGCTCCCTTGCTGTGCTTCCCCGCGTGCTGAGCCGGGGCCACCTGCCGGCCCTTCTGTGCCCCCCCCCGCCCTCCCCCTCCCCCCGTGTGCTTCACGCTAGACTGAGCTTCACGTTTCTGGGGTCGCGTGTTCTGCTAGAGGGACGGGACCCTGCGCAGAGCGGGAGAGAAGGGGGAATGCGAGTGCAGGCACGCTTGTTTTCTGAAATAGCGTGTTGGTGCTGGTCTACCCAGAATCCCCTGCTGTTAGCGAGGTGTGCTAATGTCTCTGACGACACTGGGAGCGCACGTCTTGAGGAGCGTCCGGTTATGGAAGAAGGGGAGCACCCTTTTGAGATACAGGACGAGACAGGAAACGCTAAATCATACGGGTTTTTCTCAGGACACGCACATGCGTGTTTTCACAGTGCTCGTAGGGCGTTCGTGCCCCACACTCCTCGTCGCGGCCCCTGGGATGCTACTCTGTGCCGGGGGGAGGGGGTGCTCCAGCTCGTGCGTAGAGAAATCAGTGAGGAACGTGATTTGTTTTGAACAAAGCTGTAGGTGTGTGGATTAGGCAGATATTAAAAATTAGCCACTAAAGAGAAAATGACTTTGTTAAAGTAAATAATTACCATTTTCCTTTCTGAGTGGTGAAAATTTAGGGCTAGAGTCCAAATACCTGAAGAAAAGGGAAGACAGCATTCCTTTGCGTGGCCTCAGCCAGAACCTCTTCGGCGGCGACCCAGGTGAGAGGATGTTTCGGAAGCAGCCCCCCCGCTGTGGGGTGAGGGCGCGCAGGTGGGGGCTGGCGTGAATGCAAACCATCTCTCTCTGTCCTCGTTTGCAGACCACCAGCGGGACGGCGCGCTGGGGGCCCTGCAGCCCCGCCCCAAACCGGCCGTGGGCACCCCCGCCCCCTCGGCGTACTTCCCCGGGCAGCCCCCCAGCACGTAGTCCTGTGGCCCCCCGCCCCCCCCCCCCTTAGCCAGGGCTGGACACTCGGGCTGGCGGCCGGCCCGGTGCCGGCAGCACGGAGGAGATCCCCCGGGGGCGGGCGGGTGCCGTGGGTGCTCCGTGCGGCTGTCGCTGCCGGCGGGTTGTGTCGAGGAGCAGGTCTGTCCCCGGGGCGAGGCCGCCCGCCACCGCTTCAGTCCGCGCGTGCGCACTTCTCAGGACCTGCGGGGAAGGAGCGCCGGTGCCGGAGTCTTGTTAGACTGGTCCCTGGAGGTTCTTCCAAGTTCTAAGGCAAGAGGGGTCTTTGTGAGGGACGTTGTGACCATAGTGACTCTGGGTGGAACTGCTCAGGCGCAGCAGGGGACCAAAGAGTGCTCATAATCCACGTAGTTTTCATTAGCAGAGCAAGTCTGAAATTTGCCACCTAAGAATTATGAGGGAAGTTGATTATCACCTCCTAACACGCCTGTTATCGATAATTTATAATAATGGGATAAGTCCTAAAATTGAATGAATTATTCATAGCAAGTCTTTTCCTTTCAATTAGCTATTAAGACTCTTGAGTGATTTTGATAAATTTATTATAAAAATAACTCGGACAGTGTATTTACATGACCAGATGAAGTACAGTGTCTTCGTCATTTGAGCTGCAAAGTTGGTAGGATTTCATGGCTTCCTACGCGTCTGTACTCACCTGCTTTTTCTTTCGTGTGGATTTCTCGACACTTTTTTTAATGCAGTTAAATTTGTATTAGTGGAATTTTGTTTTAAAAATTAGCACTATACAAAAGAGCATCATGAATATACTTGTATTTGCTTTTTATCTCAAAATGGGTTTATTTTAATGTTTGTTTAATAAAGCAGGCAAAAAACAACTCTTGGATGTTAAAACTTTCTCATCGTTTAAGTTTCAAGTAAGAATAGTGGGAATAAATTAGGTGATTTAAAAAAGTTCACCCAGAATCCTAGGGCCCATGTTCTCGTGTTCATAGCCATCCAGTAGAATAGCATTCTCTTAAGAAACACCTAAATTATTTTTATTGACATATATTGCTCATTTTCATCTAATCTTTAAAAAAGTATTTTCAAGGACCATGTTGTGCAGAGGAGGAAAGACGTTTCAGGACGTTAGTGACGTCCCGACAGCCCCCTGGTGACAGTCTTGCTCATTTTCTAACAAAGCCGTAGTGAGCCTGCTCTGGAACACGGCCGGCCACCGCGAGGTGTCCTCCTGACGGGGCCTCACCGAGCACCTCAGTGGCCGCCTCAGTGACCGTTGCCGGGCAGGGACCTGCCCTGTAGTGCTCTCTTCTAGTTAGATCTGCTGCGGTGGCGAGACTCCCTGGTCGCAGTGGCTTGGAAGCACTCGCAGGTGACCGGGAAGGAGCCTCTGGTGATCGTAGAACCTGCTTTCTTGTGAGGACTGTGTGTAATACGTATATGAAAGTGTGTGGGCGGCGTTTGGACGAGGTGACGTACCAGTAGCTTTTTAAAATCTTTTTAAGCATAGATCCCCTTGTTCATGTCCACACGCAGACAGCTGAGAATTTCCAGAGGTAGGACAGAGACCGCTTTGAGGCAGCAAAGATTTCTCTCTGCTGTTAGAGGTACATGCAGACTTCTGAGTGTGCTGATCCTTTGCCCTACCTCTTACACTTTCATTTGAAATTGTTCTGCAATGTACTTTGTACATGTATTAATAATCAAAATGTTGCATTTAATGTATTTCTGTGAACTCTGAGCTTGGTTAGTAAATATTAATATTTTGGGACTAGGACATGTAGAAAGTATATAAAAACAGAAAAGGGACTGACCTACAACATTGCTTAGAAAACCGCTTTAACTTATGGGCCAAGTTTTCAGTGTGTTGCCTTCCTGCAAGAGCTTTTCCAGTGAAGGAAAAGAAACGGGTTCAGAGAGGAGGTGTGAAGCTTTGATTTGCTGCGTGAAAATGGTGGCGACAAAGCCACAACAGGCCCTGTAGGGAATCACAGATCAAGACTTTGTTTTTAAAAAAAATCATTAAAATATTTAATTTTATTAACAGAATATTTACATTTCTTTGAGACCTATGTAACCATAAGTGAATGTTCCAAGTTTAAAAAGCATTAAGCAGTAACTACACACAAGATGAAAACTGTGTAGACTATACAGTACTCTATGTACAATTTTTACAAAGTAACACTTTTTTAAATAATATAACTGGACACAAAAATATACACTTTAGAGAAATTCACATCGGTAATTGTATAAAGCTCTCCTCTAGGGCCCTGAAAACCTAGGACAGACACCAGCTCTGTAAGGGAAGTGTTACTGTGACGGTCCCGAAAGGCCACTATGTTTGTCTATCTGCACGTAGGCAGCACACGGACGGCGTGTGCTGTTTAGATGCGGTCTCGAGTGCTGAGGTCCCCGTGAGCACATGAACACGAAGAACAGTGGTGCAAGTCACTGGGGGGCAGCTTCGAGCCAACATCGAGATGGACAGGCTCTAAACACCCCAACTCAGTGAAATTCTACATGACTCGTGTTTTCTTAAAAACCAGTAGTGAGTACTGTTCAAAATAAAATTACTGCAAACAAGTTTGAAACATGATTCAGATTTAGTACAGTTTTCTTGAGTTGTTCTTTTAATGCAAACAATTTACCATTTCTTTAGTGTATCTGCATTAAGGCTTTGAATTATTTGACCCAAGATTTTACAACGATGAGATCCAACTCCAGGCTGTACAAGGTTAAAAACAACAGGCCCGTGGCCGCACTTCCCACTCTGTCTGCTGCGAGTCGGCACGTAGTTAAAGCTCAACACCTGCAGGAAACGGTAGCAGAGACGTTGCTAGTATATAAGAAGTTACACATAGAGTTTTTAATTAAAGGGTGTATATAATAAAACAAACAGTTTAGTGGCAAGAAATTGGTTCTAATAAACAAAAGGTTCCTTTTCAAAAAAATTGTAACATCTTTGGAAAACTGTCCGGTTCGTCCTGGAGTCCCCACAGAGCCCATGCAGACGCGTTGGTTAAGACACCCTGACAGTCCGTCGTGGATGGGAGTGGAATGTCCGCTGGGGCCACGGGTGCGAGCTCAGCCCCGGCGCAGGGGGAGAGCCGCCCCGGCGGCGGCGTCACACGTTTGTGTCCTGGAGCAAGGGTTCTTTGGCCTCTCCTGGCGCCTGCGTGCCGTGAGGGTGGCTGTGCCCGCCACAGTGCTTCCTCCAGCCTCCCGGGCGCAGGCTCAGGTTGGTGTGTTCCGGGATGAACAAGGCCACCAGCAGAGCCAGCAGGACTGAGCAGGCTCCGAAGAGGAACGGGGGGCCGGGGATGATGGAGTTCTAGGGGAGACAGGAAGGCGTGATTGGCACTTTTGCGAGAACATCTTTGCTCATGAGATTGCTTTTCTTTTGGTGATATCCCATTGCTGTGAATTATAAACCATAATTACTTAATTATGGCATTAAAGCCATAGCTAGAAAAGCATTCCCTTTGCAGGAGTAAAGGGGTACTATCGTAGTCTCAATAGAGAATTCTGGGGGTAACAGCTGACCCAAGAAAACAGCCAAATATCCCGTGCAAAAGTATCGTCACCGGCAGCATAAAGCCTGAGCGAGTTCTAGGAGCCTCCACTTAATGTGCTCAAGAGGAAAGTGGGACGGAGAAGAGTGGAGCCAAGCGGCACACGGGTGTGAACGGGAGTGCGGAGCCGGCACCCACAGGCCAGGCTGGGCCGGAAGAGGAACGGACAGACCTCTGTTTCATCAGAACCTGCACAGCTGGTTCCCCCACGGACTGCCCGGACGCGCCCCGCACTCGCTTAAAACCCGTCCTGCAGCTGCTCAGGAGGCCGGCCTGCAGCTGCGTCCAGCCAACAGGGAAACAGTGCCTGCCGCCGGCGGGCGGTTTTCAGTCGTGGTGAGGGAAGTCTCGCAGCACCCACCTGCCCCCTCCACGCACGGAAGGCCTCCGACAGCCGGCTGCGGGCCGTGCCCCGGCACCACACAGCCGGGACGCTGAAACTGCCCTCGTGCCCAAGGGGACGAGGATGCACCGCTGGTTGGGCTCTGGTTTTCGAGGGCACCGGTCCATCTAAAATAATGAGAATGGCGCACCGCGGCTTCCCCGAGCGGCCAGGTGCACGCGCTCTGCACCGCGCGACGGCGACCCACCTGCTCGAAGTGGTGCTGCGGGCTGGTGTTGGTGCCCACGTCCGCCCCCGTCATCGGCAGCTCTTTCAGCTCCACGTGGAAGATGTAGAAGATGAAGCCGTACAGAGCTGGGCCCAGGCCGTTGCAGAGCCCCCGGATTCCCGTTATCATTCCCTGGACGACACCTGAGTTGTTGGGGGAGAGGACCACTCAGGACACCGCGGCTTGTCCTGCCCTGGAGGCCGCCCTGACAGCCGAAAACCAAAGCTCTCATCACACGCCAGCAAGGGGCAGCGGACTGTGACAGCCGCTCCGTTAAGTGGAGCGGCTCAGGTGGGGCAGACGGAGCTGGGCCCCGTGTGCCGCAGGCGCGGGTGGGCAGGTGCTCTGGGCGCCCCCGTGCGAGTTCCCTGGCCGAAGGTGGGCTGGGAGCTCCCGGGACGGGCGCAGCCGGCCCCCTGCAGCCAGATGCAGAGCGCTCCCCGCTCGCCTCGGGCGCGCGCTCACATCAGGAAGGCAGCTCAGCTCGCCCGCCTTCCTCTTTCATCAACCCTGTGGCTGCTGGCAGTCTTTCAGAACACCGCTCTTTTATGACTGGACTTTTTTTCAAAGAGTTGTTACCATTTCAAGAATTGGACATTCCCACCACAAAGCCTAAGGCGACAGAAATGTGTGTGCCAGCTGTGTTCAGATCACTGAGCCCATGAGGTGTGCACGAGGGCTCAGCGTGGCCCCAGGTGCCCGGTGCATCAGAGCGCCCCTAGGTGATCGGCGAGCGTGGCGTGGACCCCCAGAGGCACAAGCTGTCTGCGCCCAAGGAGGGGCCGGGACCGCGGTGTTCTGTGCGCCCCACGGACTCACCTTGCTGGTCGGCGTCAGCGGTCCGCGAGACCAGGGCACTGACGGCCGGGAAGGTGATGCTGGACATGGCGGCCACGGCCCCTGCGGCCCACATCATCCTGTGGGCAGAGCAGCGAAGCCCGGGTGTCAGCCCCCAGCGGCCCCAGGTGAGCTCCGGGGCCCGGGGAGCCGTGCCAGTGGGTCCTCGGAGGGTGGCCCCCCATACTCGGAGGGTAACGTGTAGCACGGATGAACACCATTAAATGCTCCTAAATATGCGAAGGCAGTAACTCCCGCAATGTGCCCACTGTCTTCTGATGCAGGTGGAGATACCACCGATTGGATCAAATCTTGGGATGCCAAGCTTTAAACATCAGTGTGTCTGGTGTTTAAAACAATGTCTTAGATAAACCATGAGCAACCCCTCCTGAAAGCTGGACCGGAACCCGGAGTGTCCGTCAGAACACGCCGAGTCCGGACGGAGGGCGTGCGCAGGTGTGTGGGACGTTGGCGCACAGCGGGTCCCTCCTGCAGGCACCTCCCGCCCGCCCTCGGGGAGCCAGGCTGGCAGGGGCGGCCCGGCCTCCGCAGGAGATTCCCGCCCCACCGCCCACCGCATGTGCTGGCAGACTGCGACGCTGCCGTGGGTAACGACCCTTCCAGCCAGAAAAACAGAAAAGGCAAAAGCGCGCTAACTTTTGGGGCCCTGCTGCTACGGGACTGGGCGCTGTCTTCTGATGGCAGATCGATGGAGACATTGAACACTCACTCGGGATTCAAGGGCTCAGCAGTCTCCTTCAAAAACCCAGCCCGTAACTGAGCTATAAAATGCCACCTGTCAGGCCATTCTAGAATATTTGAGCGCACAGGGGAGAGGTTTGTATTACACAGTTTGAGAGAAAAAAGCATAGTAAAGGCTGAAGTCTAAGCCTTAGCTGAAAAGCAACTACAGAAACTGTCAATTATACCTCAAAGCGGGGAAAAAAAATGACAAAAGAGGCAAACACCAAAATGTTCAAGAAAATTAAAATAAGCACACCTACCAGGGCTCTGAACCGAAGCCGTACCACGCCAGCTGCAGTATCTGAAACCCCAGGCCCAGTAGGATGGTGTTCTTGTTTCCAATGGACCTCATAAGTAAACTCAAGACGATGGTCTGGGAGAAAGACCAAAATGGTGCATCAGAACACAGCAACTTGTTAAAAGAAAAGCTATTTGGTGATTTCTTTCAACCTGTAATAAAAAGACCATTATGTTTTCCTACATCTTGGCTTTTTAGCCAAAACGAGTGTGTCGGAGACCACGGCTCCAGGTCACGGAAGCAGGGGCGACGCGACCCCGGAGGAACACAGGAAGCGGAAAGAGGGAGTTGATTCGAGTTCCTGCCATTTCTGCTGAGGCCGAGCGCCACCCAGACTGGCAGGTACAACCGGAGGCCCGAGGGTTCCCAGGTGACTCGGATGGCCCTGTCACGTAACAGGCGACCGGTCCCCGCTGCTCTCTGACTGCAGAAAACCTGCCCAGTCCAGCGGCCCGTGCGTGCTGCACCCTAGTCCGTCTGCTGCCGGCCCCACGAGGCTCTGCAAACAGCTACTGGCCCTGAGAAGGGGGATGTGGGGGGCCCGGCGTACAGCCCGACCGGCGTACAGCCGGACCACAGCCTTTGGGAACACCGGCCCCGCCCCCACAGGCCGCCCCCCTCCGCCGCCCTTGCTCTCACCATGCGCTGAGTGCGGGGTCCTGCATGGGGCGGGGGGGGCCTCAGTCAAGGCACCGCGGGCTGGCGGGCCTTCCTGCTCCCCATTTTCTTTCACAGCTGACACCCTCTGCAGTGGCCCGGGGACCCTGGGGAGCAGCTCTGGTGGGTCTAGTTAAGGAATGACACATACCACATACGAGTTCCTCAAGGAAGAAATGCAAATAATTCAGGAAATCAGTCTGATGGCTGGCCGACACTCTAAACTCACAATGATCAGGTCTGAAATTCTTTCAACTGAGACAGTCATTGAAGAGCTTAACCAGATTTAATCAAATAAGCCAGTACAAAGCAAGGGGTTCTTCAACAATTAGGACTCGTATCTTGCTCGTCTGAGACTGAGTTCCAAAAGACGTGGGTCTCTGCTGCGGCAGGTCCCCGACCGTGGCCTCGAACGGCAGTCGTGCACAGCAGCAGCCGGCGGGGGGGGACGACCTGCGTGTGCGGTGGCCCATGATGGGGGACCCTGGCCTCGCCCTGCTTCCTTTCAGGAAGGGGACAGGCCTGCTTTCCGATCTGTCGCCCCAGCCAGCACTGAATACCAGTTCTTAAGTGTTTATGGAAAGCTCGTGCGATGTCGAATGTCACAATATCCTCAATGATGGAACAGATTATAACAGTACAATACAGAAGAATAATTGTCCCTTAATCTAGTATAACTCATTTGGAGGACATTAAATGATGTATAACTTAACCAAGATGACACAGCAAATTAATTGTTAACTGACATCAGCTTTGGTCACTCAAATACCTGCCACAGCCCTGCCATGTCCCTCAGTGTTCTAGGTCAGAGGGCGGTGACCTCTGTGGGCCCATGACCAGTCCAAGTACGTCAGCAAAAGGATTCCCTCCTGGTGGAGGAAAGACGGGTATCAGCGCACTTGAACAGGTAATTCCAGGCTGAGGCTGCTCAGCTCCAGGTGGGCAGGGCAGGGAGGCCCTTCCGAGGCTAGGAGGCAACGCTGAGGCGGCAGCCCGAGGGGGGGCAGGGGGGGTGGAGAAGAGCCCGGGAGAAGGAGGGGGGGCCAGCACCTAGGGCCTGGACTGGTGTGCATGCACCACGGAGGTTGGAGGGAGGGGAGGGAGGTCACATGTAGGTTTTATTTTGGTTGCAAAGCAAAGTGAGTTTGTTTAAAATTCTACTTTATAAGAACAACTCCGCAGAATGCTGCCCGAGCTGCAGTGCGCAGGTGTGACTGCAAACGGGCAGAGGCCACAGTGCAGGCGGCCAGGGCTGCTGCCGCCAGTGTCTGCTGAGCAGGGGACAGGAGCCACCAGCTGAGGGGCTGATGGTGGGGCGGTGAGAGGGAGCAATGCACTGAAGGGACACTGACAGCCAAGTGACTGGCGAGGCCCCTGAGGGAGCCACGTGCACCGCAGGGAGCGGGGCAGCCTACAAGTTCAGGGCCCAGCGGCAGGCGTCCCAGGCGTGCTGGAAAGGGGCAGGGCCTGGTGGGCTCACGGAGCCTGCACGGTGCAGCGGAGCATACAGGCCCCAGAGGGGACGGCCCCCACTCGGCTCCCAGGGGAAGGTGCACTGTCCAGTGTCGCCACATTTTCATGTACACCTCCCGAATTCTGACGTGCTTACTGCTACTTTTTGAAGTTTCTAAAACATTACACAAAAGTCCCAGGGAGCTGTCAGTTTGCCCCTGCTGGCTGCTGGCACAGTGTCGGGGCTGAGGGACCAAACGGACACGGTGCTGACCTCGGTCCACTGAGGCCCTCCCAGCATCTGTGACAGTGTGTTCCATGGCCAAGTCAACACGGGGACTCGGGGGGGGGGAGGGGCACTCAGGACAGAGGGAGAGGCATGAGGCCCACACCACAGTGACAGGCTGGGTGGCAGCTCCAGCTGCTGGATAGGACAGGGCAGGAAGGACATGGCCTTTCCCAGGCTCAAGGTCAACAGCACAGTCACTCTCAACTGTGTCCTCACACAAACAAGAACTCTAGACGACCTGCCTTCGGGCTCCGTATTAAGTGTTCTCAACGTTCCAGTAGAACACACGACACAAAGATGCCAGAGTCAATACGAGCAGACTGCATGCTCCTACTCACCTGCTTTTGAACACCCACTAATTTTCTCTCTTCTAAAATGGACTTTTACATCTCAAATACTCATTCCCATCTGGCCCCATAGTCCCTGGGCTGTGCTTCTGCCCCAAACGCTCCGGGTGGCGGATGTGGCCGCTCCCTCCCCACCCCTGAGGCCTGCGGCCAGGGTTTCCCCTGCAGGACACGGCTGCTCTCCAGGCCCTGAGCTCTCAAGGACTGTGGTCCACCTGAGCCCCGTGGGCCAGGTGCCAGCCACCTGCTGAGCACCTGCAGCCCGCACCCCGCCCCCCAAGTCTGGTGTTACTGCCTGAACACTGTCCCTTCAGACTGAAACGGAGCCTCTGTGCCCGCAGCTCCCGGTCCCCCCACTGTTGCAGTGCCTGTCGGCCCGTCCTTTCATCCGGAACCAACGGCAGCAAACCTACTCTCAGCAACGTCTGAAAAGATAACATCTTGACCAGCTTGGTTCTATCTCAGGGTTCAAGGTCAGCTCAACACAAGCGGCTGTTCTCACTGCGAGCGTCTTTTCCTCGTGTGACGCGGGCAACCAGGCAGTGCCCGTCCGGGCGGCCCAGGTACACCCGCAGTCAGACACCGCACCAGGGCTCCACGCCCTGCGTGCGCACGGGTGCGAGCGCGGAGGCGGCACGCTACGGAATTCAAAGTTTATCACCAAACCTACCGAAAATTCACAGATGACGGGATCTGCAGAGGGAGCCCCGCTGAGAGGTGGAGAAACCTGCCCAGGACCCATTAAACTCCCGTGAAAGGACTCGCCCTTCCACTGCCTCACAGGAAGCAGGACCCTGCAGGCTGGAGTGCGGGGGGCGGGGGGGGGATGATTGGCAGAGGCAAAGCCACGTGGCCGGGAGTGGGTGGGGCGGCTGCACAGGAAGAAGTCCCGGTCCTGGACCAGGGCCCACTGCGGCAGAGATGGCCGGGCAGTGGCAGGCTGGGAAGCAGTGTCTCCTAAGGAAACCCACGTTCTTCCTCACACAGCCACCGGCCGCCCTCGGGCTCTCCCAGCAAACACTGCCCCGCGGTCCTCTGCTGGAAGCCCTCCCCCGGCTTCCTGGTCCGCCCGGGAGTCGGAGCCGCCCTGCGGGGCCCCGCCCTGCCCCCCTCACCTCGCACATTCCCGGAGCATCCCTCTCGGGGCTCCGGTGTCCGAGCCCCACCCCCGGCCCAGGGCCAGCCTGGCGCAGTCTCCCCAGGGAGCTTCATTTCCATTCCAGGGCTCCCTCCTCCGAGCACCGGGTCCAGTCACCATGGTTACCGCGTATCAGGAACGCCTTCCCAGCCCTCCCAGAGGCTCTACACCCTGTGGCTTTTTATGTCCCCTGGACCTTTTCTTTACAGTTCTCACTATACCGGATATGTTTAAATTGACCTACTTAATAATCACCTTATTCAACAAAAAATGTAAACTCTAGCACAGCAGGGACGTGGTTAAGTTCATAGCCATCCCCCCCCCCCCAGCAGCTGCCACGTGGTAGGCAGTCAGTAAGTATTTGAATGAATGAGTCAAAAGAAGAACCGATATAAAATGCCTCACTTTACACAGGTTATACCCTGGTGTAACTCAACAAACTGTCTTTCTGATTTATGCGTCATACGGTGATTGACACGTCTGTCCCCCAAATCTGATCAATGTCAGCTACCTGTCCAAGTTAAGTTTCTGAACCCGTGACCCACAGATCCCGACAGGGGTGACTCCGCCAAGACCCCACCCGTGAGGGCCGCTGAGGCCCGTCTGGACGGCGGCCAGGCCCAGCCCGCAGTGACGCGTCCCCCCGCCCACCGAAGGCACTCACCTGTGCAATGATGGACAGAATGCCGAGAACTGCTATAAATGCAGCCACGCTCTCCGGGGAGAATTTCATTATCTAGAAGGTTTCCAGAAAAACTTACATTAATAAAGAAGCACAGCAAATACCATAACCCCCCCACCCCCCAACTCATTTATAACTGAAGAATTCTTCAGCATACGACCTTGGCCGTGAAGTGAGTGCCATGGAGGAAGAGACAACTGAATGCCCCCCGCCCGGCGGCTGCTGCCCTCCCGTGCGCCCTGAGCCACAGAGCCCTCTCAGAGGGGTCAGAGGGCCCGCCACCCGCGCGAGCAGCAGACAGACAGACAGACTCCGACTCGCTGGCAGGGACAGCGGATCGCTCCCACCCGGGATCGGCAGCCACAGCGGCCGGCGGCCGGCAGCAGATGCCAGCGAGCTGCAGTGTGCGGACGGCCTTCGCTCCGGAAGGCCCTGCTGCCGCGGCTCCCTCGGGTGAGTGTTTCCGTCGCCCCGAGAGCGCGGGCAGGGCTCACCTGTCGGAGGTACAGGAAGAAGCTGGAGTACTGGCCGGCCTCCGGGAGGTAGGAGAGGAACACCGTGATGCAGATGAGCAGCACGACCGAGTCCTGGCCCACCTTCTTCAGGGACTAGACGGGGAGAGGGCTGAGTCAGCGTTCCGCCGGAGCGCGGGGCTGCGCAGACCCCCTTGGCGGCGTCCAGAGACCCTGGGTGCCTCTCCCGTGTTTGCTCATCCTCCCCAAACAAGGCTCAAAACTGTTTCAGAATCAACTTCTCTCCCCAAAGAAACGCCCACAAGAAAACATTCCCGCCGCCGCACTGAACCACGCGGACCCTTCCTGCCACGGCGGAGACCCCGTGGACGTACCGCGAAGGGGTCAGCCTGCTCCCAGGAGATGGGCGCCCCCCAGGACGCCGGCCGCATCTTCTCGGGCAGCGACTCGGGCACAGCAACGAGGATGAAGCAGATGTCCAGCAGGGCGATGGCCGTGGCCAGGACCACCACCAGGCTGTCCCCGTACACCCGCCCCAGGTACGCGCCGATGGCGGGGCTGATCACCAAGCTGGCAGCAAATGTGGCCGAAACCTGGAACAAGCCAAGGTCAAAGGCAAGACGCCTCAGGACGCTGTGACCCCCGTGCTCCTACCTGAGCTGTGCCTTAAACGCTCTTCCTCTGCGGGAAGGGGAATGGATCCGATTCTTAACTGAAGACTGCATAGCGGCCTCCAAGACAGAGGCTCTGAACCTCCTTGGGTCTGTTTGCTCAAATAAATCCTACTGACAGAGGCGTCGGTAAAACAGATTAAAAACCAAACAGAAAACTGGCCAGGTCGAGGAAGGAAGTCGTTTCTTAGTTTCAGTATTCTGCTCAAAGGGACTGCAGTAATGAGAAAATACTCTGCTGTGACCTCGGAGCTGCCACGGGTGACTGGCCAGCCCTCACTGACGTGGCTCTGCACTGAGACCAGCGTCTAGCTCAGCCCGAAGGGAGGACTGTGTCGTGAGCGCCTGCAGTGGGGGAGGCGGGCCCTGGCACCGTGGGAGCCGGCAGTCAGCCCCGGGGGCGGGGGCGGGGGCAGGGCCCGAGCGGGCGGGGCGGGTGCACAGACCTGTCCGTAGGCCATGCTCCGCTCGTGCTCCTGCGTTATGTCTGCTACGTAGGCGAACACCACGGAGAAGGTCACGGCGAACACGCCGGAGACGGAGATGACGGCGAAGTACCACCTGGAGGGAAGACAAGGGCCCAGAGCCGGTGAGAACGGCCGCTCCGCTGGGCGCCTCTGCTGCTCTAGGACCATCGGCCTCAGCTGCCCTGCACACGCCGGGCTGCACGGCCCCCGGCGGCCACCCGGCTACTGCGCAGGAACACTTACAACTCGGTTCCGTGCTCGGGTCACCCTTGCACCACACTGCTGAATTGTTAAGTGGCTCTGTGGTGTCGACCTGACACAGCCACCAAGTGCGCTGGCCGCAGCCCCACCCTGACCCTCCCCCGCACTGTCACAGGACGACAGATTCCGCGGGTCACACTGAGCACCAGTTACCCTCTGGTTACCTTGAGCCTACTTATAGAAACCAGATGTTATTTCCATAAATTATCTTGGGCTTTTTATACGTTGGCAAAACAAGTAACTCAGTGTTCACGGAGAACCAACCTGCACAGCACAGTTTGCAAATAAACTCAGGAATGAATAGCGAACAAAAGATATTTTAAAAAGCTCTGATTCCAAAATATGTGGCTGCAAATAGAAGTTTCTAGTATAATGCTGATGTTTAGATTTTAAAATAACATGTGATCATTTGAGCTTTCAAAATCATTCCACCAGGACTCCATTGCTTACTGATTTTTCCAACACAATGCCCCCCACAGCAAGTCCTCGCCCACCCCCAGACCCACTGGGCAGGGGCTCGGGTCTGCAGGGCTGAGGAGGCTTCTGCCCACACAGGCCCTCGGTTTCTCTGGACACACCCTGGAAGCAGAGCCCTCCTAAGATGTGGAATTAACTGATAACACCCAGTGGAGTCCAACATCAGTCAAGGAATTAACATATTTACAACTAAACTGGGCTGATCCCAGGGAGAAATCACTCCATCCCCTCCCCCTCAGCAGACATCCTGACCTCCCCAGGGGCAGGGAGCCCCTCTCGCCCAGCCTCAGGCAACCTGGCACAGCACAGGTCTGAGGCCAGACGCCAGCGGAGATCGGGGGCTGGACAGGAAGGCAGCAGGCCCTCTCAGCCAGGCCGGCCTGCAGTGTGAGCTGGAGCTCCGGCAGCCACCCTGCCCCGGACAGCGAGGGGACAGCAGGTGACAGCAAGGCAGAGAGGAGCTCTGGGTCCCGAAGTGCCACATCAGCTCTGGACCCACCGAGTCCCGGCCTCTCTCGCGTGGACGGGAAAAGGAGGGCTCCTTGACTTTGAGCAGAAGGCTTTACTGACCTATAATAATATCTACTCCTAATTAATACAGACAATGATGGTAAACTGTGTTTCTAACATTCTATGTAACGACGAGAAGAAGCTGGCAGCCCAGTGCAGTCCCTAAAACGTTCTGACTCTGGGCTCTGAAGTCCCACGCAGGCTCGCCAAGCGTCCCCCGCACAGCGTCCCCCCGCACCGCAGCGGTGGGGTCGAGAGCCCTGGGGCGCTGCCACCCAGCCCCTCCACCTCCGAGGGCCCTGCTACCTGCGACCAGGACAAAGTGAAAGAACACAACCAAAACCTGCACAGAGGGGGCGGCCCCGAGCGCGCTGGGCGCTCAGAGGGCGGCGGGCGGCGCAGCCCCGGGGCCGGCGCGCACTCACCACGGGCTGATCCGCATCAGGGGGATGGGGGCGCACGTGAAGAACACAGTTAGCAGCAGGAAGGACTTGCGGCCCCAGACGTCGGAGAGAGCACCAATAAGCGGGGCGCTGAGGAATGACAACAAACCCTAAAAAGGTAAACGGAGAAAAATGTACCCTGTGTCCACAGATGGGCCCAAGGTCAACCGTTCTGCCGAGAGCAGAACCTTAAACAAGTTCACCTCTACAGTGAGAACGCCGTCCAGCTTCGGGCGGACCGCGCGTTTCCCGCCCGCACGCGCTGTGCGCGACCCCGGCCCCGCCTGTCTAGAACCGTCCGCGCGCACGCGGGGCTGGCCGCGCACGGAACACGGAGCGCGCCCAGGCCGCGCAGCCGCGGTGACGCCACCAGCAACTCGAGAGACAGTGTCCTGTTCACTGTCTGTTGTCAGAGTCCCGGCCTATTATTATTAATGTATTGATGAAATCTGTTAGTCAAATGAAGAGTAAAGAACATTCAGAATAATCAGGACTTTTCCATACTGATCAAGTTTTATAGTTCTATGTTTTTAAAATGGTTCTTTTCAACTTACATTTTTCCAGAAGGATAAAGTTCAATAATTACAAAAATGTTATGCTAATGAAACCAATATACAGTAGACAATTTGTAAGCTAGATCAGTATAAATAAGCAAAAATTATACATTATCTGTTTCCAGAGAAACCAAAAATAACATTTCGGTGTGTTTCTTTAAAAAAATTTTTTAATTGATTATGCTATTCCAGTTGTCCCAATTTTCTCCCCTTTACCCCCTCTACCTGGTACCCCCATTCCCTCGAGCAATCCCCACCCCGGCTTTAGTTCATGTCCACGGGTCGTACATGTAAGTTCTTTGGCCTCTCCATTTCCTACACTGTTCTTACCCTCCCCCCGTCCATTTTGTTCCTACCAGTTTGTGCTGTTTATTCCCTGTACCTTCCCCCCATTCCCCCTCCTCCCCCTCCCTGCAGATAACCCTCCGTGTGATCTCCGTTTCTGTGATTCTGTTCCTGTTCTGGTTGTTTGCTTAGTTTGTTATTCGGATTCAGTTATTGACAGCTGTGAATTTGTTGCCATTTTAATGTTCAGTTTTGATCTTCTTTTTCTTCGATAGTTCCCTTTAGCATTTCATGTAATAATGGCTTGGTGAAGATGAACTCCCTTGTCTGGGAAGCATTTTACCTGCCCTTCGAGTCTGAATGATAGCTCTGCTGCATAGAGTCGTCTGTACCGTAGGTCCCTGCTCTTCATGACTCTGAACACTTATTTCCACTCCCTTCTTGCCCGCAAAGCTGCTTTTGAGAAATCAGCTGACAGTCTTGTGGGAACTCCCCTGTAGGTAACTAACTGTTTCTCTTGCTGCTTTTAAGGTTTTCTCTTTAACCTTTGGTATTTTAATTCTCATGGGCCTTGGCGTGGGCCTCTTTGAGACGGCCTTGTTTGGGACTCTCTGGGCTTCCTGGACTTGTGTGTCTATTTCCTTCATCAGATTAGGGAAGTTTTCTTTGATTATTTTTTCAAATAAGTTCTCAATTTCTTGCTCTTCCTCTTCCCCTTCTGGCACCCCTGTGATTTGGATGTAGTTATGTCTGAAGAAGTCACAGGTGCTCCTAAGCCTGTCCTTGGTTGTTTAAATTCTTTTTTTTCTTCCTGCTGTTCTGATTGAATGCTTTTTCCTTGTGTTCCAAACCACTGATTTGAGTATTGAATTCATCCCTCCACTGCTGGTCCCCTGTGGATTTTTCTTGGTTTCACTGAACACAGCCTTCATTGCTGCCTGGGCCTTTCCGATGCTGCTGACGTGCCCAGTGAGTTCCTGGAGCGTCCTGACCACCAGTGTCTTCTCTGTGCATCTGGTAGGTCGCTTACCTCCATTCCATTTCGTTCTTTTTCTGGGTCTTGCTCTATTCTTTCATTCGGGCCGCATCTGTCTTCTCGTTCTGACGGCCTCCACGTGTTTGTTCCCGTGTCCCAGGCAGAGCCGCTGACAGCGAGTTTCAGCGCGCCTGTGCAGTGGTGTGGGGCAGAGCCTCATGCCGTCATCGGAGCGGGCCCACCCCGCCACCGCTCTGTCGCTCTGCTGGGGGAGGGCTCTGGGAGGGACGGTGCTGTGGCCCGGCCTCTGGAGTGTTGCCACGGTGCTGAGCCCCGGAGCCGGCGAGTCTGCAGACCCTGCGTCCGCCTGCTGTGGGCCCTTGAAGAGGAGTCTCTTGAGAATTCTGCCGTTTCTTCCACTGCCCCAGATGCACTGGTTTTACAGCCGGAGCCAGAGGGGCTTATCTTCCTGGTGCTGACCCCCTGGGCCGGCTGATCTGGACCGGGGATCAAGGTTTCCCTCTGGATTTTTTACCCACGCCTGGAGTGGGGACCGCCCTCTCCCTGTCGCCGCCCCTCCTGCCCGTCTGGGTGAGTGCGGCTTCTTTAAATCCTTGGTTGTCGGACTTCCACACAGCCCGGTGTCCTGGCCGTTCTGGGTCATGTCTGTTTTGTACTCTAGTTGTACCTTTTGCTGCAGTTGTGTGTGGAGGAGAGGCGGGGGTACCTACGCCTCCAACTGGACCTTATAGTCTTCCTGGCAGTTTACAAAAGCGTTCGGATCTCTAGAATGAAAACGCTAACACGTAAAACACGAGGGAAATCTGAATGATGTGACTCACCATTACACACTTGGCTATACTGAGTCAAATCACACTTAAAACCCAGTCAGTTAAAAGACTTAAGTATTCCCCAAGAATGAACTAAATCCATGTAATGCCAGGATATTACATGTGTGTGGGTGTGTATACACACGTGTGTGGGTGTGTGCGTGCCACTGCTCCTACCTTTACTCCTTGAATGAGGCCGTTCATCAGAAATGTGTGTTTAGGGAAGGTTTCATGTAAGACCTAGAGGATAAAAACAAAATAAAAATACGCTACGTTTTAGTTTCAGTACAACGTCTATACTTACACTTCAAAACCCACCTTTGTGACACATACAACCTAGTTTCAGTTCACAGGCATTTCCAGCCGTGCGGACACTGTGCACGCGGCAGACGCCCACACCAGCACCACGCACGGGCGTTTCCCAGGTCCCCAGGCGCCGCCTCGGGCACTTTACCTCCTCAGGACGCCCGGCGGGAAAGTCGACACACACACCTGTCAAATGCCCGGGGTTCCACGGGAAGTGGCAAAACTGAGAGCGAGCACAGGAGGTCGGGTCTGCAGGCCACGCTTGCTCACCCTACGCTATGCTCTCCACGCCCCACGGGTGACCGACCCACTGAGGGGACGCCTTCGAGAGCAGGCGCACGTCGCTGTCCCAGACAGCAGACTGGGGAGGTCACGGGGAACTACTGTGTTAACTGCCATAAAGTGGATCTGGACAGAGTCCATAAAGCAAGGGGAAAATCCCCACCTACGAAAACGTCTCACGAGTTCTTTTGCCCTCCCACGGCCTGCTGTCAGACCACCGGGCGCCAGTCCGGCCCCTGGGGAGCGGGCGGGCCCCGGGGGGCCGCTGGAGAGAAGGGAACTGGCAGCACAAGGAGGGGCAGCTGCAACCCTAAAACCCCACCCCCCGCCCAAGATGGCACCGCCGCTTCCCAGACGAGGCAGCTCCGCCCCAGCCCGACCTCGGGCGTCTCCCAGGGAGGGACGGGGGTGGCACCTCGGGGACCGGAGGGCAGGGCTCCTGCTCAGGAGGGAAGTGGGCCGAGGGGTCTGGCGGGGAAACCTCACCGGGGCTGGAGCGCGCCCCTCCCCAGCCACTCGAGATTCCACATCGATCCCCACGTGCGCAGACACAAGGACCATCGGAGGTGAAGCCCCAGGAGCTTGAGAAAAACGCCGAGGGTGAAGGGAACGACGGTTCCCTGACTGAAGCCCTGTCTGGGGAGTGACCGTGCAGGAGGCCGGGAAGCTGCCCCGGGGACGCGCGGCCGGGACCAGGGCGGCCGGGACTGCCCACCACGGCCCGGTGCTGCTGGGCCCGGAGGGCGGCCCGGGAGGGGAGCCGTCCCCGCGTGTTCCGGAGCCCGGGACCCACCGGCACCGCTGTCTTCACTGGTGCGCCGTTCACTCAGACCCGGCGCCGCCGACCGGACACCGTGCGGTCCTGACCTCTCCAAGTGTCGCTCGGCATAAAACCCTTCTCTGCAGAAGACTGGGGTCCCCTCGTGGGCAGCCCTCGCCGCCCCCAGGGCAGCGCCCCCGCTCGGCCCGTGTGCCCCCGTGAGGCCGCAGCGCGCCAGCAGCTCTGTGGCCTCAAGACAAAGGCCACGGCAACCACACGAAGTAACAAACAGAAGCCAGCCTCACACTCACTTTGAAAACCCAGGCTGCCACAGATCCCAAACCCAAGACTCAGTGTGTGTCTTCAGATGGGTTGTCTGCTCAGTGAATGAATTCAGAAAACACCCTTGCGATTTCAAGTTCTGAGACTTAAACTGTGCAGCATTTGGGAGTGAAGGGTGGGGAGACACTTAGCACACGAACAAAGCGCACTGTATCTTCGTCCCCGTGCCCCCTTTTAAGCGAGCGCTGCGCTGGGACCCTGCAGCAGGCGCCGTCTGCCGCCGGCGCCAGCCGACGAGGGGCAGACGCAGAGGGTCTGGAGGCTGGCGGGCTCCGTCAGAGCCGGACCGACGAGCTGCCCCGGAGCCCGCCCCCACCCCCCAACATGCGGGCCGAAAACAAGACTGCCAACGTGCCCTGGCTGGTGTGGCCCGGGGACTGAGTGCCGGCCTGCGCACCAAAGGGTCGTTGGTTCGATCCCCAGTCAGGGCACAGGCCTGGGTTGTGGGCCAGGTCCCCAGTAGGGTGCGCAAGAGGCAACCACACATGGATGTTTCTCTCCCTCTCTTTCTCCCTCCCTTCCCCCCTCAAAATCTTAAAAAAAAAAAAGCCCACAACATCAGTCCCTCATTAGTCACGTAAAACTACATGTGTCAGTCTGACCTCAGCAAGATGGGCGGAAGGCCGAGGTGTTTTGAAAAACTCCCCAGGTACCCGTGACATTCACCTCTGGTTAAAACTCTAACTGCTGACAAAGCTCAGGTCCAGCTGCCAGTCAGCCGGAAGGCCCGCCCCGAGGCCCGCGGGGGAGGCCCAGCACCCGGCCCCGCCTCCTCTCTGCCACTCGCGCCCTGTTGTGTGTGCGCGCCCTGTTGTGTGTGCCGAGGTGTCTGCGCCCCCCCGCCCCGGCCTCTCCCCGTCACAAGGGAAAGCGCAGACCTGAGGGACAGCGGCTACCTGGGGACATGCAAAGAACGAGAAGACGAAATCCCTGGGCTTAACAGTCATTAAACCTTAGACTCGTTCTGAGAAGATGCCTGACTTAAAAAACATGATCAAGTAAAAATGGAAAAAGGTCAAGAGTTATGACTGGGATAACATTACGGGCAACTCTCCTAAGTAATCATAACTCATCACTGTGCCATTTAAAGCTTCAAGTGTAAAGGACAAGTGAGAATGAAGAGTAACTGTTTCAACAACCAGGGGCCGGGGGGAGGGTGGGGATCTTGCTAAACATCAAATAATTGGCAATCAGGTTCCAGCAATTATTCAAAGAAATGTAGTCACGCAGGCAAAAAAAATTTTTTTAATTAACTCCCCCCAAATTAGCACCTTTCATTTTCCTGATCAGAATTCAGTGCTTAAATTGTTTTAAATCCTTACCTGAGAGTATGTTTGTTGATTTTGGAGAGGGAGGGAGGGAGGGAGGGAGGGAGGGAGAAGTATCAAAGTCAGAAAGACACATTGACTGGCTGCCTCGTACCTGCCCTGACCAGGAATTGAACCTGCAACCTTTTTGATGCTATAACCAGCCAAGGCAGCCAGCCAGGGCTCAAGTCAGTATTTTGAAAAGTTTAAAAAAAAAGTTAAGAAAATCAAAGGTACTATCCATTTTTTAATTAACAACAATAATTAAGAATACACTCCCACTGCTGCAAAAAACTGAATAATCAAGCCTTTATATGTAAATAACTGTGTTCCTTCTTTGTTCTTAAAGAAGACAGTTTCCAAGCCCTGGCTGGCGTAGCTCAGTGGATTGAGTGAGGGCTGCAAACCAAAGCAACACAGGTTCGATTCCCAGTCAGGGCACATGCTTGGGTTGCAGGCCACAGCCCCCAGCAATTGCACATGGATGTTTCTCTCTCTCTCTTTCTCCCTCCCCTCTCTAAAAAATAAATAAATAAAATCTTAAAAAGATGACAGTTTCCGTTTGTTCCATTAGGGGAAAAAAACCGATACTAAAGTTGGACAAAAATTGGACATACCTAAAAGCAAGTTTAGACACCAAAAGCAAGTTTAAAAAATGGCCTCCGCACTTCAAGTCCTGATGGCCACTGGCGGGGACACCGCAGCAGCTTCCCTGACAGCCTGCTGCCTGCGTGGCCAGGGCTTTAACCTCTGCGGGGCTGGGGGCCAGGCTGCCCGCAACCCCAGGGCCTGAGCGGGGGCGGCCTGGCTCTCACCCCCAGGCCGCGGTTCAGACACTGGCTCAGCCGCTTCCTGCCCGTCGGGGGGCCGGGGAGTCGCCTCCCTCCCCGACCCTTCATGTGCTTGGTGCCCCTTCCTGTGCTCCCTGCGTCCTGAGTCTAACACCCCCCCCCCGCCCCCGAAGGTGCTTCTGAGGACTGGAAGCGACCGTGTGTTGAAGGGGGCAGGGCTGCACGGGCCCACGACCACATAAATGCCCACGGGCTGTTCGCTCCAGGGACAGAGCTCAAGCACTTCCAACCACAGGGTGCCGCCCCGCCGCCGGACTGGGACACAGCGCGACCTCGGCCCCCAGCCCGTGACCTCGGCCAACCGCCACACAATGAGGCTGCAGAGGTCACAGTGAGCCCGCATCACGGGAGGAGGTTCCGGACCAGTGAGGGCAGGACTCGGGCAAATTCATGTTTAAAGGTTCCCCTCGGAAATTACTAAACTAAAAAAAAAAGATCCATGGTAAAAGGCCACTTTCACTTATTTTGAAAACCCGTTCACGTGAAACTGGCGCCCCACTCCCAGGACACGAGCTGCGGAGAGAGCCCCAGTCCGAGCACCAGCCTCGGCCGTCGTAGGGACGCACTGTCCTCACCCAGGGCCGGTCCCGCCCGCGTGCGGCGGCGCGAGCCCTCCGCCCCGCGGCGCGCGCTTCCTCGCCGCCTGCTTCTGGCGGCGCCTGTGCCCACCCCCCTCCCCTGGGCACCGTGAGACACCCGCACGCGTGCGGGCACAGTGAGGGGGACGCAGCCTTGCGGCGCACACGCCAAGGAACACGGAACGGGACTTTCTCGGACTGCTTCAGTGTACTTACTCGACCATTCCATTTATTTAAAAAACTTTTCGAGAAAGCGTTTTTTGCATAACAACAAACGAGCTCAGGGAAATATAAGGGAGTATATTTCTTTGCAGTTCTGTTTTTTGGGATTTGGTGAACTGTCCGTGCACCCTCATCGCACCTTTTGAGGTCCAGATTTCTACCGACACTGCTCCCTCCCCCTCCTCCCCCCGGTCGCCACCTGCTGACAGGGGAGCGCACGCCTGCAGTCCCCATGGGTACAGTCGGCCAGGTGGCCTTCCCCGGGGCCCCCCACCTGGCCGTGTCCAGGGGAAGGCAGCCTAGGCCTCCGAAGAGACCAGGTCCCCTCCAGGTCCTTGGCTTCAAGCAAAGGAGATTTCTGTTTGGAAAGGGCGACTATGTGCACGACTCTCAGAATGATCCTGCTGGGTGACTCGGCTGCAGACCCCGTCTCCCCTGAGGGGTCACCCGAGGCAGGCCCCCCCCACCTGCACAGTGCCAGGGCCCAGGCCCTCCCGGGGAGTGAGGGCGAAGGAGGGGCCGCACGGGACGGCTGCGGCAGTGATGCACAGGACGGTGTGTGTGTGTGGGGGGGGGGTGCTGGCCGCCTCGGTGGGAAGGTCACCCACGGAGACCAGAGAGTCGTGTTCCTCACACCAGGCATCCTCCCCCGGAAACGGCGGGCAAAGGTCAAGCAGTCCCACGAAAAGTGAAGGCTTACTTACCACCAGCGTGGGCGCCGTCAGCAGGCCCCATGCAAAGAACTCCAGGAAGATGACGATGACCGCGTGGTACACGCTGGGAGAGCCGATCCCTTGAGGCTGGAAACAGAGAGCACCGCGGTCAGCCGCCGCGTGGGGACGCCGGGCCCAGGTCCCCGGGCCCGCAGGCCCCGCTTTCGGGGCTGTCTGCAGAGCGCCTCACGCCCTGCGCTCCGGCTGGTCTCTGAAGCCACTTCACCGATTCACACGTGAAAACTGCACGCGTTTCCGTCCGTCTAGACACAACCCCACAATTGCAGTCACAAAAGAATAGGAATCATGTGAAAAGGCAAACTTTAAAAAGTCATAAGGAAAAGTCATAAGGAAAACGTTTTTGATAACACAAATACAACTCTTTGGCTCTCAGCCTCTATAAACAACCTGGCACTACATATCAACAATCTAACGAGAAACCGGGCCTGCATCCAACTGCAGAGCTTCTGCACAACGAAAGCAGCCATCTATCTACACAACACGAGGACAACCCACCGGTGACATATGTCCAACACGGGGCTAACACCCAGAACACGTAAGGAAGGCCCTGGCACAAGGGAACACACGCGGAAGACAGGACGATCGGTGAGAAGGTGGGCGGAGGACCCCAACAGCCACTTCCCCGAGAGGACACGCAGGCGGCCAGCAGGCAGGCGCACGGGCAGATCTGAGGGGTGCACACAAAACCACGAGGCAACACCTCACGCAGGTCAGAACGTCGTCATCGGTACACCACCAACCAACCAGTGCCGGCCAGGATGCGGAGACGGGAGCCCCTCCCGCTGCTGGGAATGCAGGCTGGTACCACTAGGAAAAACAGATGGGGGGGTCCCCAAAACACTAAAAGCAGAACTACCATATGACCAATGATTCCACTCGTGGGCGTCTCTCTGAAGCACTCATTTGAAAAGGCCATCGTAGCCCTGTGGTCACCGCATCCTTGTTACAGCAGCCAAGACACGGGAGCAACCTCCGGGCCCGTGAATAGACAAACGCATAAGGAAGATCTCTCTCTCACACACACACACACACAGGAATGTTACGCAGCCATAAAGAAGGCTTTATGAAATCTTACCGCTTGCACAACATGGATGCACCCAATATAGAGGGTGTCATGCTAAGTGAAGTAAGTCAGACAGGGAGAGACAAATACCATGTGATTCTGCTTATCTGTGAACTCTAAAACAAACAAGACCAAGCACACAGGAGCAAACTGACAGACACAGAGAACAAAGAGGCGGCTGCCAGGCGGGAGGGGGCCGGGGGCAGGCAGACAAGGTGAAGGGGAGAAGCAGCACCGACCGCCAGGAGCACCACCAGTCACGGGGCTGCGAGGCGCGGCACAAAGGACACGGTCAGTAGCGTTGTCGTAACTGAGCAGGTGTCAGACGGGCACTAGGCTCATCACAGCGAGCACGTCGCAAGGCACAAGAATGTCTAATCACTGTGTTGCACACCCAAAACTAGTGTAACACTGAAAACAGATTAAAAACTTCCAAGCAATTACCCCCCCGCCAAACCCTGGAAGTACTCTAAATGCCAGCACGCATCTGTTACCCTATCAGTCCCACACGGCCCACACTGAATAAGAGATACGCCAACATGTTACATACACCCAGAACTTAACTAAAAACTGTTACTTCTCCATAGGGATACTTCAAAAAACAAATTCAAGAGAATGTCCTTTCATCAGTGAAATGGTACAGAAGGGAGGATTCGATATTTACTAAATTCAACCTGTGGAATTATTCTGTAGTGAATTATCTTGTTTTCAACCTGAACCACTTTTCTCCCATCTCTGGAGGAGCGGACCCTTTGGGAATCTCCCTAGAACAATGGAAGCCCCAGAAGGAAGTTGCACAGACAAGCTGGGGGCGAGCACACGGGGCGCAGAGCCCCGACGCCTGCAGACCCGCACGCCTCCGTGGGGTCCACCGTCAGAGCCCGCTGGCGACTCGCGCCCGGGCTCCCTCGGACGGTTCGCTGCTCTCCCCCGTTCCAGACCGCCCTGCCTGACAAACCATGACCAGCGCTGCTGCTAAGCATTGAAACTGGACGATCGGGCTCACAGAGACGTCACAGGCAGAAGACAGAGCAAAAGGATTTGAGTAACACTGCTGAACACCAGCCAAAGACCGGCAGGGGCCCGGTCAGCACCGCTGGCCAGGGGTGGGAGCCACCGGGCAGGGCCTGCCCCGCGTGACCCTGTACCTCAAACCCGTGACTCGTGACACGGAATGAACCCGTCCACTGGCAACACACACACGCAGGAAGCACAGAGCAGGATCCAATGGCAACTTTCCTTTCCTGCCTTTCTAAAAAACATTCACAACGGTGACAGTCTGACCCCTTTTTAAGCAGAGAGGCCTAGGGCAAGTGTTTTAAAATCATGTCTACGACTTTATGAAAGTGTTACTTTTGAAGTTATGCTTTTTCTTACTTAAAGCTACAGTGGATTAAAACACAAACCCTGCAAAAGATTACCCTGACACACAGAATACAGATATCCCGCTTATACGTAGGAATAAGTAAAACCACAATAGAAATCATCTAGGAATGTGATGGCACACACATTTTTCTATCACTGTTTTCGCCACTTCAAACTCACCCCGCAGGCCCTGCAGGACTCCAGGCTTAAATCCAGCCCCTGTTCTAAAGGGGTGTCCCACGCCCTCGGAGTGGGAAGTGCAACCTGTGTGGACCCAGGGGATGGGTGGTAACCTCCTCACGCCCACGGCTGTCCAGAAAGTTCTCCTGTACTGTCTGCTCCCTCTTAAAAACACAGCTGGTATAAACATGTATTCTGTGTCCAAAAGCAAGCTGTGAATTCACTGTAACTTTGGTAAATAACAAGATAAAAAATAATCTCAAGCCTCACAGGATTTGCAATGAAAGCTCCTGTTAAGTGAATCAAAACCCCAAAGACGGGACCCAGAACTGAACCTGTTAAGGCAGGTGTGTTCCTTGATCCCAGCTTCATTCTGACCTTCTACGGAGAACACTGATCTTAAATATCACTTGCTTTCATGAAGTACAGTCCTGCATTGCTTCTATTGGTAGGTCTTATTAAGAATTTCAAATAGCGAGTCCCCACGGTTGACAAAGGCATCCGTGCTACTTCCCTCTCCACACGGCAGCTCCACCACCTGGGCTCAAAAAGAGCCAGGAATATCCACACCTGACTTAATCAGAGTGATGCCTAATAATCAAGCACAACAAAAAAATCTTAGGACTTGGATCGCAAAAGTTTCTCTTTTCACCAAATGTCAAATCCATGACATCTAAGAAACTTGACAGTTAACTAAAAGTATATTCTGAAGTTGTTTTGTATGTCCCAAGCTTTCTACATTTTAGCGTATTGACTGGGCCATATTCTGGAATGTCAAAAAAAAGTTACTTATTGCAAATGAACTTAGCGATTCCTCTTGGTGGCCGACTCGCACATTCAGCGCTGTGCTAGCAGCTGGTCAGGGCTCCAGCAAAACATAAACAAGTAGGGGGTAAAAAGCTCCATTTCTGCTCACTTCCCAGGAAAGGGGGCCTCTTATCTCCCCTTTCCGTTCTGTTTTGGAACAGGACGGCAAAGAATACAAGCAAGACCGGAAAGTGTAGCAATGGAGCAATTACAGCGTCAAAATGTCTAGGCGAACTATTTTCAATTAAAAATCCTACGTCCCCTGCTGGTTAACTACAGCGCAGTTTCAAGTTTACTGTGATGGCAACTGTTTCTAAAAAGCAAAACTTTTTCTTGCCCTCCATCTGTCTTTCTTTTCTAGCGTCTTCTTCCGCTCCTCGGGGGCATGATCAACCCCAATTAGCATTTTTTTTTTTTTTGCGTTAAAACACGCGATGTGGTTTTCAAACAACTGGGTGACGGCTGTTTCAGACTAGGCCGGGTGTGCTCCGCCACGGTTCCGACGTGTTGACGGGGGGAGAGCCCACCTCCGCCGGAGTCCCCGGGTCTGGGGCAGCCAGGTGCGGGCGCTGCCCCCAGCCGCCGGAAGCCGGGAGCGGGCGCCCTACGGGCCCAGCGGGTGGCCGCGCCCGGTGCCCCGGGGAGCAGCGTATGGACAGACCGGCAGACGCTCCCCCAGGCCCCACGACTGCGAGGCGACGGCTCGTGGGGCCCGGCGGGCACTGCACCCCGGCGGTGGCGCACGTGGGCCCGGGCCCAGGCCCGGGGGACCGCCGGAGGCGAGGGCAGCAGGTGCGGGCGAGGCCGGCGGCTCCAGCAGGAGCTCGGGCCCCGGAGGCCGCAGGCCAAGCCGGGGAGGAGAGCCCACGGAGCCGGGGCCCGGGGCCCCAAGACGGCGGCCCCGCGGACCGGTGGGGCGGCGGGCACTCACGGCGGCGGCGCGGGGACGGAAGGGGGTCGGGTGGGGCCCGAGGGATGCTCCCGGCGCGGCGCCCCGCTCACCGTGCCTCCGTCCTTAATGATGATCTTCTTGGCCAGCATGATACTGCGGTTCGCGGCCCGTTTCTTCTTCTTCCCCTGGGTCATTTTACCATCCTCGAGTCCTGGCGCTGCTGCAGCCACTCCCGGGGCGGCCGGCCCCAGCGGCGAGTGCCGTCCCGCCACTACTGCCGGGCCGAGCCGCTCGGGGTGTCCGCCGCCATCTTCAGGGCCCGGCCTGCCTCGGGCGGCGCGTCACATCGTGCGATCGGCGACGAGCTGCTCGGCCACGCCCCGTGGTACCGCCCCGCCCCCACGTGACACCGCCCGGCCCCGCCCAGACGCCGCGGCCCCGCCCCTCGGCCTCGGAGCTGGATGCTGGTGGTGGGGGTCGGTTCCCTGTGCCCCCGGGTCACCCGATCGCTCGGTCCTCGATGGGCCCCGGGCGGTGGGGAGCGTTAGAGTCCCCTTCGCAGGGGGAGACCCGTGAGTTTCTGGGAGTCACCCGCTGACAAATGGTGGCACTGGGATGGCAGCGCGCTCTCCGGCTGTGTGCTAAGCTACGGGAACCGAAGGGAGCCGCCGTGATCGTGAAGATAAACCCGCTTTTCAGAAACAGCCTCTGGTCCTCCGGGGCGGGGCCTCCGGAGCTCAGCCGGAGCGCGCGTTTCCCGCGGCCCCGACCGCTTCTCCTTTCCCCGGCCGCTAAAACGTGCCCTGCCCCGCACGCGCGCGCCGTAGCCCACTTCCTGCTGGGCCGCATTGTTTAAGAATCGGTCTAAGCTGGGCGGGAGCTAGGAAAACAAGTGCAGGTTAAGGTTTGACGGTGTTTCAGTTTTGATTCCCCTAACTGTGCCGTGTTACGCAAGAGTTTCCTTTTCCCCGGGTATACCCTGGAGTCTCCCTTCGGGGCGAAGGGCGGTGAAGCTGCCAGCCCCCCTTCAAATGCCTTGGCAGTAACGTGTGTGTGTGTGTGTGTGTGTTCGAGGAGGCGGGACACTGAGTATCAAGCAGAACGGCAAGATGCTAAAAACAGTAGTGGATTGCGGTATGGCGGTCTTAAGACATTTTCACACTTTGGGGGATATTCCACTTGGGCGGAGGTGGGGCCGAATTTCCCCTCTTGAATGTGGCCCGTGCCCAGTGGCTCCGTTCTAATAGAATGAAGCAGACGTGACAGCAGGGACTTGAGAGGCTAGGTCACAAAAGGCACAGACTTCTAGCCGGCGCTTTCTCATTCACCGCGGGCTCGAGTCCCGGGCAAGGCCGCTGCTGTGGCAGGGCCACACTCCGGCAGCCTTAGGTGTCCGGGAACTGAGGCCTCCTACCGGCAGGTGTGTGACTCACCCCGGGAGCCTGGTCAGGCTGTCGGCTACGTGCGACCCCTGCCAACATCCGGTCTGCAACTTCAGGAGACCCTGCCCCAGGGTCCCGCCCCCCCACCGCGTAGCCACTCCCGGTTCCGGACTCTCAGAAACTAAGATAAAAAGCCCTTGTTTTAAGCCATTGAGCTTTGGGATAATTTGTTACACAGCTACAGATAACACACAAGTTAAAGGGCATGTGTTCTTTGTATTGTCCTTGCAACTTTTCTGTAAGTTTGAAAGGATTTCAAAACCAAGTGTTAAGAAACACATTTGGTTGAGTTTTCTGTTCTACTTCTAACTTCTACTTCTGTTGAGTAGAAACAGAAAACAAACCAATTTCCATGGGAAGAAAGAAGGCATTTTAGCCTGATACACTGAACTTCAAGTTACATATTCCCATAAAGAGATAAACCCGTCAGTTGTTAAAAAATATCCTGCTGAAACATTTTAGCTGAGGTCCAACCAGAAGCTCCGCAGAGAAAGTGCTGTGAGGCGGAGGGTGGAGCAGGGTCCCAGAGTCTTGTACTGGGCGGATGCAGAGGGCTGGTGAGGTGCCTGTGGTGTGGGCACCCCCATCACCGGCTCAGAATCGTCCTTCACCCAGCTGCACCCACCTATCTTATCATCCTCAACAGCTGGCTACTGTGCAGTCACTCAAAAGACGCTGTTTGACGAGACACTGGGGAAATGTCAAGAATGAAGTTACATTCTCTGCATGCAGGTGCATCATACTGGAGAACACACTTGCAAAGCAAATGCGAAAGGAAGAGAACTGCAGATTATGTAATAGGAGAAGTTGGAAATGACATAATAAGGGAAGTTGAACACACACCGAATGTCCAGAACGTTCTGGGTGCTGTGCTGGAAGAGTTGCAGTGGAAAGGAATAGGCATGAATCTTGTTCTAATGATTGGGGGTTTTGAAGATTCACGAACTTTAGATTAAGAGATTGTGTGTAAGGTGTGTTGGTTACAGTCAAGAGAAACCAGTGCTGGCTGACGTAAGCCAAAGGGAGTCATCTGGAAGGATATTGGGAGTTTCCAAAATTAGTGAGAAGGCCAAGAGTTAGGCTTGAAAACACACAAGAACAAGGTCTGGAAAGTTCTTGAGACCACTTGGTGAAGCTCCTTGGAAGGGAGGGGGATCCCTCGGAGGGAAGGGCAAGTGGCGGAAGCTAAATATTCCCAAAGAAACACAGATTCACACCCCCAACTGTACCATTTATAAAAGTTACTCTGGCTGGTGTAGCTCAGTGGATTGAGCGCGGGCTGCAAACCAAAGGGTTACCAGTTCAATTCCCAGTCAGGGCACAGGCCTGGGTTGCAGGCCAGGTCCTCAGCGAGGGCAACACGAGAGGCAACCACACATTAAAGTTTCCCTCTCTTTCTCTCTCCCTTCCCCTCTCTCTAAAAAGAAATAAATAAAATCTTAGGAAAAAAACATTGAGCATAACTTAAAAAAAAAAAAAGGAAACTGCAGAACTCGCAGATCCCAGACAATCCTCACACGTTTCACCAGGAACACCTGTACCAGGTTATTCTAGAAACAAAACAGGTTATTCTAGAAAAAAAAACAGAAATGGAGACTTTTCAATGAATAGAAACCACCACCCCCTAAAACAGCAATTTTTAACCTTTTCACCTCATGGCACACAAACTAATTAGTAAGTTCTGTGGCACACCAAAAAAGATATTTCTTGCCGGTTCAACAACAAAAGGAGTAATTTTGGTTCATTCACACCAGATGACTATTGTGTTGGCCACTGCCATTTTTTTGACACTCCGAGGGTACAGAGGTCAGTGCCCGGACTGAACTTGTCAGGTCCTGCCCATTTGAAACATTCTCGTGGCGCATCAGTGTCTGGGCAAAAACAGCTGCTCTGGAAAGTAGGAAGCAGAGGAAAACTATATCCAACACTCCAATGTGAATGAAACATTATTAAATAAGCAGCGGCAGACATAAAAGGATGCAACAAGTAAAACATTCAAAATTCCACAGGAGTGTCTGGAATGAGAGTTGATCAAACTCAGGCAACATACTGAAACAATAAAAACCTCTAAAGAATGTTTTTCCGCCCCACCAAGGGGGTGGGGGAGGCAGAAGAGGGTGAAGGGGGGAGACACGGCGATGGGAGACTTGACTTGGGGTGGCGACCCCACGGTACCATGTGCAGGCGATGTGCTGTAGAACTGCACCCCTGAATCCTATGTGATGTTAGTAACCAGTGTCACCCCCCAAAATTCAATAAAAAATAAGTTCATTAAAGAAAAAAAAAACATGACAGGGCTCCTAAGAGGCAATAATTGCAAATGAAAGTAAAGGAAGAAACATGGAGGCAAGGAATAAATCAGCTACAAGGACAAAAGAGAAAAAAAGGATCAGACAGAAAAGGAAATGGGGAAAAAAAAGATCTGGGCCTCCAGGCAGAAACCAAGAGCAGGGAATTAACATTTTCAAAGGGGGCAGTCACGTGGTGCAGACTTCCAGACAGGAACACCAGTCCCCCCAACAGTGGGGCAACCTTTCCAGAAAACTCCAGGAGGCTGTGAACCAGGGATTTTATATCCAACCAAGCTGTACTTTATTATTAGTTTTTATCGATTTTTAGAGAGAGGGTAAGGCGGGGGAGAGAAACATCAGTTTATTGTTCTAGTTACACAAGCATTCACTGGTGGTTTCTTGTATGCCCCCAGACCGGGAATCGAACCTGCGGCCTTAGTGTGTAGATGATGCTCTAACCAACTGAGCTCCTGGGCTGGGGCTCTAGAAATCTTTTAGCCATGCCAGAACTTGGGGAAGTGTACCTACAAATCCCTCCTTGAGTACTTCACTAGACGCGTTTCACCCAGCCAAGAGTTAATAGGGGAAACTTCAGCTCAAGTACAGGTGGGAAGTTTTAAATATATTTAAAGTATTTTTTATTGTATAACAAAGACACGACTAGGGTGAGGAAATAGTCCGTGTATGTTCTGTGTTCTAATCAATCGGAAATACGGCCACTAAAAAAGCGAGAAGACGTGTGGAAGGCAGGGAGTCGATCCGCCGGTGGTCACGAGGGCGAGTGGCCGGGAAGCAGGGAATGTCATGCAGAGAGATGTCACACCAAACGGGACCCTCGACAAGCAGACGGGGCCCAAGCGCATTGCTCAAATGTTGTATCAGCGTCACCACTAGAGCAGACAGATCTTCCCAAACACAGAGCGTAGACACAAAGCACACTCGCCACACGGCGGGAGAAACGTGGTGGATACAGCCGTGTCCACACCGGTGTGTTTTTGAAAGGGAAGCAAAGGAAAGGCGGCCCAGGAGCCAACTGACCGCAGTCACCGGAGGAGGGGGTGGGAACGAGAGACAGGCGTGCAAGCTGGGCTTCTCTGAGCACACTTTCCGCGTGGTTTTCGCTTGGAACCCGGCCAAGGCTTCATGCATTGACCAAGAGAACAGGGAGGTTTAGTTCTAACACTGAACCCAACACAAACGCATCGGATTACACCACAGTGAGAGCACAACCGTGTAGAGCAGAGGGGTGGCTGTTCCTGAACGCCGCAGGCATCGCCCCAGCGGGCTGTCCTTCCGAGGACGGAGAGGACCGCAGAGAAATCTTAAATTGGATTCAGCGCGTTTCCCGCGAGCCACGTGGGTGCTCCAGTGCTGAGGCGCACACAGCACACCTGCGGGCCCATGCATGCGTGTCGTGAGGGACCGACCGTCTTCACTGTGAGAAGAAATAGAGGCAAATACTTTTTAAACCCCTTGTGGTGCTGAATTTTAATTATAAATATCTACTTGAATTCATGTCACGATCTTTTAAAAGACTCACTCCCAAGCTCTGTGTGCTGACCCGACCTGGAAGCAAATGGAGTCAACACTGTACCCTGTGAAAGGGTGAGGGCACCTGGGAGGAGGAGCTGGCCGTGCAGGTGTGGACGGGTCGGAGGGGGCTGGGTCGTCTGGTGCCTGAAGTGGGGTGGGGGACTCAGCTGTGTCTAGAGCACGCAGGAGGTGGGCGGCCTGCAGCGGTCCCCGCCGCCAATGACTTTGCAGACATGTGACTACAATATACGGAGTTATTGGAAGACAAGGTGCTAGTTGAAAAAAGGGGCATTGGGAAGAAAAGGGGAGAACGGTCCTTTTAAACTTTTATTTTATTGATGAGACAGAGAATTTTGTTGGTCCACTTATTTATGTAATTACTGAGTGCTTCTTGTATGTGTCCTGACCGGGGATTGAACCTGCAACCTTGGTGTGTTGGGACGATGCTCTAACTGAGCTACCCAGCCAGGGTGAAGATGATCTTTTTTTTTTAAATATAGGAATATAAACTAATAAATGTAGAAGAGAATTCAAGAATTAAAATTCTTCGAATCACTGTTTTGTTCCTCAGTGTAACGAGTGACTCAGTGAAGAATCATTAGCTGACGCTGAAGCCACGAAATGAAAGGCCATTAGGAAACAGAACATTCCCGTGGTGCCAAACATCGCTCGGGAGATTGTGCGTTACTCAGCGGGGAAATGACCTTTACGTTTGTGAGATAACTGGAAATATCTGAATGGGAACTTAGATGATGCAACGGAATTATTTTGTGTTCTTAAGTGTGTGGTGGCATCGAGTTGGATTAGGAAAACAGACTTATTTTTGGAACACGCATGCTGAGGTGTTAGGAGTAGAGCGTCCTGACAAGGCTGCTTTGGCAAACTCATGAGGATGACACACGCAGTGACACCCCTGGAATGCTGTCACCGAGCCACACTCTCCGAGAGCAGGGTCTCAGATCTTTGGGATTGAAGGTAATTATTTCCGCTTTGCTGTTTTCCTTTCTGGAGGCTGGAGCGTGTGTGGGAACACTGCTGCTTTGAAGGGTGGCTCTGTGATTCCTTTTTTTTTTAAAGACGGTATTTATTTATTTATTTCCAGAGAGAAGGGGAGGGAGGGAGGGAGGAAGGGTGAGGAACATGGATGTGAGAGGGAATACTGATGGGTGGACCTCTCACCCGCCCCCTACTGGGGACCTGGCCTGCAACCCAGGCATGTGCCCTGACTGGGAATCGAACCGGTGACCTTTTGGTTCGCGGGCCAGCACTCAGTCTGCTGAGCCACACTAGTGGGGCTGTGATTACTCCTGCTGGTCACTACCGACTGTCGCAGGGCAGTAGCCACTGTAAGACTTAGCACTGAGGTGTATTTGCATAGCTCTGGGATCCCGGGACTGTGATCGACGGTACTTAGAACAAAAGAAATACTCCCTTTCCAAAAAAGGAAAACTGAAGAAGTGCTTTTCGTAAGATACCAAAGTATACATTTTAGAAGTGCTGATACTCTTCTTCCAGCAATCTTTTAAAATAAAGCATTTTGTACAAGGTCATTTCGTAATACAATCCTTGATATAGCTCATCATTTGATCTCTAGGCATTGACTTGATAGTCACAAAAGCAACAAATACATTCAAATTATGAAGAAAATACACACCAATTACTAATTACCTAACCTTGAGGGTAGCAAAGAGATAGTTTAAAACAAAAGAAATTTAGGTAATCATCATCATACAGGGAAAGAAATTCTAACTAGTTTAAATCAAATCCAGTTCTTCATACTTGAGCATAAGCTAGAAGACATGCCCTGCCTGGCGTGGCTCAGTGGATTGAGCACTGGCCTAAGAACCAAAGGGTTGCTGGTTCGATTCCCAGTCAGGGCACATGCCTGGGATGCAGGGCAGGTTCCCAGCTGGGGGTGCACGAGAGGCAACCACACACTGATGTTTCTCTCCCTCTCTTCCTCCCTTCCCCTTTCTAAAAAGAAATAAAATCTATCAGGTTGAAACTTACACAGGTAGTTATGAAAAAGATCTACCTTCTTAAACCTACTAAGTGGATACCTGGATACCAAAATAATGACAACGAAATTTATCAATTTAAAAAATCCATTTAACAAAAGACCAGTTTATATATTTCTTTGAATTATGTCATAAAAATTTAAATATACAAATTACATTCCCAGTCCCAAAAGAATCTTCCTAAAGAAATAACATACAGACATACAAATTCAGAACCCAAATTATTAAAAATTTTTGTTTAAATCGCAGTAAATTCTATCTCATAATAAGCAACAGAACGAAGTCGTGACGGTTACGTACAGGTGACAAAGCCGGAAAAGCGCGGGCGGCGTCCTGGAGCCGCCGTGGACGAGGCCGGTGCGGGGCCTCGCTACACCTACTGTAGGTAGTGGGCTGCGAGAGCCAATGCTGAAACAACCAAGACACTGAGTTACAGTTATTCGTAAAACGTCCTAATTCTGCCCATGTGTCCAAAGTTGTGAATTACAGTAATATTCTCCAGAAAAAAAGTCAGGTATAGCGGTAAAGCAAGGCACATAGGACCAGACTTTGATAAAGGTGCTTTTTCTTTGGTCCTATAATTACTTTAAATGTGCTACATATCACAGAGATTCTTAAAATGTCTTTCAATATAGCATAAATAACCTTTATAAACTTTCTCTCAGGCAAAGCGTGCATCCACATGTCATTAAATATTACAACAATAAAAATGGAAATAAAATGAGTAATGCTGCACCCTGTTTTTTATAAAAAAAAGACTCAGTTGAATGACTATGCAATGACATTTGGAAAGACCAGGAACGTGATGGGTAGGAAAGGTGTAGCAGTTCCTAACGAGGACAGTCAGCATCGCCCCGCATCTGCCAAGTACACACGGTTTCCTGTCCGAGTCTGTCCCCGTAGAATCTGGTTCAAGGGTCAAACCACCCTTCCTTCCATGGAATTGTGACATGTAATACACACTGGTGTAAACGCTGAAATCGTGCGTCTCTGAGCTCCGCTCCCCACCGTAAGAGCAGCCTCCCCGCTCTCCGGAGCAGGAAGTCCCTCGTCCCTGAACCGACGCTTCCCACTGTCCTCCCCGCGCACCGCGTTCTCGGCTGTCGACGGGCCGCCAGCTGGCACGGTCCTCCCGCGGATCCGCAGGTTTCCGCAGTGGACAAGGTAGTTGAGAGACAGTAAGTGAACTTTACAAAGTGAGAATTTACATAACCAAGGAGTCATCATTACAAAATATCAACACAATAAGGCTTTGGAGGTCACCAAACACCTCGCCACCACTGCCCCCCCCCACCCCGCCACACACACAAGGAAACTGTGTCATCTGTGCACACGCGTGACACCGTCTGGAACGCAGGTTCCCCTCGAGTCGGACTGTTCGTGTATGAATCAGCAAGTGTGAACCACACAGCCCGGCCTCGCATGACGTTTCAAACTGACTAGAAAAGCAACATATGATTAAAAATTGCTTTGAAATACTTGTATACTTCAGACTATTTTCTCAACAACTCTGGATTATAGTTTCATCAATTCTGTTGGGGGTCTTGAAAAGTGTGTTATGTCGGACAGCTGAAAACGTATCACCGCTGTAACTGACATACTGGGTCTCCGATCGCGATCTCGCGTTATTTTTGGAAGTATCAGTAGAGGGACAGACGACACCTGAATTAACACTTAGCCGTGGGGACACACTGGATTAACGCGTGGTCACCCACACAGCCCTGCTCGCGGGCCGAACACAAACAAACCTCCTGTTTGGTCTCGAGTCCACTCCACGCACCTGCGGGACTCAGGCCCCGCACCGCCCGCGGGAAGGCTGGGGTCGGATCGTCGTTACAGACCGAACGACCCGCGCTCAACACGTGGGAGCTACTGAGCTCACTCCAAACGATACTTTCGCCGGTCACCGGAAACCAGCGAGCCAGGCTTCCGGAAGTCTGCTCAGTGCCAAGCTGGAAACACCGGCAAAACGGCCGTGAGTGTCTTCTCCCTGCAAACACACACAAGCCCTGGGTGGGCTGCGTCAGGCCCCGGCCCGCGGGGGCCAGGCCCGCACCAGGGGAGTAGCTGCCGACCCTGGGGGGTGCAGGGCGCCCAGTGTGTGAACGGTGTTCCGGAGCCCGATTCTGTCCGACCAGAGCCACTGGGGAGATATGGAAATACCTATTTCTCACTGTTTGTATGCTCTTAGCGCAGGAAACTGGTAAAAAGTACACATAAAGTATGAATGAAAGTAGTACAGCTCTTCTACTCGATAGGTGATTCTGCCTGGTCAACAGTGAGACTCACGTTCCGGCTGCAGGAGGTACCTTTGCCCGCCAGTTCGTCTTCTCACTCCTGCCACATTCTCTCTCCCTGCACCAACGCACTGACTCTCTCCCGGTATCCGCAGCCTCAGCTGCAGCGCTAGTGAGAACGGGAAAGAACGCTATTTGGAAGCCGAGTGGCGGCTCCTCCCAGCAGCACGGAAAGGGAACTCAAAAGTGGGACCGGGGTGACCTGGGGACGGTGGCCCTATGAGAGGCTGGGGAAGCTCCATGAGCAGCCTTGAGTGTGTGGTGAGAGGGCCGTTTAAAACAACGTGACATCGCGGCCTCCTGGACCGTCTCCAAGAAAAGCCACTTTGGTCCCCAGTGGGTGGCATCAGTCCTCCTGTTTTGCGGTGGTGGCTTCTGTCAGCAGTTGTAGATTTCACAGATCAGTGGGTAAAATGCTCCTTGCAGACTTTCTAGTTCTGCACAGTACATGCTTTGATAGTTCAAAACTCTCCAAATGGAGATATTAGATAATAGTTATTTTATTTAAGTTATTAAATGAGTACTTAATCCCTTTAAATTACATATTAAAACTTTAATGGAACAGACACTGCGATGTAGTTCAGGGCACTAGTCAAGATTCATCCGACTTACAGAAGGGAATGCGGTTGCGTGGAGAACTCAGCTCCGTCAGCGTAGAAGCCTGCAGACCGCGGTGCGAGCGGCCACGCACGACACGCTCCCAGAGGGGGTGGGTGGGGGTGGAGAAAGGGGCGTGTGCCTCTCTCTGCGTGAGATTTAAACGTGACTCGTGAATGTTCTGCCCTGACGAATCAGACCCAGAATGTCACTCCGTCCGTGTGGACGCAGCGGAACAAACAGCATCTCGCCCCCGTTTGCTGACTGATTGGGGTGTAAGTGTAGAAATCGTAGGGGCGTGTGAACGTGTTTCGGGCCACACTTGTTTCTTCACAGCCCGACAGGAACACGTGGTCTCACCCTCTGAGCACACTCCGCGAGACCTGAGGCAGCAGCTCGGGGGGAGGGGACGCAGCCGCCGGGGGCAGCAACTCGGGCCGGCTCGCAGAGGCTGGGCTGACACAGTCGCCTGAGCCCCCGCGAGGACGGCACAGGGCCCGCCTGCAGCGGTCAGAGCAGTGAAATCTTTCTAACCTCAGGTTTCAAGTTTCCTCCACTAATTCTAATCCCTGGAAACACTTTCAAGTTTTGATTTCTAGATGCAACAGGCATTTTGTGACAGAGACGCATAGTTTACCCTCAAACATTATGTTTTCAAACCATCCGGACACTATGACCAGACCCAGCGGGACACCCCCGAGGGTCTGCAGGAGTCCTCGGAGTCCGTTTGGTGCGGAGACCCCCGCGCCCCGCGGGCGAAGCCAGTGACGGAGGGCGCCGGGCTACGCCTTCGTGGGGTTCCCTGCAGGCTTGGGGTCGTAGCCGTACAGGAAGGTGGCTGCTATGACGAGCACGGCTCCCAGGAAAAAGACACTGAGGGGACGGAGGAAAAACGGAAAGGACAAAATCAGACTAAGAGCCAAACAAGCTCCTTCTGTGTCTTCACTATAAAAACAAGTGCAATTTGGGGGGGAACGGTCCAGGAACACGACCACCAACACTGCGCTCACGACACGCCGGGCACGCAGCTCCATGGTCGCACGTGCTGCCTCCGCAGCTCTCTCCACGTAACCGCCCGAGGGAAAGCGCCGCCCCGCGCTCGTCTGCAGTGCTGGGGCGAGGAGCGCTGGAGAGTGTGTGCAACCCGCTCCCAGTCCCACCGGTCTCGGGGGGCGGGGGGGCGAGTCACCCCAGCCCCCACTACTGTCTCCCAAAGCAAAGGCGTTTCGCGGCATCTCATCTCCACATGCCCCTCGCCGGCAAGGCACTGAGCGCAGTCTCCAGTTCTGAAAGGCGTTTGAAAGTGTAAAGGGACATCTGCGTTCTTTTCAAACCAAAGTGCATTTCAGTTTAAAACCCAAGGCAGTAATAAGCAAAACTCAGGACTAATTTTTTAGGATGCTTTAAAAAAAAAAGATTAAATGCAAGGAGACTTGGTTTCTTCTGTATTTTACCCATAAAAACAATATAATAAACTGGAAATGAACTTAAACTGACATAAACTAGAACACCAATCTTAACTTTTGATGTGTATAATTCTTCAAAAAGAATTAAGCCTTCAAAAAATGTTAAATGTCATTACATAGCATATTTTTTTACTTTATAGGACTCAATAACTTTTAAACCTGACTCCCATATGACATTTTACTTTGGGGAAATGGCCCATCCACATCTACTGGGAAAACTCTGGCCAGCAGAATTTGTGTAAGAAATTTCCCAGTGGAAGGTTTTCTCATGCATTTAATTTGAAACCTTTTAAAAAGATAGTTGAGTGAGTTTATTTTACTAATTACGTGTCCAAAGTTTTTCAAAAGTTATAGTAAAACATTTTTTTCAGACAACATCTTAAGAAAAATACTTATTTTTCTATATCCTTTCGGAGACTTAAAGAAACAGGAAAGAAGACGTTACCTGGTTGGCACGAAGTCCTGCAGCCAGAAATAGGATATCAGTGTTGATAATATTATGGATAAAGAGGTTGCAAACCCTTTTAAAATATTATCTGCGTACTTTATGACCGCAGCGATGACGAGCCCTCCGAGTGCCTGCAGGAGTGTTGAGAGGTTATTTTTAAAAACAGACAGGTACAGAGCTGCTTTCCCGACCAGCGCCAGCGCTCAGCAAGGCTTCACGCTTCTGCCCCGCACGCCCGACCCCGTCGCAGCACGCGGCCTCACCCAGCAGCTCTGACAGCCAGCAGCCCGCGCGCGCGGTTGTGCGCGGCGGCCCCGGTCCCCAGGCTGTCGGGGCAGAGCCACCCCCTGCATAGGCTGCAGGTGATGGAGTCTGACCACGTCACGGGGGAAATATCTAGTCTCATCCAATGCAGGGTAAACACCCCTGATCAGACAAATGTGGAAAGACTGTTCCCCAGCTGGTGGAATGTTTTCACTTTGACCAAAAGTAAAGTATGATCTGGAAGTCATTTTACTAGCCTTTTGACAGCTTCCAAGTTCACTTTCTTCCTCCAGTTTCTCCCTGTTCGAACCCACCCTTCATTGTCACCAGCCACTTTTCCTAAAGCACAGTGTTATCTGTTCTCTTTAGGAGAATAGAAATAACTTTCTACCAAACCCCTCTCCAATCCCAACTGTGGCTTCTGCTTCAACACTGAGGTCTGACCGCAGGCCACCGTTCTGCTTCCAGCCAGCCCGCACGTCTTGGGGAGCCGCCTCAGCAAGGGGAGCTTTCGCAGAGCCCTGACCTCTGCCCCGCTCCGGGCGAAGACCACGCTCCAGCACGCCTGCGCCACGCCCTCCCCTACCTGTCTGATCATCCCCCCGGACTGCCGCTGCCTACCGTACCACACCTGCTCTTCCTGCTCCAGCCTTCCGCCACTGCTGAAAAGAAGCGGCCTCCCTCTTTGTGAAGGTAAAAGCCAGCGAGCATAAACTCTCCTGGCGCGTCCTGTCTCTACTTCACAAGGTCACTTACCCTTGCTCCCCTCCCCCCCCAGAGACACAGGTGTCCCTCCTGCTTCTGAAACCAACTCCCCTCCGCCACCCTGACCAGCCCCGCAGGAACCCGGCTCCCCACAGCGTCACGTGCGTGCGCTGGAGGAAGGGCAGTCCATGCCTGCACCGTCACCCCTCCTGGGGGCAGTCCGCGCCTGCACCGTCATGCCCTCCAGGGGGCTCACCGGAGGCCGACTCGCCCACCCCTGGAACAACTTGGAATGAGGACAGAGTGCGGCAGTGTCGCAGGAGAGCCCCGATATGTCGCTGCGACAAGAAGCGTGCACTGCTCTGGTCAGACGGCTGACCTGCTGCCTGAGACCTGCTACCTGGGTGGGCTGACCACAGACAACAGCGCCAGGAAGGCCGGGGCGGCACAGGGAGACGTTACACTGGCCCTCAGCCTCGGCCCGTTGCTCTGAAACCTGCATTTTCACTGCGCTGACCTGGAACACGCACGCCCGTCCCCAGACGGGGGCGGGGGGGATCCCTCACGGCACCCAGAACAGCCCGCCCGAGCAGAACGGAGGCCACAGGAGCAGTGGGGGCCCTCCCCCGCACGCACCACGGCTCCTCGGGCGCCGCTCTGATCCCCCAACTTCAGGTGAAGTTCACCAGCCTCACACCGAACACTTCAAACGCTTTACCTGCAGGGCAACGACGGCCCAGGTCAGGCGGCTGTAGCCCTGGAAGAAGCCGTCCTTGGACACCAGCTCCCCGTCGTAGACGTACACGCCCATCAAGCCAAACAGGCTCCCGAAGAAACCTGCGCGGGGCGGAGAGCGCGCGTCAGTGCACAGGGGCAGGGGCCTGTCCCCGGGCCTTCCCGGGGTTCCCCACTTCTCTGTTTCGACAAAACGTAGCTACTCATAAAATTTTCTACTTGGATACTCACATACATTTAGCAAAAGTATACTTGGTACTACAAGACAAAAACCACGAGAATATCAGAAGAACGGGGACCACCAATCTCAGAGCACAGGAAATAAATACGGCGCATACACCGCAGGACGCGGGCGGCGCACTCAGATGTCCGTGAGAATGCACCTCGTGTCTTCCTGTTGCTGGACGGAGGTTGTCACATGTTCGCACACGTGCCTGTCCCTGCACTTGGAGTCACTGCGATTCCTTTGCGTGTCCTCCGCAAACTGAGCCCGCTCACCGTGAGACCGTGCGATGAGGTCGGACCAGTGACCACGGGATCCAGGAAACACCGGAGAATCATCCACCCTGAACGGGCTTCTGTGTTTATGTTATAACGCAGGAAAATTTGGGACAACGCACACAAACCTTGAATATTTTTTCTTTTCCAATACTTGCCTATTTATGTGAGTAGCTGACACGTCAGTGCTTATAACATGCAAGGCATTTTCTCCTAAATAATTTACATGTATTATCTCACCTAACCCTCACAGTGACATATGAAGTACTACAGTTAAGTACATGTTATAGGTGGGGAAATATGTAAGCTATTTGCAACATCCTCTGGGAAGAGCGTGGCAACCAAGGACAAGGCTTTTAAGGCTCCAAACGGTGCGGGCAGAACAGGCTTTGTGTCGTAGACCTGAAATCCCACATTCTTGCATCCAAGGTATTCATTTAAAATACAAAATGTTTAAAACGCCAAAACCCTGCCAGACACTTGGATCAACAGCATATTTCCTGCAAGGCTTATTTATGTAAAGAGATACAGAAAACCTTATGATAATACATATAATCACTTTAAAAAACATCAGCAAGTATTTGAAACTCACCCAGCTGAATGTTTCTTATCCACACCGACTGCTTGGTTTCTTTTAAGATTTTCTCGAAGTAAACCCCGGCGAAGCCACTTGAGAAGCACGCCGTGAGGACCGCCATGAGGCCGACGAACGGGGAGCCCGCTGAGCGCTCCTTCGCGTCCAGCTCCGGGGAGTCTGCGGGCCACTGGACAGAAGGAACGGCAGGCTGACGCCCGGCCCCTGCGGCGATCCGCCCAGTGTGCGCCCAGGCCCCCCCCCCTCCCCCTGCACCCGAGCAGCCACTGCCGCTCTCACGGACTGAGGACAGCAGCTTTGGAAACACAATCCGAGAACCATCCATCCCCCAAAGTGACATCCCAGTTACAAACTGCAATTTCAAACCCTGCCCCAAACTGGAGGGAGGGAGCCAGCACGCAGGGGCCCAGAGCAGCCTCCAGGCCCCGGGGGTCAGGGAACACCCCTCTGCCTCCCACGCAGACCCCGCCTCCCTCACCACGGGGGCCCATCTCTCCGTGTAGGGCTCTGCAGCAGGCACAGTCCCAGTGCGGCGGCGTGGCGCCCAAAGGAAGCCCTCCAAAAACGTCTCAGCAGTGAGAACGGACATCTGTGCGCTCCAGCGGGCCAGAGATGTGCCCGCACGCCCACGCACTGGGAGGAGGCGGCTGAAACTGCGACGCCATGGAGGGCGCGCTCGTCTGGGATAGTCACCTGCACAAAAGCGACTCCGGTCATCAGGATGACCAGGGACAGCCACTGGTACACACCCAGCTTCTTACTGAGCATGGACACAGAAAACAGCGCCGTCGTGAGGATCTTCAGCTGATAGGTGACCTGAAAGAGAACGCGGCTGTGTTGTGAACCACTGCTGGTCTGCTCCTTACGAGGACCTCCAGAAACACGCTCCCCGCACCTGGTAGGTGGCTGCATCCAGATTGGACAACGCCACGTAGAGCAAGTTGTTCTGAAGAGTGTAGATCCCTGACGGAATGGCAAGTTTAAGCGTCTCCATGGGCTTATTAAGAATTTCATCACGTAGTGTGCGATTCAGTGCTCTGAGACTACATTCTAGAAAAAACACGAAACAGGCACAGTCGGTCGTTAAGAAACCCTGAGTAAGTTACGCGCCCTGTCCCCAGGCCTCCGTTTCCCCACCTGCACAAAGAGAGAACTGGACGACACGTTCAGATGTTTTAGGTCTAACTTACACCTTTAGTAATGCTGATTTTTCAAACGTTAAGTGTTGTAAGGTGGCACATTAAGAGCACTGTCCTTCTATTCTTTCACGGGGAAATACAGGTTAGTTGTACAGACGCACATACACGCTCACACGCAGTGTGCACTTGCGACAACCAAAGCTCAAAGCGCGGACCCGCCGACCCAGCACTCTTCCTTCATCGCAGCGACACCACAGACCCATCTACTTTGTGCAACCCGCGGCCCCACCAGCCGCCCGCCCGCCTGTGACGGCGGAGACCGCAGTTGCGTTCAGTCCACCGGGGGGCCCCTCCGGGAGACCGGGCCAACAGTGGCCCCCCGCAGGGACCTGCCTCTCCGTCCGAGGCTGGCCTCCTCACTGGGTCTCCGACACGAACGTTTTGCATTTGACGTGTGCAAAATCTCCTGTTTTTTCCTCCCTGGTTTGTTTGTTTTGTATCTGGTTTGAAATCATTCACAGGAGCAGGGTCATAAAGTTTTGTGTTTTAAATGTCAAGTTATTTTTGGCAAGGCAAAATGTCGCCGATCTGGCCCCAGTCAGGGCACAGGCCTGGGTGATTACATCTCAACAGAGCTGCTGGAAAAAAAAGGGCTAGACTAATTAATACAACAGATAAAAGGCTTCGACTTTCGTAAAAAATTTTGACTCCTAAATTTCTGACAATTTCTGATAATTTCTACAGAATTATAGAGTTTTTGCTCTTGTTCCCAAATTACTATAAATATAAGAAACTAGAAGACATGAATATGATATAGGTTAAGACAAAATGCCTTTATTACTACACTGAAACTGTCTTAATAAAGTGAGAAATACTGAAATGCCCTTCATCTGGGGCATCAGACAGGGCAGTGTGATCACACGTGTTCACACGTGCAGTTGACGACTCAGAGTCGCGTAGGTGCCGCAGACGAACACCACCAAACAGTTCAACACGCTTCAGAGACTGGAAAACAGGAGCCCGGACACCTACTGCTGTCTTTGTAGACGAGTAAAACGCAGGCCACGATCTTCAAAAGCTCGGCCACAACCACCGCCGTGGAGGAGAGGTAGCGAGGTCCCTCCTCTTTCAACGTCCGGGAGTAGCGCATCGTGAGGACCAGGCTGGTCGTCTGGAAGACCAGAATCCCCAGGGACAGGTACTTGAGGTTGGCGGACATCGTTTTATCTGCATCTGCCTGGAAAACAAACAGGCGGGCACACAGACCAAGTCAGAAACACGGAGGCCAGCACGCTGACAGCCGGCGGGAGCCGCCAGGTCCCAGACAAGGTGGGGATGGCCACGCGAGCCCGTGCGTCCTGCTCTGGCCCAAACATGAGAGGGAACACTTAGGAACTCTGAAAGGTGCCCACGATCTTGAGCGGTGACCCAGCAATGAACTCCCTGGAGATCTTGTTGCCCCCAGTGAATCTCACCCCGGGCGCTACAGCAGCTTGCAGCCAGGAGCCACCCCCAGGGGCAGATCAACGACAGAAAAGCCCCAGAAGAAGTCCATGTCCCTGGCCAAAGGAATGGGCCAGAGACTGCAGCCCTGCAGGACGGGCCCCTCAACTGGGCTTGTGGAACCTGTGGGACCACCCCCACCCGGCACTAATGACAGCAGGGGTGGCAGCCCTCCCCGCCCCCCAGAGACTTCGGGCAGAGCCCTGTCACGGGCAGGGGCAGTGTCAGCCGAGAGGCAGTACCCGCTCCCCTCCCCAGGGGCTGCCCGCTAACACGGAAGGTTTAGGTAAGGGCCAAGGTCGCATACTGAGAGTCAAATGTCCAGGACACAATCCAAAACTGAGTGTACTCATCACACCAAAGAGCAGGACGAAATCTCCACGAGGACGAGGAAGGACGAGGAAGGACCGTAATAGACAGCAGCAGAGCGCTGCGGACGCCGGAAGCAGCCGGTGGGAGCTGCCACAGCGAGGCACCCAGGCCGGGGGGGGGGGGGCATTTGAACGTGTGCAAAATCTCCTGGTTTTTCCTCCCTGGTTTATTTGTTTTGTATCTGGCTTGAAATCATTCACAGGAGCAGGGTCATAAAGTTTTGTGTTTTAAATGTCAAGTTTTTTTTGGCAAAGCAAAATGCCGCCGATTTGTCTCAGGTCTGCTGAGATGCAATCACCCAGGCCTGTGCCCTGACCGGGAGAATCTCAGACTCAGGGACAAGTGAGAAAACAGCGCGGGAGTTCTTGACCCACTCTTTCGCTACTCGCCAACACCTGGGGTCCTTTCCCTGCTAAAAATTAAAAATTTTTAAATGTTAAAATTTCCTGAAATCTTCTCAACAAGTAGTTTCTAAGTGTTATATAAGCCAGGATTATTTTAAGCTATTTTTGTAAAATTTAATAATTTATGAACTTTTCAAGTCTCTCCCAGTTCTAACACACACACACACACACACACACACACACACACACACACATTGTACTCATCTAACTCCAGTTTCTTCATCTGAAAGTTCTGTCTGGAGTTTTAGATTGTCAACTTTGAGTGTGTGTGTGTATGGATAACATGTGATAATGAACTATTACATGGTCATTAGTGTGTGACCACTGTGTCACACTAATAACGTCTAATTGTGACCTTTGGGGTGTGTGTACCACAGCCCCACCGATTTCATAAGCAGTGGCACCGCCGGGATTTCTAAAAGTCCCACCGGGTTTCGTAGTCTCTCTAACAGACCTTGAACTTGGTTCCCAATCACTATTTTCCCTCTGGATTGGTAGATGAGTCTGATGTTTATAAGGTCAGTTTTACTATTTTTAACCCCTCCCACCTCCACAGGGAGAAATGCACGACAAAACTCCATCTAAGCTCATTCGTTTGGGTTTGGTGCGCTTGGATGACAGCTCGATCAGAGTTTACTGGAGCATCTGGCACAAGAACTACCAGTAAGCCTCTTCAGAGTTCAGAGTTCCTGGTGACTGCGGATAGCCTGAAGAGGGAAGGTCTGTCCGACAGACACGCCAGGAGGCGGGTTTTCAGCGCACTCGATGTGTATTCAACCCCAGGTCCCTCGTTCTCACTGGCGGAGCCGCCGCCTGCTGTACGAGCTGGTCCGCCAGTTCCGGGGGCCACACAGGCGCCCCCTGCTCACCGCTCCGCACCACGTGCACGCGTCAGGGGTGCGCAGGACGGCGACCATCTGCCCCCAAACCGATCGGGGCCAGTGGGAGACTCGTGGTGTACGCCCTCATCGACCGCACTGGGGAGGCATCCACTGAGTGCTGAAACCTCCGACACGCCGTGCACTAACACCTTCTATTCACCTTCGCAAACAGGTCCCTGCAGGTGACCTGCCCACGGGTCTGGCCGCAGACTTGCTTCCAGGAGCCCGCCCTGCGCGTGCCTCACCCTCAGGTCTGGGCACCGAGCCCATCGGTCTACGGGGACAATCGCATCGGTGTTTTGCTGATACACGTCTCCAGCCACTAAAGGTCCTAAAAGGCTAAATGTTCAGTCTAGGTTTTAGAATAACAAAATTCCTATAGGTTTTTGAAGACGGCCATGTGCCCAACAAATTCTGCAAGTCCATTTTCCTTCTGTTATGAGACACTAATTTCCACCTTGTCACTTTGAAGGGGAGCTATACTGACATCTTCTAGACCCAGTCCTGCGATACCCTCCCTGAGGACAAGACCATCATCTGCCAGAGCGCACATGAAAGCACACAAGTCCTAGAGTGCTGTGCAAACGCCCGCTCGCGTTGCGCACCAGCCAGAAGCAGGTGCTGGTGCAAACGTGCGGAGGGAGAGACAGCGCACACAGAACTGCCGTGCCCTCCACTGCAAGCAGCTGTCCCCTGTCCCCCGTGACCCGAGTCTCTGTGACCCGCACAGACCGGGGGCGAAGCCCATCGCACTGGCTTCCCGCCCGCTCAGACTACCTGAGGGGCAGACGCGGCCTTCTCCAAAGGCAGTGAGCATGTGCGGTGGCTGAAGTCTATCATAACCTCCTCGTGGGGAATAAAGAAACCTTGTGTTTTCAGAAAAGTGAAATAAATAGGGGTCCAAGGTCATTCTCACTCTCAGTGTATTCGGTTTTCTTTCTCTGCACGCCGTGTGCTATTCAGGCAAAAGCGCCGCCCGGCCCGACAGCTCAGCAGCCGCCCGCACGGCTTCTGGTTCCTGCTCCGGCTTCTGGTTCCTGCTCCAGTCCGGCGCTGCAGGCTCCTCATTGTTCCTCCTTCCCCTCCTTCCTCCAGGTGTCGGGTGGACTGTTTACACGAGATAATCCCGACTTTCCGTAGGTTAATTTTTACCTTGGTCTTCCACAGCCTGTGGAATTTCCATTGCTACATTCAGGTAAAATAAATATTTCTTCAACTATATAAACATAAAACTTATTTACATTTTAATTCTTCGATTAAGAACTGTCCGGTGTGGACATTCGCATAAAATCCGTGATTTAGAAGCCCTCACCGCAGCCGGGTGGTGCCGTGCAGAAAGCCGCCCCCCCCGCCCCCCCCCCGCCCCCCGCACATGCGCTGTCCGGCTGACTCCCTCCTCCCGCGGTCACTTCCTGCCACGTGCCATCCAGGCGGAGAGAAGCTCCACGCATCCCGCAAGGAACAGACGCCAGGGTGGAAGCCGGGCGGGGTCCACCAGCACTAACCTTCAGCAAACATTCGAGACTTAAGGAGACTGGGGGCAGAGAAATAATACAGGCGTCGCACTCACACGAGTCGCCATCAGTATTCAACGAGCACTCGCCGTGGTCAGGCGCCGTGCTGAGCGCTGGGTGCGCGCGGCGATGGTCGAGGCAGACAGCACGAGTCTTCCTGCAGCTGGCCCTCCAGCGTGGAGGACATACGATGTTCAAACAGTTCAGGAGGGGTCTGGCCCTGGCGGGGGGCTCAGGTGGAGCGCTGTCCCGTACACCAAAAGGTGGCTGGTTCAATCCCTCACCAGGGCACATACCTTCGTTACAGGTTCAGTCCCTGGTCAGGGCATGTACCTCGGTTGCGGGTTCGATCCCTGCTTGGGGTGTATGCAGGAGGCAACCTATCGATGTTTCTCTAAAGCCAAATAAGTCCTGGGGTGATGCTTGAGGGGAAAAAAAAAGAGTCTGGCTATGACATAGGGTGCAACAGAAAAATACGGGTACCTCGTATTACATTACGTCAACTTGCTCAAACTCCAACACCTTTCCCCAAATCCAGGAGACCCTGGTGGTTTATCACGCCAAGGGAGACACTACTTAAACTACTGCCTGTAATGAAGACTGACCAAGCTGATGCCATCGCAAACATTTTACTGGAAATAAGCACAAAATGGTGTTCACTGGTTGCTTCTAGGTCAGCTAGAAAACTTGGAGGGAAAAAAAACAACGACAATGAACTTGAGGCCCAAATCAACAGCCCAAGATGTAAGGAAAGAATTAGAAAGCTTCTATGACTGCCTTCAAACATCTTTGTACTTCCTTTAGCTGCAAAGTCAGCGTTTCTGAAAACCAAGCCCAAAGTCTGACCCTGCGTGAGCCTGTCATGAAAAGCAAATTCACAGCCTCCCAGAGTCTGGGGATCCCGCATTCTCTGTGTTCTGCAGCCTCTCCATCCTAGCGCAGGCCGGGTGTAAAACACGCACGCTCGAGGAGTGCTGGCACGCTGATGATGCCCCAACCTCAAGTACCAGGTCGTAATCCCCGAAACCTGCGCTGTTACCTTGTTTGGAAAAGGGGATTTTGCACATGGAATTAAGGATCTTGAGATGGGGAGAGTGTTGTGGGTTAGCTAAGGAAGGACTTACGCCAACACAAGTGTCCTTAGAAGAGACACGAGAGGAGAACACAGACATGCGAGTGGAGAAGGCACTGCGAAGACGGAGCAGAGACTCAGTGAAGGTGCTGGACCTGAGGGCCACTGCGATGCGGCCACCCACTCCACGCTGTCGCACCGAGGCTGGAAGAGGAAAGACACGGACTCCCCCAGAGCCTCCAGAGGACACACGGCCCCTGACCCTTCGAGACCAGCCCGGTGGTACCAGTTTGAGTTTCTGGACTCCAAAACAGTGGGAGAATACTGAGGGTACACTTGCTTTTCAGAGGGTTGGGATCTAATGCTAAACTGCCCACTCATATGGGTCTTAAATATACATGTTTATAAACTTCTGGTTTTCTCTTGTGAACCTGCCTTTTAATGATAGGGGTCTCAACTAAGAACTCAGAAGAGTAAAGAGAAAATTATTGTCCTTCTCCTACAGGGTGGGGAATAACTACGCTACCTCAAAAAGGTACTACTAGGCCCCAGTGAAGTCCTGCAGCGTGGAACAGAAAAGCACCTTCAAGTGTGAGACTATGAATAAAAGTCTGCACTCAGGTGACACTCAACACGGAGCTGTCTTTGCCTCCAGGAACACTGTAAAAGTTTAATTGTTCCATGATTTAATTTAGCAATTACTTATTAAGAGTCTCATATATCTTAACACTGTGCTCGAGTACTGAAATGCTAAACCAAGTTAAAAGATAACTTACTTCTTTTAAAAAGCTTACATTCTAGTAGGGATGAATTTCTCAAATTTCCATAGTACAGTGCAAAGTTAGCAAGTATTGTAATATTTATAAAGCCCAACACACAAGAGAAAAAGAACGTTCTGGACTAATGGTAGACTGCAGAAAACTGCATGAGAAGGTAGCATTTAAGGCCTTAAAGAAGAAGTAGAATTTCCACAAGGACTGTAAGGAAGGCCTTCCGTGGAGGAGGAGAGGATGTAAGACCGAGGCAGGCAGGCATAGAGCACACAGAAACTACATTTCAAAGTAACTCCTCCAGTTTGCCTAAAAATTAGGCAATGTAAGACAAAATAATGAAGAAAGAAAGAAAAGAAAGGAAGAAAGAAAGAAACTGATCTGATGGGAGCCATGGACAGCTCCCAATTTTGAAGGGCTTTGAATGACGCCCTAAATAATTCAAATTTATTATGAAGCTAACAGTCACTAGGCATTTCTGAGGAAAGAGAGACCAAAGACAGCCTAAGACCTCCAGCTTCAAGAAGCAGCACGGCGGTGGGGAGTCTGGAAGAGCACAGGCCAGGGCAGCAAGCCCGGTTTGGGAGCCATTGCTCCTGCGCAGGTAAGGAGAAGAGCCGACTTAGCCTGGAGGCGGTGGGAACGAGGAAGGGAAGAACTAAACTTGAGATGCCAAAGAAGTAGGACCAAGACTCGGGAGGAAAATTAGGGATTGTAATTTAGAAGTCATTCCCTTAAAAGGAAACCACCCGAGCTTCCCCGTGAATGTGAGTTAGGGCCCCAAGGGAGAAACTACCAGATTTGATTCCCCCTCCACCCAAAAAACTCCGGTTCCACTTTTGAATAGTGCGCGTAATAGAACATAATAAAAGAGTTTTCTCTTATAAAGTAATGAACTGGAACGGACTTACTAAGCAAGGCCCCTTGCTACATTTAACAATGTTCTTTCATTCATTTGATCCGACGTTCCGGAGCGCTGTTCAGTTGCTTAAGAAAATACGTTCATCAAAATCCTCCCTCCCCCGGACACGGACACGCTGAGCGGTCCCGACGGAGCTCCCACCTGGCCGGGGATCCCACCCGGCCTCCGCACCAGCCTTACCATGTCTGGCACTCCCGAGGCTCCCGAAGCGCGGAGTCGGGCGGGAGGATGGAGCCACCCAGGGGGTCACGGCGGGTCGCGGAGGGCCGCCCACCCGCCGCGCGGCCGCGCTCGCCTCGGACTCCCCGGCGCGCACCGCAGTTTCCCTTCGCCAGACACACCCCTTTCCTCCGGCCCCTTTCCTCCTCCGCCCAGCACATTCCACACGTCGTCCCGGGGCCCACAGCGTGTCATGTCACTCCCTCCGCTCCCGCCCCAGCCGCGCTCGGACTCCAGGTCCGGGCGCTGTCCGGCTCCCGCGGGCGAAGCGCGCCGCTGCCACGCGCGCCTCCGCCTTCCCGGCCGCTCACCTGCGGGGCCGCTCGGCCGGCTGCGCGCTCGGGCGGCGGCGGCTCCGCTCCGCCCGGCGCCCGGGGCTGCTGTGTCCCCCGGGCCCCCCGGGCTGCTCGCGTCCCCTGCCGCGCGGCGCCGTCCGCTGCCTCCGCCGCCGCCGCCGCCGCCAGCCCGGTGCGGCCCGGGCGTTTCCGGGTTCCCGCGGTCCCGTCGCCCAAACGCTCCGGCTTCCGCCGCGGCCCGCGCGACGCCGTTCCCGACTTCGTGGTGGCGGCTTGCAGGCTCCGTCCAGAAGGCGAGGCGGCCCCCGGTGCTGGCGTCAGCGTCATGTCACCGCCGCCTGCCACCTGTGTCCGGTGGCGGAAGTGCCGGGGTGTTACTTTGCGAAAGGAAAGGCCGAGCCTTTGGGGGCAAAGGCCTTTATTTGTTGTGGGGAGGCGGGTCCAGGAAGCAAACAACAGGCGGGCGCCTAGGGGCGGCGGTCACTGACACTGACCACCGGCCTTTGCTCTTGGCCTTTGCAAGAAGGTGTACCCAGGTGTTGCCCCAAACGTGCAGCCTTTCCTGCTGCCTTCCTCCCAGGGCTCTGAGCTCCTCTGCGCTTTGCCTGCGAAGTTACTTACTTCATTGTATTATGAACTGCTTCGTACCCATCCCCCGCCTAACACTTGCCTTGAGGTCGGAACTAGCCTGTTTCTTTCTGCATCTCCAGCACCAGCCATAGTGCGCGCTCAGCACGCGATAGAAACTTAGTACGTGTTTCCTGAACTGAGCTGAACTGCTGGGCGACAATGTCCAAGCCGAGTACACAGTACAGGGGCTCACCAGGGAGGAGTGTCAGCAGAGCCTGAATTGCAACTGCAGGCATGCAGCGCTTCCGGAGAAGCCGAGGTTGCATCCAAGGCCTGAAGCTTAAAGATAGGAAGAATCTAGTAAGGATTGTACCTTTGTGTAGTTTGCCCAGATCATCCCATTTAACCTTCACAACAGCCCCATAAAATAGGCTTTGGTACCTGTATTTTCCAGAAGGAGGAACTGAGGCTTTCAAACCCTAAGTAGCTTACTGAAGGTCCCATGTCTACTGAAAGGTAAGCCTGGATTCAACCCCTAATTTGTCTGGGGATAAAGTCTGTGCTTTAAAACACCGTACTTGGCTGTCATAGGAAGAAAAATGGTATAGAAAGGAAATGAGCACAGTTCAGAAAAAAGGTGGTGGACAGCAAAAGTAGCCAAAGGGATAAGAGGTGTTAAAAACAAGCTGTCCATGAAGGAAGAGAGAAAAACAGCAGCCTGGAGATATGAGGCCAAAGACCAGCTTTGGCCTCCCTATCAAAGCAGATCCCAAAGTCCAAACCTTGGCACCCAAAGGACAGACAGATGAAGACAGCCTGTTAACCTGACAGCAGCCAAACAGGACCATGCAGCTCAGTAGCAGCTAATTAGGGATGCCACATAACACTTAGGAGACCTCATTAAGTTGAAATTTCAAATAAACAAGAATTATTGTTCAGTATATGCAATACTTGGCATATACTAAAAAATATTCCTTGTTTATCAGAAATTCAGATTTAACTGGGTAGCCTGTGTATGTATTTGCAAAATCTGGCAACCCTGTTGAAAGGGCGAATGCATTATAACATCGCACAGTCACAGGTTTCCCACGGGGCCCCAGAGAGATTAAGACCCAGTCAAATGACATCGGAACTGTTGCTGCTGTTAGCTTTCTGTGCACAAAGTGACAGTCCCCAGTCACTATCTTCAGGCAGAGTTGAGGCTGGTGGCTTAGGGACTTCAGTGGCTTAAGGTTCAGTGAGAGCCAGAGGGAAAGGGGGCGGGGCAGGTAGAAGACAGTAAAGGGGCTAAATGGCGACGGAAGGAGACTTGACGTGGGTGGTGAACACGCAATACAATTGTGTACAGATGAGGTATTATAGAATCGTACCCCTGAAACCTGTACAATTTTATTAACCTATGTCACCCCAATAAATTCAATTTAAAAAGTCTCAGGAAAAAATAAAGAACAAATTCGAAGGAGATTGGGGACCGTGGTGAAGTTTTTAAAAGATGTCTGTTCAAAACAGTGAAAATACCAAAAAAGGCCAGTGGTTAGGAGATGAAACCTCAGGTTTCCAGGTGCCACACGTGCTTTGTTGAGACACAATTAATAGTTCTTCGAACTACTGACTTGAAATTGCAGCCGGTGAGCGAGAAAAACCAGTTGGTTCCTTCAAGCTGCCCAATTAGCCGAGTCTGGCCTGTTGTTGTTAGGTATTCAGGACAAGGAAAGATTATCGACTTGTCCATCCTTTAGCTTTAAGAGGAGTTCACTGAGGTCGCTTCAGTGTCATCAGTAGCCTCCGTGTGATCCTCTCGCTTTGAGATGAGAGGTGGTGTTGAACAATCTATGGAACATCCACCTGATGGGTTTGAATGAACTTGTTTTTCCGTTTCCTCCGTTAGCCAGGCGGGGCTCCTGTGAGGCTTTTGCTGTTCCGTAGACTGACTCAGTCTTCGGGTCAGGGGTCAGGGGTCAGGGGGCGGTTTCATGGGAGTGTGGCCACCTGCTCGGCCTGTGCGCTCAGACCTGGGGGCGGGAGTTACCCTGGACGGCTGGAGCTCACTGAGGCTGCTCGGGGCTTCCTTGGTCCCCCGATGCTCTGAGTCCCTGGCTGGCGGACGAACTCGGTGGTCCGGGCGTCAAGGAGTTGGTTTCACGTCAGAGTCACGGCGAGCTGTGAGTGGGAGTTTGGGGGATTCGCCTCTACCTGCTGTAATTACCTGACAAAGTCACCGCAGGTTCCTTTGTGGGAGACGAGGAGAAAGGTGCACAGCATGTGCTTATGCTGTTACAGGCTGGTCAGGGGCCTCTTAAGTCTGGGAATGGGTGACAGGTGGCATGCGATTCCGGCGACGTCGGGTCTGTAGTCACCAGTGCTACAGTACATTTGTACAGTTCATGTGCAGTTGGACCGCGCTGCTTGCCAAATACTTCCGGTTATCTGCCCTCGGGGCACACGGTGGTTTGTACTTCCTGGGTGTCTCGTGGTTGAGTGGGACCACATGATGAGCCCTGGCCCATCAGCGGTAAGATGCTGGGTGTCATTCAGGGCCATAGCATTGAATCGCACGTTTGTGAGCCTCTGCAACTCTCTTTCTCTCTGCTTTTGAGCCTGGCAAGGTCATGACCATGGCTGCTCTGTCAGCCCGTATCCTAGACTGAGGAGAGGCAAAGCAGAGGCTGTGGTGACCTGCAATAGACATACAGCACGACCAAGAAATAAATCTTTGTTTTTTCGTGTCACTAAGATCTTGACAAAACCCCAACACATATTGATACATACAGAAAGTGATGGCCAGTGGCAGGGTATGTTTCCACAAAACCCTGACTTTGGTGGCATCGGCTTAGTGGTAAAGGAAGCTGATTTTAGAAGCTGGAATAAGGATAACCTCTGTTACACCCTGGAAATATTTGATAAAACTGTCACCTACAAATAACGTGAAAGTTAAATAATGAACCTCGTGTGCTTGTAACTCCAGGAGAAGAGACTAGAAAGCAAACATTAAAAGGGGTCGCTCTCTCACCCAACTTGAGGGGGACAAGGTACCCGGAATTACGTAGACAGATGGAGACGGGCCAGGGGAAGAACAGTGGGTACAGCTGCTGGCGAACGGGGCTCCCTGGGATCCGATCAGCGAGGAGCCCGTTGTGTGTGTAAGATCCTTGTTCTAGCAAAGAAACCGAGAGCCTGGACGAGGCCTAAAATGCCTCTCTGGCCTCCAGCCTTCCGCAGACAGGGGTTGAGTTCCGGCGCTGCTCAGCCTCCAAAGGAGGGACATGCCCTCCACCCCCGCTTCAGATACAGCCCAGGAAGAGAACAGAAAAGGAAGGACTGCCCCCTAGAAGGTCAAGTCAGGGGAAATGGAGCACAATGAACTGGGCAGCTCCTCTTAGAGAGCTAGAGTTAACATCTAATGCAAGAAACACGTGTGGTCGTTTCTGCTGCAAAGGGGGCGGGACTTCCCAACATCTGCCAAGGGCCAGGGCCAGGTATGTATTTCCATGGGTTCCCTCCCCCATGCTTGTTTTTTCTCAGTAACTTTCCACCCCCCTCTAATCTAATGTCTGTTCTCTATGAATGTGCCTATTCTGGATATTTCAAAAAGTGTTCTCATACAACATCTGTCCTTTTGTATTTGGCTTATTTCACTTAGCGTAGTGTTTTCAAGGGTCATCCAGGGTGTAGTGTATATCTGAACTTCATTCTTTTTTGTTCTGTCCTCATCCACCCATCCATAAAAAGACATGAGCCGTGTTTCTGCCTTCTAGCTACTGTGAAGACCACGGCTGTGAACACTCACGGACAAGTATCTGTTGGAGTCTGTTTTCAGTTCTTTTGGGCATGCAGCTGAGGAGTGCAATTGGTGTGTTTAATTTCTGGGGACCTGCCACAGCCTCCCAACGTGGCTGAACCGTTTGGAATTTCCATTGGCAATGTACGAGGCTTCCCACTCCCTCATATCCTCAGCATCACGGGTCATTTCCCGACAGCACTTATAACCACTTCACTGGGTGTGAATTGGTATCTCACTGTGGTTTTGACTTGCATTTCCCTGATGACTCATGGTTCTAAGCATCTTTTTATGGAGTTATTGAACACTGGCGTATATCCTGGAAGAAATGTCTATTTGAGTCCTTTGCTTATTCTTGATTTGGGTTGTTTGGGGGTTTTTTGAAGTGTGGGGGCTTTTATATACCCTGGATATTAAACCCTTATTATCTCCAAATCCAAGGTCATGATGATAACCCTTGGTTTTTAAGCTAGACTGGTGTTTACGGTGTCATTCATTCCACTAGGAGAGGGGTGTAGTGAACTGCTCGGTGTCGAGAGCTGGGCATCATTAGCGCTGAGAATCAGAGATGTTCAGCTACAAATCAGTCAGTCAGAGCGCTGCACCCCGGCGAGGACTCCTCAGCCCTCTTCCCTGGTGACCCAGGGGGCCCAACGTCTGGTTCCATGTCCCAGGCTCCTGTCCATCAGGGGCACAGCGAGGATCTGATTTTCATTCTTTCTGAGTACTGGCTTGATCTCTGGCACCAGCTCCTTTTGGTTGGATGGTCGGAGTCTTTGGTGACCTTTGTGCATGACTTCGGTGGCTCACAGAAATCTGGCCTCTGTGCGTGAAAGCGAGCAGAGAATCTGGTCGACTCAGTGAAGAATTTGTACCCAGTGCAAAGAGCACGCTCTTTTATAGGAGGCAGCGGGTTCTGTATTTGTGCTTGGTTGAAGCCCGGGATGAGCTGCAGTATTTTGGTCCCAGTTCTAAGCTCTAAGCTCTCTGTCTGGGTCAGGACATACATACATTCATGTGTCTGTGAGTGGGTAGTGTTTCCTTTCCT